CAGAATGTTCCTATCTGTGAAACGCAGATAAGGAATCTTCAAACCCTTTGTATGGTGCTTGGAGATCTACTGATAGAAAGGCACAGGCTTTTTTTTTTTTTAAATTTCCCCAACACCACGCCCAGGATTTCAAACCATTTGTTCTTCCAGGTTTGGGCTGTTTGCTGCATTTAGTGTGCAGTGCTGTGTTGGCTGATCAGATCTCGCTAGGCTCATGTTTCACATGTGGGGAAAATGAAGTGCAGAATAACAGTGCTTACCCACCAGGCCCCAGCAGGATAAGCATAGTTTCATATGCAGGACCTAAATATAGAAAAATGTGAATCTGGAAGGGCACTAGGATATTGTTCCTTGCTTCAGGCAATGTCAGCTGTCTGATGTAATTGAACACGTTCTGTGTGTTTGAGAAATAAATGTGTAGTCTTTAAATCTGTTGCTTTAGGTTAGGGATTCAGGTTAGAGCTGGAGTTGTTGCACTGTGAGATAACCAGTCCTCTACAAATGCACCTGAGAGACTAGGTTACAGAATTACATCAAAATAATGTCTGAGATCTCCTAAGGGATGAAGTTCACTTGACAAAATAATGTGACCAAAACAGCCACACCTTGTGCAAGAGTGGGTAGTGCTTTATGTTCCTTGTGACCTTCCTTCACAGCAGTGAGCTTGCGTTCTGGCAAAAAATAAATGGTTATGTTCACTCCCGTTTGCTCTCGTGGTGTTTAGCAAAAACTACTTTTTTTTATGAAAGAGTTGGTGCTTCGCAGAACAAAGTTATCTATAACTGAAATGTGTCTGGCACTGCTCGTATGATGCATAGTGTGATTGTTCTCTTTGTAGATGTTACATTAATAGTTGTGATAATTACTGAAAACTTAAAAGCTGTAGTCATACTGATGAGGTTTTTTAACTAGGGTTAAAAGTGTGCGATTATAGAAAATAGTGGTTACATGAAAATACGTACTTGGCAAGAGCTTTTGGGCACTCCTATTTGTCCTTTTAAAAACACCTGCAGTGCTTCTCATCTGCAAGATACAAAATGTCTTTAGTAGCAAGAGGGCTGGCTGACTTCTGCATTGAAGCCTGCAGCAGCTTTCCTATGTTATTTTTTTTCCTGTGAACAAGAGAGCTGAGCTGAAGCTACAGGAAAGAGTCCTCACTAGGAAAAATCAGGATGAGTAACTCTTAGGGAAGAGGTAAACAGAAAGATCAAGCTCTTCAATAATAACACTAATAATAAATATATATAATTAAAAAATTGCTCCATGGCCTTATCTCTGTGTGCCAAAGGGCAGACTGGCTCGTGCAGGAGCAGGAACGTGTGCTGGCAGGGCATCTGGACACTGATGTGCTCCAAGTCACAGTAGTGGATGTGGTTCTGGCCTTGGCCCTCAGCCTCCTGACGTTAGAGTTGTAGGAACGTGGATGGGGAAATCTGGCCCAGTTGTGCTCCCTGAAACTTTCCTCTGCCGTTTTCCATACAAAACTGTGTTCTTGCAAGTGATTTTTGAAAAAGTGTCTGTTTTCTTTCCATCATTTTTCCTGTGAAATGTCTTGGCAAAAACTTGAATTTTATCTGGGAGATCATATTTCAGTTTTAGATCAAACGTTTAACTTGAAGACAAGAACCCTGTATTATAAATTTCAGTTAGAGAGAGTTGGCTGTAAATAACTACCAATGTGTGTTTTTGTTTTTCACTTGTTATGAGTAGCTTTGAGTATTCTCAGTTCCTGTAGTCTGCAACTTTTTTAATGTGCCCAGGCCACATTAAAGTGTGGAAGTCTCCTGTTGTGAAACAGCTTCTGCTCGCGTGGCCCAGGAGGTTCTGGGGGCCTCTCGATCTGCACGAGGAGGCCGGCGGAGGGCTTGGGGCCGAGGCGCAGGATGACCGGGCCTCCTCTTGGCCTCAGCACCGAGGCGTCCTCCTGTGACCGCCCACAGAGCAGGTAGGCTTGTTTCTTGAGGCTTCTGCACAGTGTTTTCTGTGATTGATGGCCGGTCTGTCTGTAGGAGGCTCTTTACCAGCAAGTTTCGCTGACAAAGCGTTGGGAGAGCAGATAGGGTGTGAGGCTGTGCTCTCACAGGCAGTGTTGTACGAGCGTGGCAATGTCGTACAGTTCTGGGTTACTGCTGCCTGAAAAGGGAAGGGGATTGAAAAAATTGGTGTCCGAGTTGCGCAGGCTTCTGTCCACCTCCAAATGTGTGGTGTTGGCCGCTGGCCGCTGCCTGTCCCTCCTGGTGCCGGCTTCATGGTCCTCTCGATGGGGTTGTGGAAAGAGCAGCTTAAAACTGCTGCACCAAGCACAGTTGTGTGTCCAGCCAAAAGCAGCCCGTCTGCTTGTAAGGGGCTAGGCAGCTGCCAGAGCTGAGCCCAGGGAGGCTGCAGCTTTGCTTTGGTGAGTTTTCCATTCAGAAGCTCCACGAGCTGCTGAAGGCTCTGTCAGTGTCACGAACGCAGTTGGGATGAGTGGGGCTGGCTAACGTCTGTTCTTGTTAAATTTAACAACTGTAGCATTGAAACAGAGCTACAAGTGGTCCCTAAAGAAAGGGAAGCTGATTGGTATTTCCTTTAGATCTATTTTTTTCCCTCCTTTGCTCCTCTCTTTTCCATGGGCTTTTATGCTTTGAAGAAATGCTAGATCATCTTTGATTTCATCTGCAAGGCTTGCAAGAGACCTTAGGAGCTTGTCTACCTGTACAAAGCACATTGGAGAGAATAGTAAACGTGGTGAGTGTTGCAACACAAGAAGTTTAGCTGCAGTAAACGTGGAGCTTTTTTGAACTCGGTTGCTGATAGATAAAGAGACAAACTGAGCTCTGAAAGGCCCCTTCTGGCAGGAGTTTCCAAATGGAGGCATGGGGTTGCATGAGCAAAACCACTTGCTTGAATTGAGTGGTCTGTAGCTGTCGACACGCATTGTGGTATTTATATATTTTTCACTTTTAACCCAAGACAAAGGAATATGTTAAATAAGCAGTTTTGGATATTTGTAGGGGCATTGTCATGAAGACCTATAGGACAAAGGGTTTCTAATTGTGCTCTGCTAGCACTGAAAGTGTGAAGAATGTAACTTCTTCAGAGAAAAAGGTTATGCCCCTCTAAGTGTGAATTCACTTTTCCGGTATAATGTGCTTATGTTGATAAACCGTATTCTTACTATCCAGGAACACAGCTTACTGGAAGAGCTAGATCAGCCCAGGGGGTTTACAGCATGATAATTCTGCGTGTAGTGAAAGGTGAAAATTTACAGGGGATGTTTATGGATGAGCTGGCTGTCTTGGGTTATTTTCGTACTTCGCAGATAACAAATAAAAAGACAGGCGAGCCCTCCTCCTGTGTATGCCTTTTCTTCTTCATGCCTTTTCTTTCTTCATGTGCAATGAGAGTCGGGAGCGGATTCTTGTTCAACCACCTCCCTGTTTCCTAAGCCAAGACTTACCAGTAGAATTATTTCCTGATGCTCCAAGCTGGTGCCTTGTTTATTGGTGCCGCTGGTTTGGGCTAAATGTCCTGACTGCTCTTGTGTTGGCAGCCTCTCCTTTCTGATAGCGCAACAGGAGCATTTTCATTTTTCTCATGTGACTCCTTGATGAATGGAGTTAATTTTTGCTGTTCTGAAAATCAAAGCTTTTCCTTGTAAAATATTACTTTGTACCTTCACCATAACACACTTCAGAAATGCTTGCCCCTCTCGGTCATGAGATTCTTTTTATCTGGATATTTATAGGGATGTGTGTGAGTTTCTGGAAAGAGAACTCTTACAGGTCTGATTGGTCCTGAGCATATGAACTGCTTACATAAGGGGGAATTCTGTTCCCTCATGCATATGTGAGAGCTGCAATGCTGATGGGAAAAGCTTCTATGTGACTTACAGCATGTGACTTGAAGAAGTAGAAATAATCCCCAGCCTTCAGGTCATCTGTCCATTAGTGTTTCTCTTCTTCCACTGCCTCCCTCCCCTGCCTCAGTCCTTTGCTTTCTGTTACCTGGCCCTGCACTTTGCTATAGCATTTCCCATGGTAACTCTATAGAAATTACACTTCTGCAGCAGAAGATGAGGGACAAGGGATTTATTTGAGAGCGCTAGCCTATATGCTTTTAACTCTGAAATGTCCTTAGATACTGGGCTCCTAATTAAAAGATCAAAGCCACTTTAAGAAACAAATGTCTAAATATAACCCAAACTGTGCAGATGGACTCTGCTAACCACGTCTTCACACGATGGATACAACAATATATATAGGAACACCTGTAACTTCCCCCAAATAGACTTTTTTTTTTTTGTAGCATGGTGCATATAGATGCAGCTACAAGGGCTTTATGGGTGTGTGCTTGGAATGGCTTGTTAAACACGCTTGTGCTCCTGAGTAAACTCTCAAATTAATGTCAACAAACATCTGTGCCTCACAGTCTAGTGTATACTTGTAGTGCGCAAGTTTTAATGTGTTGTGTGGGTGGTTTTTGTTTTTCAGTTGATAAAGAGGTCTGTGTGTTCAGGTCTCTCTTCTTTGTGCTGTGAGATTTTTACACTGATACCGCTCCTACTGCTCATTTGATGCTTTATTTTAGAAAGCCATTCTCTTTGCATTCATCTGACTGTCCATCTGGAGATGTGAGGGTGTACCGGCTACTAGGTCGATGAAATCACCTGTTCGCTGTGCAGCTTGCAGTCATGTACCTTCTGCATACCAATAAAATTGTCAATGGTATCAGATACGCAGTTCCTGATTTCAGGCAATGACAAAGAAGGAAGTAGAATGATAGATCCTTCATATAAAGTGTATGCTAGTTCATAGAGGCTTGAAAAAAATATTTCCTTAAGCCTTATTTTTTTCTTAGAGGTCTAATTTTGATTAGTTTAATGGTGTGGGTGTCAATCAAAGACTCCTTCCTTAGTACACGTGTCTTCTGTGTACTGAAAAAGACTGATTCCTGTAATCTTCTGAAGAACAGCACATTTAATGTCTTTTTAAAAACATCTGTTTTTCCTCTTATTTCAGGACAAACACCATGATGCTGCTCATGAAATTATTGAGACAATTCGGTAAGTGTTCAATGCAGACATTGCTGGAACCCTTTCTTGTGCATTTCTGTGTCTTGGTGGATGGACATCTTGGGATATGAAGGAGGGCAACAGTCAGAACTACATCTTAGCTTTAAATTACTTTTTGAGCTGAATTGATGTTTCTGCAACAAAAATCTCTAGCTTTTTCCTGTCAAACTTTAACTTTGTTTTAACTTGCTACATTCCATGTTCTTTTGAACAGGATTAAAAATAAATAGCGATGCTTAACGTTTGGTGCTGCTTATAGCAAAGGTTGCAATGCTTTGAGGAAACTCTGCTTCAGTAACCAGTGAAGGCAGTTTGTGTTCAACCTTTAGACGAGAAAAGTTAAACAAACAAAAAAACATCTTTGGCATGTGTTGAAAGTTGTGGTCCTGTTGAAAAATCAACAGCACATCCTTTTCCTCACCCTCTCCCTTTTCTCCTTGTTGTTGGAATGGTGCAGCATCCCTTTGGGATTGATGTCCCTGTTAGCATTCCTCTTGACCGCTGGTAGAGTTGGACCAATGTTGGGGAAAAATGGGCGGCTAAAGGTGAAAGTCAAACACACATTGTAAGAAGTCCGAGTGTTTCCAAACAGTATTAGGGTCAATACAACCTGTGGCTATGATATGGCTTGCTGTTGTTTCAGCAGGATTAGGAAGTGACTTGCTGTAGAGCTACCTTTATGATACTGACACAAACACCCCAAACATCTGAGGTCAGTATTATCCACTTTAGATTGTTTAAAAACTGCTTGTGTTAACTGTTTTAGAGCTTCACTGTACAGACTATCTGGGTTGGAGGGCTGTTTCCTGCAGTAGGTTCTCATGGCTGGATAGTGCAGGTAGAGAGACAATGCAAAGAGCAGCGTCTCAGAGCCACCTGAGCTTGGAATCTGCTCAGTCCCAGATGGCCCAGGAAGCTGCTCCCAGCGTGAGTGGGAGAGCTAAGTAGCAGTGTTGATAATACCACTTACATAGATGAAATCAAAATATTTTACCATGGGCTGTGGTAGGAGGAAATGTGTAGTGGCTGTGCTGGAGGCTAGAGCTGAGACTTTGTTATTTTAAAAGAAATCTTCTTTTTCTGACTGTAAAAGCTTGGCATGAGATGCCCTGCCACTGCTACTCCCAGTTCACTTGTGCTGGTGCTGAGAAGCTGCTGCTGAAAATGGTTACCAATCATCTGTGCTGGTGTTTACAGTGCTATGCTACCTGAAAGCAAGAGGAAGGTTGCATTAGAAAGCAGTTTGGTCAAAGAAATGTTTCACAACTTTGTTTCAAACCTGATTGCAGTGAAAGCAGGCTTTCATACTGCCTTTGTCTGCCTTGTGCAAAGTAACCACAATGTGGTTATGTAAGTCTGATGTAGAAGAAGTCAAGAAGTATTTTTGTCTTCAAGATATAGAGGTGAGCAGCTGTTGGCTGCCCATTTGCCTAATTCAAGTGGAAAAAAACCACAAAGATCAAAGTTATAAAATGTTCAGGGGGATAATAGGTATTCACCAGAAGAGAGTCAGCCACGGTTGTGAAACTTTTATTTTTAATTGCATATATCTGTTTATATAATAAGAGTGAATCAGCCAGAAGGAACCAGACCACTTCGATCTCTTGTCATTTTTCACCATTTCAAAATTGAAGCATGCATCAAGGTACATAAAGAAGAAACTGCCACTCCTGTTGGAATTCATCCTGTGCCTTTCTCGGAGGTTTCTTAATGGGGATGATAGTGCTTTCCTGTTTTGGTGTTTTTGGAAGAAAGTGTGCCCAAAGCCTATGTGGCTTTGAAGTTGTCTTTGAAAAGAATTAATCTTACTATTTTTCGAGAGTGAAGATCTCCTGTGAGATACCATTGTCAGATGCGCTGTAAGAGGGTGCAAGCTTTCCATTACCAATGACAACAACATATGGGGCTTTAATTCAGCATGAAAAAGGGGTCTTTTATTAAAATTGCTCTTGAAAATCGGTTTCAGGTTGGGTCATCTGAAGTGTAAAAGCAGATTAGAGCTCTACACAGAGGAGAATATCCTTGCAATGAATGACTGGCAGTGTTGTTCTGGGGTGCTGTAGGAAATGTCTTATCCACATTCAGCTTTGTCAAGCTTGTTATAGTATCGGTTTTGTTAAAAATCCTTTCAAAATCCTGCACTTCTGCATTACATTTTATGTTAGATTAGCATCATGTATGGCTTTGAATATTTTTAGATAAATTGAATATGTTTATCACCTGATTTTGAAGCCATTTCAAGAGCTTCATACTACTGCCAATGTCTATGGGCACCTTACTGTTTATTAAACACAAAGATGAACTACTGCAGCTTTCCAATTAGCATTTTATGATTTCTGCCTTACTCCTGGTAATACTGTGAGCTTTCATGTCTGCTGCAGCATTCTCTTGTAATACATAGCAATGCCTGTTTAGAATTGAGACAGAGACTGCCTTGCTATACGTAATTGTATATGTTGTTTTTATTCTATTTCTTTTCTTCTTCCAGGTGGGTCTGTGAAGAAATCCCAGATCTCAAGCTTGCTATGGAAAACTATGTTTTAATTGACTATGACACAAAAAGGTGAGAGGAATACTTTTTCCCACCAGGAGGACAGGCCAGCACGGTTCATAGTGAATCAGTTTGTAACTAGTTATTCTTAGACACTACGAACCAAAGTTTTCTTTTAGAACTGGCTTCAGATTCTGCAGAGTTATTTTTGGTAGGAAATGTGTAACAGAAATATTGGCAAAGGCTGTTGGATTAAGGACATAATTGGAAACTCCACACAGCAGAAAGTTGAGCTCTGGTGTGTACGTTGGAATTACTCACTCTGAAACAATGATCGGTATCTGTGTGGTTGGACTGCATCCAGCGTTAGGAATCTGAATGGCACTGAGGTTTTTACTTTTGTAGTAACTAAGAATTCCTGTTTAGAAAGTTGCATGCCAGAACTGTCTGTCAGCACTGTGTCCTTCGCCTGCCATGCCTGTGGGAGGTTAACCTTCCCGTTCCTCCTTTGCTTAGCATGCAGTGCAAGTAGGACCCTGTTTGGGTGGAGGGATAAATTAAAAGGCAAAGAATTCATACTGCTCTTTTAGGCAGCTAGAAGTAATTTTAGGATGGTTGTGGCTACATGTGAAGGCCTATTCCACACACAGCTGAAAATGAATGTATAGTACGTGGCATTCACCTTGAGGCTGGGGGAGGCAGACCCTGGCCCTGCGTTGTCTCTGGAGAAGTCTGAGGTTCTGTGCAGTGACTTTTTTGTTCTGAGACTGGACAAAAAGATGACCCTCAAGCTGTAGCTTGCAAAAACAACCTTAATTGCTGTCATGGGAAAGACTGAATTTGTTCAAGTCCACAGCATGGCTAAACTTAGAATGAGAATTACAGATGAAAATCCATCCTTTTCTAAGTTATCACTGGCTATTGTCCTGAGCCCCATGCAGGTACTTTTATCGTGATCTGCTTAAGGTATTGTTTCCTCCTCTCGGCATTTCATTTTAACTCTTTCACTGCAAGATGTTTTAGTCCCTCTCTTCTTCCTGGTGAATTCAGAAGGAGAAATCAGGATCCAGCATCCCTTGTCATTAAATCCATTATTTATGCACAGAGACTGCAGTGATGTAACTTAAAATCGTAGAATCACGGAGTCATTGAGGTTGGAGAACACCTCTTAAGATCGTCCAGTCCAACCCTTAGCCTACTACTGCCAAGTCCACCAGTAAACCACGCTGCTAAGTTCTACATCTCCACGTTTCTTGAAGACCTCAGGGGATGGTGGCTCAACCACTTTCCTGGGCAGCCTGTTCCAGTGCTGAACAACCCTTTCAGTAAAGACATTTCCCCTAATATCCAACCTAAGCCTTCCTTCGCACAACTTGAGGCCATTTCTCCTTGTCTTATCATTTTATGCTTGGGAGAAGAGCCCAATCCACACCTTGCTAACTTCTGTGATTCTGGTGGCCTGGCTGGGCATGTCTAACTGGGTGGTGTCCGTGTTGCCAGCAGTGATACCGAATAAAAGAAACAACCCATCTATTCCCACAAGTCGCACCTCGCTTATCTTTCTGCAACTTTTCAAGGAAGTCATAAACTTGTAATTTCAGTAATGATTTTAATTTATTTTGTTTTCTTGAAAAAAGTGTCAGGAAAAATTACTTTTAGCAGATGGACTGACAGATGGATGTGAACAGAAAGTGGTGGATGGTAGGAATGCAGGTACCGTGTGGACAGAAACTCATTTCATACTCCTGCCTTGCCTTAAGACTGAATTAAAGGTGTGCAGCTGAAAGCTTGAAGTGGAAGTCAGCAGTGCTCCTCAGTGGGGTGTCTCAGTCAGCACAGCAATAATATGGGGCTCATGAGAGGCTGAAGGGCCACCTTCTTTTCCTGTCCCCTGGTTTTCCCTCTTCTTGATTTGGGGATGGCCGTGATTTAAATATCTTGCACTGTAACTCCTTTTATTTTTTCCCCTGTTGCTTTGTGGGATCTGCTTGTGTAATGGCTGATGTTCCTAGCAATATCTTTTTTTCCCTGAAATGATTTTTTTAATCCTCTCAGCTTCTGTTATTAATGCATCTGGCTGAACCGACTGTAATCCTGACCAACGCACAAAGCAATCACTGTGCTTTTCTGATGGGTGTGCTGGTTCTGTCTGTTTTCAGGCACAAAGTTAGTTTCTGCTTGCCCTAGGACTAATTATCAAGGAGAGCTGGTGGAGCAAAGGAGAACAATTTACAAATGTCTTACATTTCTGTGCATCTGAGGACAAGAAAAGAAAGTAATGGACTATGAGATTAGAAAACTTTCTAATAAATCATAGTTTAAGTTAAATTATTTTCCTGTTCACTAAGGGAACTAATATTATATTAATGTTCAGCTTCCAAAATTTAAGTGCCTTTTTTCTTCCACTACACAAATAGGTTGTATTGTATTGCAGAACTTGTTGCTTATACATGTATATCATGTACCGCTAGTCAACTGGGATTTTTTTTTTGAAGGAAACTATGCAATGACCTAAAGCTGTGTAAGTAATTGTATGCACTGCAAGAAACAAACTGTAAATAGCCACCTACTTAGTTTCTATAAGGACAGAAAGGCTAAAGGTTGTACCTTCAAACCTGCCTTTTAAAGTTTCCTATCTAACTGACCCCACATTCTTTCTCCCCTGTAGCTTTGAAAGCATGCAGAGGCTTTGTGACAAGTACAACCGAGCCATTGACAGCATTCATCAGTTGGTATGTATTTACCTTTGTTATGCCATGATGTTTATCTCACTGGTTTGAATTCACATACAGTAAATATCTGAAAGGTGTGACCGATTTAGGGCTGGATCATGTCTCAGTCTATTTGCATCACTTGTACTTCATTACTTCCATTTTTGGGGGGAGTTAATAAATCTTACATTAAACCTTGCTTTCTTGATCACAGTAGGGCAGTCAAAGAGCTAGTATTGGAGGGCATTTCTTATTGGAAGAAAAAACATAGTAACATTTTCCCCCAAACTGTAGATTTGTAAACTATCATGTTTTGTGCACACATTTAGCTCCATTGTTTTGGCACTTTGAAATAGCTGAGTTACCTTTGGTGGTGGGGTGTGTGGGGGGAAGGTTTCTGGTGTATTTAGCTTGTAATTGTTTCACAAGGATTTATCATATAGATTTACTTGTGCTTGTGGAAATCTGTGGCTTATGGGTACTTAAGTAATCCATATGAACCCTCCTGTGTATTGTGGCAGTGATCCATGGCTTAGGAATTTCCTTGCTTGCCATTCAGTTCAGCTGCTCTGTTCTTCAGGATCACTCCGATGGGGAAAGCTAGAATGTATTCTGTGTTCAGACAAATTTAACAAGGTGTTTTTTTTCCTTATTCCTTTAAAAGGCTGAATTGGAGGAAGTAAAACATGAGTAATGAGTTAATGTTAGTATTTTATTTAATTTTGAAAATAAGGCTGTTTTTTTCCCTCTCAAATGTGTTTGTATGAATTACTTGAAAAACACAAGGCAGTAAGACTTTTTCTGCCAGGTGTTCCTTCACTTTATGGGCATTCAGCTCCCTAAAATCTGCTCGTTTGGATTTAGGCTTCTTGCTTATGTTGTTTAATTGCTAAAAATTAATTTTCTTCTTTCCATCTGAATTTCAAATACAGGAATATATAGGCAGGATTCTGGAGTTGTCCTTTTTGTTTATTTTCCCTTATCAAAATGAAAGGTAAACATTTTTTAAACTAAAAACTGTTTAGGAGGGAGTGTTTTCTTTTTGAAGAAAAAAGAAAGCTTGATTGCCATCTCTTTCCTGCCACTCCCTGTTTGTGTACACATGATCCCTCCCATCCTACAATTCCTGATAAAAAACAAAACTGCTCTTACGTTGACAGTACGGTTAACATCAGCAACTGTACTATTCAGTGGTGATCAGTAAATAAAAAAGGGGTGAACAAACTTGCACTCCTACTCCATATATGTTCAGAATTAAGCTTTCCATTGTCTGTTGATTTTTACATCTCTTTAATTTTCTTTTTACCACATATTTCTATCAGGCATATTTTAAATTACCTGTTAGTTGAGGTGAGACAAATAACCTGTCACGATTGTGTATTTTTTTAGTGTCATTCATTGTTTTTTGTATTTACAGAGCATCTTGGACCCAAGTGAGAGAGGGGATGGGAGGGAATTTCTCTCATTTTTGTGTTACACAAACGCAGCCTTGTTCTGGTGATGTTCTGTTGTGCTCACGTTGGGTTCATGTCTTCTTGCTTTCTATGTGTAGTGGAAGGGAACCACCCAACCGATGAAGCTGAACACACGTCCCTCCAACGGACTCCTCCGTCACATCCTGCAGCAAGTGTATAACCACTCGGTGACTGATCCTGAGAAACTCAACAACTATGAGCCCTTTTCCCCAGAGGTTTATGGAGAAACTTCCTTCGACTTAGTGGCCCAAATGATAGATGAAATTAAAATGACTGAGGATGATTTGTTTGTTGACCTGGGCAGTGGTGAGTGACCAGTAACTTAAGTTTTTTTTCCTTCTTTTTGCTCACTGTTGTTTCCTTTCTTACGAGCAGAGGAAAAAAAAGGCAAAACCTCACATTTGGAAAGTAAACCAGGACTAAGGATTGCATTATAGAATAAGCACCTTTGCTAGTTAATCCCCAGTGATGCTTCTGCTTTTCATGACAGGATTAAGTAGACCAAGCAGACATCCCAGACGTTCTTCCCTGTGGTGAAATGTCAGCCTACAAATGCAATAAACCCTTATTACAGAAAACTCTTGGTGTCTGTTGCTGTTGGTGAATACACTTACAAAGAAGAAACAATATTAAAAATGATGCTTTAAAAGATAATAACAGCAGTTTCATTTTTAAGGATTCATCCATTTTCTGTGAATTCAGTTTATGCCATTCATATATGAAAACATGATTTCCTGACTTCTCCCATGACAGCATGAAACACTTGGCATGTAATATGAAAATTAACCATATTTTTCCCCTCTGGTTTACTTTTCAGTGTATCAATAAAGGCTTTATGGCTAGCTTTAACTGCTGCATTGTGAGACCCCCACAAAATCTGTCAAGTAACCTGCAACTGCATTTTGTTGTTTAGGTTAGAGTTTTAAAGGGAGATGTTTTTATCTGGTAAAGAAACCAGATACAACTCATGCATGTGGAACAGATATTATGAGCAAGGAGATGATGTTCTGATTGTTGCTAAAATCTGGTTTAGAGCAGGAAAGTAGTAATAAGAATTTCCCCTTTCACTGGATTGGTTGTGAAGTTTTAAATGAAGTTATGTTTTGGTTTTGTTTTTGGTATGATGCAGGGCTTCTGGGGAAAATATTTAAAAAATATATTTAATTTGTTAAAAACCAAATCTAATTTAGATTTAAACACAAGCACGACTACCATCCTCCTCCCCACAACTTAGTATGTCTCCAGTCAAGGCTATCAGGGAAGGGTCGCCCCAACCCCTTCCTCCCTCTTTGGAATTTATGTATTAGATTTCCTGGTTCGATGGCTTATGTTCAAACGAGACATTTAGAAAGGTATCAGATCTGATAAACTATTTTCCATCTGGAAGAAAAAAAATGTTGCCTTAGATACTTGCAATTGTTTGTTCAGGAAGGTTAAAGAAGATGATATCTGAAACCTTGCAGTTCTGCTGATCATGTAACAAGATGAAGTGTGTGATCAAGGTCAAATGCTGGATATTTGTACCTAGTACCATCAGAATTGAAGTCAGGTATTTATTGCTAACCTTCTTCCCACTTTAATCTTGGAGGCTGATCAACAGTGTAAAAATTCAAGGTATAGGGAGTCACGTATTAAAGATATGGTTTAAATTCAGAAGTCTTTGACTTCCAGTGTTTGGAGCACTGAACAATTGAAAACAGCATCGTTCCTGAGGTTATACTGAAGGGAGTAAACTTTCGTAAATTCTAAACAATGAAGTATTGAGTGTAGTGTAAATATGAACATTGTCATAGCATATTATTACTACTAATAATGTTAATGTCCTTCCAGTAGTTATGTGCATACAGCAGTGGCTAAACAGCAGGGCTAGACCCCAGGATGCTGTGGCCATTTTTGTTGTCTTTGTGATGCCAGAAACTTGTGGAAGTGGGAGGAATTTATGCAGGTATGCATCATTATTAGGCAAATGGAGGTCACAATACAGTTAAATTCTGGTTTAAAAAAAAAAAAAAAAGTTAAACAAAAACAAAACAAAAAAGATTAGTAACTTGTTATGCTGTATTGTGATTTCTGTCAGTACAGTGTGTTCTTGATCTTCCCTTTAGTCTTTGTCCTCCTTGCTCTTTGGAAATAAGAAACAGGGAAATGTTTATTCTTCCGATCATGTTCTGCCCATACCCTGCAGAAATTTGTACATCTGTATTTGCATGTGTATAAAATCTGCATGTGTATGCAAAATGGGAATTAGGAAGGGAAAAAAAAAGTGAAACAACAAAAAACCCTGTCAGCACTAGAGTTCTCATTGTGCCAGACAGCATTATAGTGGTAATGGTTTAAAGGCAGGAGTTCCACCCCTTCAATTACCAGTGCCGCTTCCTGCCGGCAGCCAATGAAATGGAAAACAGCAATATGTTTTCTGTGTAAATGGGCTATCCTCTTAGATTCACTCTTGTTTCCCATGTGGTCATCCATGGAATGATTAAGTGCACTGGTGAGACAAGAACGCATTTTGTGTTAGTCATAGACAAAATGTGATGCATCAATCTACTATTGATGAATGTTGGATGTTTTCAGAATATTTTAAGTGAGCACTTTAACAAATGGAACGGTGTTGCTCTAGTGTTTGCAAAACGTGGATCTCACTTGTACAGGCAGAAATCTAACTGATTTTTTTCCCTTTTTCCTTTTTAACCTAAGCTGGGGTAGAGGAGGGGGAATGCATTCAACTAAGGTGTAGAAATGGCAGCTAATTACTGCTGGTAGCGTGCCTGATGCAAGTAGATTTTGGGAAGGAAGTTCATGCATTTTTAAGTATTATGGAGTTGTGCCAGTGTAGTGTGGTCGCTTCTGAAATTTTGAGTGTTGAACCCTATCATGTTTTATGAAGTAGTATTCTAAACTAGCCCATATACTAATAAGCTCTATGTGTTCTCAGAATTTGTGTTGCGTTTCACAGTGAAAGCTAATAACAGTATTGCTAAACAAACATTTTAGTTAGTCTTCAAATTAATAGCTTAGGTATGTGACCAACAAGTATTTGTTTTGGGATGAGGTAGGGTTTGTCTAACCGTTCAATTAATTAAATAGTGAAATACAATTAAAAAATCTGTAGATTCAATTATAAAGTTTGTGGACAAAAATTGTAAATCCAGCTATTCATAAGCCTGTGTGAAATTCTAGAAGTGAGCCTCTATATTTAATAGAAGAAGCCATCAATGTTTATCAGTATAAGCAAGACTGTAAATGTTGTCTTACACTATTATAAAAGTGCTAAAGGTACTGAAGAATGTAAATGTCAAAACTGTAATGCCAGTTTTTCTTTTTTTTTTTCTATAAGTTCTAAAAGTTAAATTGCAGCACACACTTCCTAGCCAAGATGTAAATTCCTTTTACTGAAAAGTGGGTTCTCAGTACATAACATGTCTTGTAGGAAAATGGGACTTAATTTCAGTAATGCACATTGGTTTGAGTCTGCTTTAAATTTGAGGAATAGATGCTGGGAGCTGAGGCTGTACTCTGAAGCCTTGTCCCGTACAATACCTGCATTTTTTGACTTGTCCTTTGCTCTAAAAGCTCTTATTGTCTCCCTTTGCAGTGGTTTTCTACTGAAACATATTCTCAGGTTTGTTATTTCTCTTCTGCAGGTGTGGGTCAGGTGGTGCTTCAAGTAGCTGCAGCCACAAACTGCAAACATCACTATGGTGTGGAGAAAGCTGATATTCCAGCCAAATATGCTGAGGTGAGTTGCTTGAAGTGAGTTGCATGTTTGTGTCTTTGTGAAGGCTACCTCACTAGTTCAGAATTACTGCTAACTGCTGGGAGTTCACAGGAAGAAAAAGCAGAGCGTCAGTCCTAGATGCTCTTGCTTCTCAGGTCATGAAGACCTGGAGCACAGTGTGCTTGGGGAAAGAGGAGTGGGCATAGTCATTTCCTAGCAGTGCTTGCTGAGTGCACAGGAGGAGTATTAGCATGTTCTTGAAGTGATTTCAGGACCAGGAGATGAAGCCGTTTAATAGTAATGGCACAGGACCAATTCACAAGGAAATGTGGTGTAGGCTTCACCGAAGCACCTGCAGCCCTCTGTCAGAAATGGCTTTAACACAATGCTTTCAGAAACGATATCACTAAACAAATCTGGGAATGAATTGAGTGAACAAATGATCCTTAAAGTTTTTAAAAGCTATCTTTCTGCTTATGTCAGTGCTGTCCCTTTCTGGTATCACACAGCTGAAGTTCATCTTGGTTATTGAACTGTTGTAGGCTAACTGATGAGGCTTGTGTTGGGTGTCTGGATAACAACCGCTTTGTAGGCACCCAGATGAAGTCTTACAAGAAGATGGTAATATTTAGTCAGGCAGGCAGTTTTCTTTACGCTTCTTTAATTCTGTGCCAATGGGGATGCACAAAGGTAATCAATTCCAAGGCAGACCTGGAAGCCAAATGAGCTACAAGCAAACAATAAAGTTTAGTCATGCCTTACCATAAGAAGTTTATTTTCTTCAGTAGACTCAACAGCAACTTAAGCCCTCCATGTTGTTAAAAATAAGCTGGCTGAGTCTGTACAAGCTAGAAAATTATACCTTATGAAGGGAAAAAAAAAAATCCTTGATCTATGTTTTCACTGGTGAGCACAAAAACGAATAAACAGCGGTGAAGAGGATCAAATAATGATCTAAAAATCAGTTTTGCTTCCCCTGCTATGACCCAGTGGAAGTTTCCAACTGGAGTACTCCTTACAGTTCTTCTGCACAAGCCTCTGGTTACTTACAGAAAGTAACTTGCAAGGCCTGAAGTCCTATCTGTGTTTAATAGTAAGCTTAGTTTAAAGGTGAGTGTTACAGAGGGAAAGTCAAATTCTCATTTGCACTTATACCCCTTCATATCGCTGTGCAAACATAAGGCCTTAGTGACAGTGGCTAGTGCACACAAAAAAAAACAACACAAATTAAATATTAGTATTAACTAGTGGCTTACCTTCTCTTTCAGAAGTGCACCAGTATTTCATATTTTGCTGGATGAACAAAATGTACAGCATTAATCTTCTGGTTACAGGTGATGACCTGTCAGATTTAGCAACTAAAGAACTGCTGCCTGCGTGCAGCTAATCTGCCTTGTGCTGTGTCTAGTGGACCAGTCTTTCCAGCTCTGACAAACATTTGTGAAAGAGATTGAATTAAGTTTCTAGTTAAGATTGGCTGTGGCAACACATCTCTGGCTGCTATGATAATGACTGCAGATGGCTTTGAAAAGCTTCAGCGAAAGAGGAAGTGTCTTACGGGTTTGCTTTAGTGAAGTTTTAATTGAAAAGAAAGTTCATAATAAGTTCATACAGCGTATAAAAAATTATTGTGAGTTGCCCTATTAAGCTTTGGGGTGCTTTTGAAGCAAAGAATTTTAAAATGTGTCTGTTACACACACTGGACATTGACCCGCTGATGGAGGTCTCCACAGCTCTGAGAACTCCTGCTCACTCCTTATCTCCTTTCAATGCTACCTCCAAATTTGGGCCTTTCATTTGTGGAGTTAAATTCCTAAAAGTACATGAGATTTGCTGAGTCTTGCAAGACACTGGAATGTCATTTTTAAATGTGTTGTCTAGGTTTAGCTGGATCCTCACTGCCACTATAAAGAAGTCACCTGTGCTGCTTTTTGTCAGCTTACACGGTGGGGACAAGATTTTGTACACATGGAGGTGTTTATTTGTAAGGCACCATGCCATCTTCATGGTGCCAATGGAAAACCAGCGCCAGCTCTCCGGCTGGGCAGTGTAGCCTTCCATCCGCTGCAACTCTGATCTGTTTACATATAGCTGGAAGCACTCCTTGTTGTTCTGGCAAGTGCAGCTCTCCTTCTATTTGCTGGTGCAGTTGCCCTGCGTGCCACTTTCTGCTTCCTCATTCACCCCAGCAGACCTATCTTTATCCTGTTTGCTCCCTTGCTATCTGTGCTTAGACGGATGTGCATTCACTGCCTCCTCTCTGTGGGGTTATGTGCCACAACACAGTAGCTACTTAAAGTTGTGCCATTTTTGGTGGTGAGCAGTGTCAACTCAGATTGCCTTGCTTAAAATGTGTAATGCTGCTGAAAAGGGTGAGGAAAAGAAGAAAATGGCAGCTTGGACTTGACACTGTTGCGAATGTTTTTCTTATGGAAAAGAAACTGCAATAAATATCTGTCTGTCTATCCTTTGAGTATTAATGGGAAAAAGAAAAGGCGAAAGGGTTAGTGAGCACTGTCAGAGCTGCATCTCTGTTTGCTGCAATGAAACATAATGAGATGTCCTAATTGTTGGCTTTGTTTTTCCTCCCTCTTCTAGACGATGGACAGAGAGTTCAGAAAGTGGATGAAATGGTATGGGAAAAAACATGCAGAATACACAGTGAGTGAAATTCAACTGAAAAACTTTGTGCTTCATGCTGATGTACGGAATGTACAAAGTCCTCTGCAGCCCTTCATCAGCCAAGCAGCAGTAGGAGTCATGTCTGCTCCCTGGCTTCTGTCTTGGTCCTGAGGACAGTGTTCTCTGAGACATCCTCCCAGGACCCTCTCTCTGTCTCACTTGTCATTTGGTATGGTGTTACCGGGAGTACTTTCAGGGCTTTCCATAAGTTCTTGGAAGATTTATTCTTTCAGAACTTGGTTGTTCATGATGTGAGGCTGCCATGTGTCTTCTCTGTATTAAAACCTTTTACTTTTTTTTCCTCCTTTTTTTTTTTCTCCCTAATGGTGTGGGTCTTCTTCTGGGTAGACTGTTGGAAATGGCACCCCCCTGCTTGGGTTTCTGGAATCTTCTGCAAGGAACAAAAGCTGAAGCTTTGGTTCACAGGAAGGTGAAGGTGTGGTCAGCCGGGACAGAAGATGGAGGGGGTGGCAGGAGGTTAAAATTCTGGATATCAGCAGAAAACTCCATGCCCAACTAATAGGGCAGATGATTTGTAGCTGGAGATAGGGGGTGAGTTTGTGGTCTTAGGAATGATGGCAAGCGGTCAGCTCTGACTTGGAAAGGAGGTGCTTTGAGGGTGGAAATAGAGCAGGAGTAAACTGGTCATCACATCTGTCTATCTTGGGCTGGGGACAAATGCTGGAACAGCTTTCCACTTCCTCTGAATAATACTTAATCGTTGTGGATGTGTTTTTCACTCTGGAATTACACTTCTAAGCGTGTGTAGAACCATACACTGTTTTGTGCTGTTCCTTCCCTTTTTCCTTTTCTCTCTCCTCTTGTCATTAGAAAATTGCTCTCTAGCCAATCACTTGGCTGTGAGGACATGTACATAGTCATAGTGCAATAGTGACCCACTAGGAGTTCTGAAAATACTTGTGTATATGCTTCTCCTGCTGCTTCCCTATGTTCAAGAAAAAGGTTGGATGGATCAGGGCTGTTCCCTCATCGCTCAGAGACATTGGGGCACTCCTTCCTGCTCAGTAGTTGCTGCTAGCAATGTGTACTGCAGCTGAGGTGCATTCCTGCGTTTGAGAAACAACTTCTCCATTTTCCTTTGTGCAGAGCCATTATTGCTGTGTATTCCGGTAATGGAATGGTTTCAACCACACGACTTTCAGAGCTCCAGCAGTGTGTGATCAAGTGGCAGGTTGTTGATGAGTGAGCCTTTATTTCACAGTCTTCTGTGGCTCTGCTGGGATCGTGAGCCCTTTTTAAAGGGCTTGTCGTGTGATGAAGGATGCTGCAACCCTCCCCTTGGGAAAGAGGCTGGTGAAGGTGACAGTGCCATCTGCCTCAGTGAGCTTTCTTTCAGAAATGCCTTCACTGTGTAGCATGAGCTTCTTCAGAAGGATGCTGGGCTTGCTGTGGGACTAGTTTGTAGCAGGATTGATATCAGGCTGCTAACTCTTTCCTGCTGTGGAAACACAGTGAATGCTTTACTTTTCATGAAGTGGCCATATGGCATTTTTCCATTGTGTCACCCAGCTGGCATTACATGAAAGGAACTGTTACTGAAGACACTCTGCTTATGAGCTGTGTAATTTAAAGAATAGGAGAAGAACTTGGACTAAAATATTGAAAGCATATTGATTGCCTTAGGCAGCAAGCATTTCCATATTGTGCATTCCAAGTGACAGAATCTGGTACTATATGGAAACAAAGCTATTTATTTTTTGCTAGGTTCTTTGACTCTTATAACTCTTTTCTGAAAAATGTTTAGAATAAAATTTCTCTTTCCAGAAAAGCAGACTGCATACTCAAAGTGTTGGATTCTTGCAGCACTTTCTGACTTAATGAAGTTTGGTTTCCTATCACTTTGTCATAGTGATGCTTAAAGACAGATTTTGTCAAACATCTCAGGTTTACGTTTGTATTTTCTTGCCAAACAGTATGGTTTTTTAATCAGTTCTTAGGCAGCATCTTCTTTAGGAGACTATTATTAAACAAAGAACAAACTTGTGTCATAATGCAGATAAAAGATAATAGGAGGTGTGGAATTAGAAGCCGGGTATCTTGATTTTTCCAGAAAGCAACTTCATCAGCTAAATGTTTATTGGCGTCCCAAAATTCCAAATGTAGGAGACAGAATAAACACAGATTGAAATAGTCTGTGATCAGCAACATTTAACTCATTTAACTTGTGGATTCTACTCTAGTGTTTTAGGTAGTCATAAACATATATATATATATATAAAAGAGAGAGAGAGAGGAATAAAGCTTGGAGGAGGAAAGCTTGGCAGAAGTTCAATGGGAAGAAGCCTCAGATCCCACCTGCTGCTTTGTCTGAATAATGTGGATGGTGATTTTGACTTCATGCATGTAACAGCTGTCTTGCTGTAAAAGTAAAAATTGTGGTACATAAGGCAGCAATAAATCCTGGACTTGGGCCTGTAGCTTTTTTTTTTTAACAGCCAAAAGTCTAGATTATTTTAGGTTTCTAATGCAAATAGATTTTTTATTTCTCTCTGAAAAGTGATCTGTTGATTGTCTTCAACAAGAAGACAACAAGTGTTGTCTTCTAACTAACATTGTTTTGGTGAGGTTATGGTTTGTTGCCCTTTATCAGATCTACAACCGTTGCATTCGCTTCCTTGTTTTCCCTCCTGGAATATGCTTGTTTGGAATTTGAGCTTGGACACGTGAAGTCTGATGTGCAAGATCCAGTGATGATATTTAAAATAAACCCTGATTGTCAGTCTATATCTCCATTGTGTTTTGTCCACAATGGTAAACATATGGTAGAAAAAAGTCTCTTTTGAGTCTTTCTACGTGCAATATGCAGAGTCATATATATGCAGATCTGTTGAGTTAAATAAATAAATAAATCCGTTTTGCATCATCACTTTCAGATGATAATTGCATGTTAAACTTGGCTACTGCCAAAGTGTCCTGAGGCGCGTTGGCTCCTGCTGAGCTACAGCTGCTATTAATAGGTTATCACTGCAGCTTTAGAGTGTGAATATCCATTCTGGGCAGGAGGCGTGGGGGAAAGATTGCTCATCATACACTGACTTGGGAAGTCTCCTGATCTCCAGCTAGTGTAGGTAATCATAGCTCATAATCCTGTTAGTAAATGGACTGAATTTCATTTTAAATGACAGGCTGTTCAGTCTCATTAACTAACTGGGGAAAAAAATAATTGGAGTAACTTTCTGCTAGGATTCTTTCTTTTTTCATTCAGTGTAAATGTTTCAACTTGCTATAAATATTTGCATCCTTGTGCTATTGTTTAGTTTCAGTTGCTCCTCTGCTTTCCTGATGTCTGATTCCTGATCAGTTAGAAATAATATTCTTTGCTAGTCTCTTCTGTCATATTTGGAGGGAAGTTGTACTTTCGTGCATTATGCTGGTGTCCCACTTCAACACATCTCACTGTGTTTCAACTCCCCTTATCTTCTCGTTTCTTTTCCCATGGTACTGAGAAGTTTCCAAGATTGGCTTCACCCCATTCTTTTCAAGAAAACTGTTGTGTGAAGGAAACCGGAGGTTTTTCGAAGGTCATTAGGCCTAGATAATTAGAGAGTCTGTCTTGGGGAATTTTTGCACATGTGCAGTCATCAAATTAAAAAGCGGTAGTGCAATCAAGAGACAGATGGGTTTTCATGGTTTCTGACTGTAAATATCCTCACGTGGATCCAAAATCAGAGCCATCTCCAGGTATCTGGGGCACAATGCTGATTGCTGCATAGCCAAGAGTGTTCATCCCAGGGTACCCTTGAAGTAAGTCTTCAGTCTGTGTCCCTTAGTGCCCGCTGCACTGCTTTGCTGGTTATCAGAGCAGCTCAGGGCAAGCGAAGCTGGTGGTAGCTGCAGTCACACAGTGGACTCATCCTTCTGCTGAAGACAAGCACTTGTTTTGGTTTTGTTTACCGTGGGTTGTTACAACAGATTGCCTTCCCTTGTTTCACAAGAGTTTCTGTTAGTAGAAGATCATCTACTACTCTTCAAAATAAGCATAGGAAAACCTGGGTCAGCATTGCTAAAGCCTGGGATTTGGTTAGACTAGTACCTCTGAGACCATCTGAGAGAAAACCCCAGAAGCTCCTAATGCTGAAGATTCTCTGTGATTCAGCCCTGTGGATAAGAGGTAACGTTTGCTGTGTGAAAGTGAGTAGAAGCTTGGCATCAGCAGACCTGCAAACTTCTCTCTGGTTGAGTTCAGGGTGCCCCGTCCTGCTTGGAAGTCTCTGTTCTGAGCAAAAGCGGAGTGATTTGTGCAGGAGTAGCATTGTCTCTTGTTGCCTGATACCAGCTGCTGGTTTCTGGGGATAAGTCACATCACCTGGACTTAAAAAATTCTGCTGCTTAGTAATGGGTTGCAGCTAAGGAGAAGGCAAGATAACGGATTGTCCCAGATGCTTCTGAATGCCCTATTTCAGTGGGAAACTTGATGTTTTGGTATTTGAAAAGCCCTCCAAACGTCCCCTGTGGCTTTGAAATGATGCCACATTTTGGAGGTTTGGATTCATGCCTCCAGTTATTTTTGAAAAGAACAGGAACCTAAAAATAACCATGTGTACTTTTCCAGGCAGAATTGACTGCTTTTTGTGAGCCAAGTGTTTGCACGGAGGCTGCTGGAATGAGGCGTTCTGTGTGTGAATTTATGGCTTTGTGTAGCCAGTCGGAGCGTTACCAGAGAGACTCCTGGCCTGGTGCTGGGTGAGAACGAAGCCCTCCTCCGTGGAAGAAGGGCTTGACCTCCATAAACTGCTGCTCTGCTACACGGGGAACACGAGCCCGCTGGAGCGTGCCTCCCGGCGCGCTGCCCTGCCGGTCATCTTTGAGTTACGGGAATCAGACACCGTTGAACGTCTTTCTGCAGTCTCTAGAGCAAATTTACCCATTTGAAAAACCTGAATATAAACCTGTTTCGGCTTCTAAATTTAGAAAGAATGCAGGCTGGCAGCTCTCTGAAGCGGATTTCAGTGAGCTAATTATCCTTTTAGATAAAGCACGTCTCCTGCATTGTCTAATCAGATGAAAATATCTGCATTACAGATGGTCCCTTCCATTCATTATTCACTAAGGAGATTAAGTTTCTCAGAGAGAGGAGGAACATGATGGGGGTGGGGACATTGGTGGGAAGAGATTGAGTGCATCCCCGTTGCTGCCTGTGCTGTGCCACATGGACGTGCCAGCCAGCCCCTACAGGCCCGTAATGGACCTGGCCGTTCTTCTACCAGCGTAGCGAGTGCTGCGCTTGGTCAGGAGTGAGTTAGCTGAAATTTCCTTACCAGTTCCTGTTTCACTCTTAAAATTTTTGTAAGCCGCAGAGTTGAAAGGGATTTTGGGGGGAATTTTTGTTGGATTTCCTATACCAGTTTATACTGAGGGGCTTGGTTTCTTCCTTTTAGGCCATCATTTGTTGATCATTGCCCCCCAAGGACAGTAGGTAAAGAAACTGGTTGTCAGGAGTACTGAGTCAGAAAGCTCTTGTACTCTGTTTTGAATGTAGTAGACCACTGACCCAGGAATCACTGTCTTGCTTCCAGAGGGGAAAAATAACCAATTTTCTCCCAACCACAATTGACCATCTGGTTATTTCTGTACTCCAGTATTTTTTCCTGGTGAGGTTTTTCCCTCAACTATTGGCTAAGTGTGAGCTAGGGTAGCATTACAATACAAAAATAGATTGGTTTAAAGAGGGCTGTGGTTCATTTGAATTTTAACATCTCTGTATTTTGCAAAAGTGGAGGGGCAAAGCAGCTTCCAGATGTGTTCTATCAAGGTGAAGTGTGGAGATTTTGGTTACAACTGTTCCCTTCCAAACCACGTAGGTAAGAGAAATGTATAGTGTAATTGGATCCAAATAAAGTATTGCAACCACCTAGGTTAGATTTCAAGACCTTTATATGAAGCTTAGTATTTCAAAATAGTTTCGTGTTACTCTGGTTCTTTGTTCCCTTGCTAGCCTGTGGCTTTATAATCGCACCTCATTATTTCAGAAGTGATTTTCTTTCTCCTCTTAGTGTGTGAAAATCTTGTGTAGACATTAGAAACTGACTGTTTCATGGAAGACAGCAATATAGAAGCTGGCTTGTAAAAAAAAAAAAAAAAATTGTTAAAAAAATATAGTTACCTTGCATGTGGGTTTGCTACTGTCTTGGTTGCTCAACAAGGAAGTTATTTACTACAGGAACAGATAAGATTCTAAGACAATTATCCATTAAAAACAATCTAGAGATGGTGTTAATTTACAAGTAGGGCATACGGAGCCCCAGAAGTAATGTTTTGGTATATTAGGTGAGAAAAATAATACTCTTTAGAACTGCTCTGAGGTTGCAGTGAGTTTTTGCCTGAGATTTTGAAAATGTCTAGAAGCACTTTACTTTTACTGCTTGTAGTAGGTTGGATCTCTGAGTTAAGTCTCCAGCATGTATTTTGCTTTCACTGTAGTGGGGATAGTAGAAAGTGCGTTTCCCCCTCAAGCAGATGTGATGATGTAGGTAGCCAGGTGGCAGGGAGCTCAGGCTCTTTGCAGAGTTCTCGATCTCTTCCCCAGAACCCTTGACGTGCACTTCTGTTGGCCCTCTGGTACAGTGTGTAGCAGAAGGGGAATGGGGCTTTTTTCCCCTCCTCTTTCCCTCTTGAGAAGCAGACCCAGTTCTGTTGGCAGTGATGGCTTTCTCCTTCACAGTGGGTCTGACAGGTTTGCCTCCATTTGTCATTGTTTCTGTGGCTCTGAGTCAGATTGCTTTGCTGGGGAGGGAAAGCAGCGGCAGAAGACAGCAGGCTCTGGCGCTTCATTCACCTGGGTCCCCTGGCTTAGCTGGCAAGGCTTGGAAGCAGCTCGAGTGAGCCTGCATTGCAGTGCAGGCACTTCTGTGTCAGATGCCAGATTTTATTCCAGTTTAGCGATAAGCAAAATGTTCACTTCTTTCCATACAAAGGAGTATGTGCAGAGAAATGATGCTAAGCAGTCACTGTAGTTGCTTTGATGTTCGTGAGGTTGAAATACAAGCCATCGTCTTACCTGCCCCTTCAAAGTATGTCCCGGTCATTAATTATGTAGCTGCATATTACTTTCTCTCTCCCTCTTATCTTCCTCCCCCAACCTCCATTCTGCCTTACTCATGGCACAGCAGAGCAGCTCGTCCCATCAGATTCCTCTCTTGTTTCAAAAGTATAACCGCAAAAATGTTAACCTGCAGAAAACCCACGTAGCTGTGGGTATTAACCTGGGACTTGGTGTGGTTCCATCAGCGAGGTGTTGTGTACGTCACTGAAGTGATAACGAGAGTTCTTTTCAAATACTGCCTTTACATCATCTGACTTCCAACTTGAATGTGTCGGAAGCATTTGAGGTGTGTGCTGAGCACCCCTGATGAGCCAGGTGCTCACATGCCAGTTGCAGCAAGAGCCTGACGCTGCTGTCAGTGCTCCCGGCCTCGGCTTCGGGTCCACCTTGCTCCTGATCCGTGGGGATTGGAGATGGTGTTGGCTGGCCATTGCTAGCACGGGGCTTAGCTGCCTGCTCCACATGGAGCATGGCGCTCGTGAGGCATCGCTGGTGCCTGGGGACCCTTCCCCAGTGGAGGGTGGGAGCGGAGAGCAGGCCATGGGAACTGTGTCCCCCGGCGCCTCCGCTGGGCTTCCTGAGGCCTTGCTTGCAGCAGTGCTGCTGGGCTAACGCAGTGTGCGTGCTTGGCCAAAAAGGGACGTGTAGCAGAAAGGAACAATGTTAACTCTCGTGTGTGTGGTTTTTGTGTTTGTCTTTTTTTTTTAAGCTGGAAAGAGGTGACTTCCTCTCAGAAGAATGGAGAGAGAGAATTGCAAACACAAGGTACAGTACAGCAATTGAATGCCGCTTTATGAACTGAATATTTGGGAGTCTGGATAATGGAAATTGGGAGGCTGGCCAGCTTTTTATATAGAATTTCCATAGCAAATACCAAAAGCCTATCTGCCAACTCCTATACTGGCCTCTTTGGATACTGTTTTCTGACTTGAAGAATGGATTTAAATGTATGTCCCATGATACTACATACATGGGTGTATCCAAGATAAATTCCGGTTGGACAGAGAAGAATAGACCCCTGCTTGTTTTGCGTACCCTTCAAGTTTGATTTTAGAGTTCTGGCAAAATACTAGTTATTTTGGCTGTTGGTACACACAGCTAGGTTCACTTTCCATAAAAAAACAACAAAAGCCATGTGTGTCTGTTCCAGCTTAAACCGGGAATTCATTGAAGCTGATTGTCTTGAATATTTATTTCTGTGAAGATACATGTATGTATGGAGGGTTACACTCATTTTTGCTGGTAAAGAAAAGGGATTTTTTTAAAGGCTTTATATTCTTTTCCACCTTATGGACAGAAAGAAGTCTTGTTTTAACGTGACCTTCCAGGCCATCCTATTATATGGGGGTATGGAAGGCAGTTGTCAGCTCTCTGAAAGTCTTCAGGGTTGTGGCAATCTAGGGATTGCTTCCAAGACACTGCTTTAAGAGTGCTCCATCAAGAAGGCGACTGCCAGACTGACTTCTGCATTATTATGTACCTCCATTAAACTTCTGGAGCTGCCTTTTAATTTGTGGACAGACTTTGTCCCAGCCTTGCAGCACAGTGTGGTTTTCCTTTGTTGTTCGCTACTCCAAATGCATGCTCCTCTGGTCTCTGTGTGACTTTCCCTGGAAAAAAAAATAATCTTTTTTCCTTTATGTTTAGCTGAAGTGTAGGGAACTGCTGGTAGATGTTTATTTTGTCTGGTATGCAGCTAAATGTATGCATATTGATCCTCAGCCACGTTGCTGTCTGATACAGAAATTCAAGAAGTAGCTTTTTGCTCACAAACGTTAGGTGTTTGCATTTGTCCCGAGAGTGCCAACTGTTCGGCATCTGCTCTCTAGCGAGGCTGCAGACTGTCTGATGCATTCAGACTGGAGCCATCCCATCTTGGTGAGCTGAGGGCTGCCCTTCCCGTGAGCCAGTGGCTGGGCTCTGGAGGAAAGGATGCCCAGCTCCTCACTGCTGTGAGTGTTCAGTATTCCAGAAAATAACTGGGACTCAGCAGTGTGTGCTGAAAAGAGGGCTGAAATCAAGGTGGACTGGGGCCTCCTGTGGTTCTGTCATGTGAGCACACAACATCGTGCCAGAATGAACATTAAGAAATATATCTGGAAAACTTTTTCCCTTCCTTTCCTGGATATTTTCTAGTCACATTAATATGCTTGGCTGTTCTGCAAGGCCTCTTTTTTGGCATGTGGTGGGAAGGAGGAGGAAGAAACCCCTGTGAGCCTTGACTTGCCAGGCAGGGTTTCCCAAATTTCCAGGAGCAAGGAGTAGCAAGATATATATATATTATATATATATATTGGACATACATATATTTGAGTATATACTTTTTTTTTTTTATCTGCAGTTTTTAGTAACTTTGGCTGCTGCTCTTAAACTCATTGTCCTTGGTGAGCATGTTTCATGTGTGGAGGCACTAAGAGGGGAGGGTTTCAAACAGATCTCTTGCAAATAAATCGATTCTTCATGCTGGAACAACATGGCAGCACGGCCTTCACAGTGTATGCATGCAGGGTGCTCATGGCTTCTGGGGGATGTTGAGGACCCTTACCGCAGGCTGGTAGGGAGCAGGTATCAGGGACGTTTAGATCAAAGCCAGACTATGTGGCTCTCAAAAATAAGGTGTTTTTTTAAATTTTTCTTTTTTCTTTTTGAATCTGTGATGTGTTCTGCTTCTTTCCCAAATGCTGTTTGTATGATTCTACCTACGTGCAGGTGTCTGTGTTTCCATGTGAGTGATGTTTTCAGGAACACACACACACACACACGCACATTGGATTTCTTAACCCAGACACAAAGGTGCAACTCTTCTGTTGGGGCTTAGGGTGAAGTGCTGGGTTTAGGGCAGGGAAATTTGTGCTGGGAAATGTAAACCTCCCCTTTGCATTATGGGAGAATTTAGAGCTAGAAGAGAAGCTGTGATGTTTCAGTGTGATATTTTAAATGCATATGAGTAAGTAATAAGATGAAATGTCTATTTGTTGTGCTGGAGGATTGTTTTCTATGTGTGGTGAATGTGTTGGTAGTTGTTGTGTTGATGTTTGCTCTCATCATGGGAGAGGAGTGAAAATATTTTGCACATTGTTTCTGTGTTGAAACTTGCTGATGTAATTAATAAGCTTGTGGTGCAAAAGCCAGCTGTATGCTGAGAGGAACTGTCAGAGCAGGCTGCCTTTACATTTTTTTTTTTAATGTAATTATTTGGTCAGTATTTGTGGATGTTGAGGTTTAGGTACTGTTTTGTGTAATGATGCCAGGAGAAAACACTTCGTTAGATGGAAGTAGCTGTATAGTCAGGGACATGCAGTGTGTTTTGGTTTCACAAGTGCCTGTAAATGCTGTAAGTGCCAGTGGCTTATAGCAGGCGGTGAGAGATAGTTGTGCATGTATGTTTGGATGCCATGTGCCTGTTCCTGTTTATTAACTACACCATTGTCTTGCAGTGTTATTTTTGTGAATAATTTTGCCTTTGGTCCTGAGGTGGATCACCAACTGAAGGAGCGATTTGCGAACATGAAGGAAGGTAACAAACCGAACTTCAAAACTTTTTCCCTTGGTTTCCTGCTGCTGTGGGAGCTGGTGGCAGTAACAGCTTAGTTATGGCCATCGGGAGCCAGGTTGGTGGTTTTGTTCTGTGCCGTATGGATGAACATCTGCACTGTGATGGTGATTTTTTGGGCTTTTTATGTCCTATCTTCATACGAATCACCAATCTGTGTGACTCCCTGAAGGTGGCTCTGCACATGAAGACCTTTTCCAGTGCTCTGTGTGGCAGGAGGAGCGACTGGTCCTTGCTCATCTGTTGTGGGGACCAGCAAAGTTCCTGGCTGTGGGGCTCCTGTGTTCAGACACTTGGCACCAGTGGTGGGTAGAGGACACCCAGCCATGGAGACTGCAAAGCCACACGGGCTTGGCTTTGTGCATCCAGTTTCCATAATTGCATACTGAATTCAATTACTGGATTCTCCTATTTAAAATTGTCACACTTAGTACTGGGTATTAACTAATTAGTATTAAAATGGGGACACTGTCACTGGTGATGTCTTGTGTGCTTCTTGAGAAGTTGCCTTGCAGGCACCAGTGACCGGGGATGTCCAGTAATGCCACTGCAGCCCTTAATGCCTGAGGTAGTTTAGAGTCTTTTTCTTTTCTCTTAACCACTTGGATGAGTAACAAATGTATTTGGTTATGGCAGAAGTTAGAAAAATAAATATGTCTTAAAAAAAAAAGTGTGGAATGAACGAAGAAGCTGTGGCTTCCCATAGGACAGCTTTGTGCGGAAGTAAATAATGTGACTTTTGGGCTCTGATGCAAACCATAAAACCCTGAAACCTAATGTCTTATTTAACTTTAGTGACTTTTAAATTTTTGTTAAGCAGTAGTGGCTTGGGAGAAGTGGCAAGGTGGGGAACGTTCAAGATCTCTTTGCCAAACTTAGAAACCCGAATCTTCTTCCTGGTTCTGTTTCAGCACATGCTCAGTCTGGTGCATTTGAATGAAAAAACAAACAAACAATAAAAGTGTTCAGTCTTAGGTTTTACAGACTGTAACTGGAGTAAGATACCGTTGTTCCTAACTGAATATTCTGTAGATTGCCACTGAGAAATAATGTGTTCCCTTTTTAAAGTGTTTTTAAAATCTAGCACTTCTAAGTGACATGGCTACCTAGCAGGACTATCATACTGACTTCTCTGGATGCTGTCAGTATGAGCTTTAAGTAACATTTTTGTTGGTAATGATACAGTAGTGATAGTTTCAGTAGAGCTGGTCTTTAGGACTCTATATTAAGTTATATTTAAAAACTGTCATTTTTAAAAAACAGTAGAAACTGACTTTGCTTTTTTTTTTTTCTTTTTCTAGGTGGGAGAATTGTGTCCTCAAAACCTTTTGCACCTCTAAATTTTAGAATTAACAGTCGAAACTTGAGCGGTAGGAATGCCCTTTTTATTATTCACTACAATTATGCCATATTTGTTACCTGCACACGTGGGTTTTTGTTGCTTTTTAAAGAGTTAAGTAGAAAAATGCTGTATATTATCATAACACATGTGCCAAAGCGAAATGTCTTTTTAAGAAGAGCATCTATTTTATGAGGTTCATCCATAGCTTTAGGTGTCTCTCACATTGGTGTTTCCCCTCTTCCTGGGCTTTCGTAGTTGTCTTTTATAGCTGAAGAGAAATAAGGTGTTTCAAGGGTGTGATTCATTTCTTCATTAACTACAAAGAGCTACAGTGACTAGCTTGCATGCAAGTTCCTTGTATCATAGCTGTCTAAATTTGGACAGGTAAATCCCACCAGTTGTGATTTAAAAGTCTTAGATGCTGAACTGCTCAACTTTGGAATGCCTCATCTTCTGCTCTGTGAACTGGTCAAACAGACCCATCCCATAAAAGCCCAGTTGCTGTGTCTGTTTTGCTGCCAACAGAGTTTGTTTTTTCTTTCCTTCTGATCATAGTAGACTTGATATTTGCCAATGCTATCCTCTGCAAGTATGTGAACTGCAATTTATTGAGGTTCTGAGATTACTAACACTCTGTATTGTTGGTTTTGCTTCTGACTTTTTTCAGTTTTTACTGTTGAAAGCTTTGCAAGCAGTAGAATGATCCAAGCCAGGTTTTACGTGCATTTACTGTGTCCAGAGCACATTTTCTAGATTTCAAAAACACTTTATTCCCCTCCTTGTATGAACACGGCCAGTAACGTACAGAGTTACAACTCTCAAGTTCTCTTTTCTGGTTTTGGCCTGATGCTTATGGTAAAATGCTTTTCAAGAACAGTAATTTGAAGACTGTCATTAAGACATTTAACTGAAATAGTGCCATTGTGAGTTATTTTTACTGAGCTCGAGTTGTTGTGAATGTCCTGAGCATCGGGCACCCAAAAGTGCCATTTTATTCCTCTTTGATAATCTTTTCTGTGGCATCTGGTTGTTTGGAACCTGACTAACCATTTGATCCTTGGTTGCCAATCTTTTGTAGATATGTACATGAAAATAAAACACAGCTGATGTGTGCTGCTGGAGGTCCTCAAACCTCCAGAGAGCTGAGATCCACCTGCCATTTTGCTAATAAGGCAAAGAGCACCTAAGCGAAGTCTGCTTCCTCTTTTATAGCACACTAGAACTAGATGAAATAGGAGAAGGTACTTTGGTGGTTTCCCTTAGGAGATCTGCCCATGTAAATAATTTTTTTTTTCTTTGGCTTATCAAGCCTTTTCTTTTCTGGCTTCTGACCATCTTATCTCCCTCTTTTCTAGGTTTGGCAGACTGCAGTTATTAAAAGAGTAGTGAGGAGACTAAGTGGCCAATATACCCCCCCCCGCCCCCCCCAATAAACAGCCTGATTATGACTGTCAGTTGGGCCAGCTCCTTACTCTGTTTCAACCTTCATGATTGCTGAAGTTTTATATACTGTTACTTAATGCTTGATGTGAACATTGATACCAAAATTATATAGAAAGAGCTAATTAAAGTTTGTGTGTGTCAGATTGCTTAGCAAAAGAATAGGTAATAGCTTCTGCTAATAGGAAGCTCTGACAAGGATTCAAGAAAAAAAAATCTGAAAAGAAATTACCGATGTCTGTCCCAAACAATGGGGGAAAATAATGGAAATCAGTTTTAGATCCTAATCCCATTCTGTGACTATACTTTATTTGGGAAATACCAATATCAAATGAATTTGCGTGGGCTGCTCTAGGCCTGGGGCTTGTTCCAGTCTTAATGGATTGTTGTAAATGATGCTTCCAGGGAAATGTCATCCACTTAGAGCTTGTGGCATAAAATGTGCATGTCCATCACATGCAGAGAAGGTGATTCACTCTGCTGTGCTACCTTCATGCTGCTGCCTTAGAAGGCTTTCTGTAATACTTTAATTCAGCTTGTCTTTTTTTTTTTTTGTGCCTGAGTGTGTCTCATGTTTTCATCTGATATATGAATAATTAAATAAATTTAAATATATGGTGGAAATGATAACCCTTTAGAAAGGAGTCAACCTTTTTTTTATCAATATACCAATTTTGTCCTAGTTGTATCACCTGGAAAAAGAAATAGAAATGTGGGAAGAGTTGGACAAACAAAAGCAAGTATTAAAATGTGGTTAAAATAGCAACTGAAGTTGCTGAATCCTAAACCTTGCTTTTTGACTCCTCTGGGTAATTATTTTCCCTTTAATTAGAAATGTGCCATAATTTCTTGTAGTCATGCCACTTTAGTGTTCAGTGGTTATGGAAATACTTAGGCACATCCCATACCTATTAATTCTAGGGAACAAAACAAATACAGGCAAGAAAGCAAATTTAAAACATATTTGTCTTCAATCCAAATTTAGTGCAGTTACAGTTTACATGGGTTGGATCTAACAAGATTCTGAACTGGTCCTATCTAATTAAATCCTGCCTGTTATAACAGATGAAAATAGACACGGGAATGTTGCATTGTTTAAAAAGTTACACTAGCACATCATTTTACTCTAGAATGGTTATTCCTGAGCAAATAAAAACTAGATCAACAAGAGAACAAGGAACTGCTTTTTAAACTCACTGCAGCACTTTCTTTTAGGCCATTGCTTTCTGTATGTGAAGCTTAGAGTTTTGTTGTGAGCATGCTTTTACCATTGCAGGGCTACTTTCAGCTGGATAGAACTAAGTGGCAAACAGAGCAAGCTCAGGCTCCCTAACTTGACTTTCTTCCTTTAGATATTGGCACTATAATGAGAGTTGTGGAGCTATCACCACTGAAAGGGTCTGTGTCATGGACCGGGAAACCAGTTTCTTACTACCTGCATACTATTGACCGAACCATAGTGAGTATAACTACTGACCAGTTGATCTCTGGCTGCTTTACCTGCTCTGGAATCAGCAAGGAAACTTCAGGCAGTACTATGGCAGTCTGTTAATTACTTGAGGGTGTATAAATTTACAAGTATAATTCTTTCTCGTGTTCCAGGATAGCATCTGTGCGTAGTGGTGGTCTTGCACTATAGCTTACACATTAAGTGAAGACTCTGAGGGTCTTTAACTCATCATTTTCCTTTGTGGTGTACAGACTGCCATAGTAATAATGCTCAGTTTTAATTGATCTTTCAGTTGATGTAGAACCAACCAAAGCTCAGTAACAATGCTGATGCATTCGCTGCTTGTTTTTATCTTTTCAGTTATAGAAAGCAAAACCAACCCTGTAGAAACAAACTTTTGTGGAAAAATACTTTATTCCTATGCTGAGTTTTTTGTGTGCAATACGATACAGTATTTTTTCTCAGTCTGCTTTAGTTCAACAGTGCTTTTGTTAAAGAATATACTAGAGTGCTGATAAATATTTTAGTGGAGTACAGGAGTGAAGTAGCTTCATTGAAAATAGCCTTCTGCTGAGTGGAGATACATTACACAAAGCTTTAAACCAAGGGTAGGCTGTGGTGGAGACGATAAAACCTTGTTGAGGCTTGGATTATGTCCTGCCACACAATGTGTTTGTCTCTAAAAAGAAAGAATATAAATGGCTTCTTGATGTAGCTTAGCAGAAAGAAAAACAGTTAATTTCTGCATTTGTCTTAAATTATTTTATTCTTATGTATTTTTCTGTCGCAACTTACAGAATGACTATCTTTGTATTTGCAGCTTGAAAACTATTTTTCTAGTCTCAAAAATCCAAAACTCAGGGTAAGTTTCAGATATTTTTTGTACAAAATTCAAAATAATGGGGCAGCCAGTCTGAGGACCTTAGTCACTTGTTAAATGTACGGAATTGATAGCAAATTGAGTTTTCTTGATACATAAGGAACATGTGCATGGAGCTAATTGAAGCAAAGCATCATATGCCATCAAGCACTAATACAATAATGTTTAAGAGCTTTATAATAGGTAATTAACGGGCCAACCTCATGGTGTTTTTCCCTTGCCTTGGAGACCTTTAAAGAGCTATTTGTTCATTGAAGAAATGAAGTTTAAGAGGGAAAGGGTAATTTGAATCTGTCCCAGTGTTCAGCTGCATGAAAATGAAGCTGAAGTGCACTCTGAGCTTCAACTTTTGGGACTTGCTATTTGAGATGTGAAATGTGTTGTCAGTTGCTGCAGTCTGTACTATCACGTGTGGAATTAAAATGCCAGAGGATTTTTAAGACTGGGCTTTATCCATGTGAAATAACTGGTGCTGGTATTCTAAGTAATGGAAAGAAGCAAGGACATGCAATTCAAAACTTTAGGAGAAGATTAGTCTTAAAACTGACCAGTGGTACCTTAGGTACAGAATGGCATCCGTGTACTTTTGAACTACCCTGCTTTAAATGGTGAAGCTGTTTAAATCTGCCATTCATGCAATCTGGTTGATAAATTTCTCAAACTGAAGAGGTGTTGGAGTTGTCTGAATTTTTGTGGAAGTTTAACCTCACGTGGAAGGTACAAGACGCGCTTTTAGTGAGATGTTTGAAATGTCCTGGCCTTAGTGGCTAGTAGAAAATTAAGCTTCAAAATTGCTTTTATGCTGTATTCCATGGACTTGGTTAAAGTTGAATTAGATAATGATTAATGGCTTTGCCATTAAAAAACTTATATGACTTGAAAAGTGATACATGAAATATTGGGGGTATAGGTAAAGATATTGTAATATTTAAAACTTGTGTTATTAAAGAAAACATGAAATACTAGTGTATGATCTTGGGGGTAGACTTGGGAGGTGGGGCAGAATAAGGGAAGATGTTGGGGCTTAATATCCTATCCTTTGTGGCCACATGTTTGAAACCCATTATAGTAGGTAATGCAACGCAAAAGGATGACTTGCACTTAACTTCCTTTTCTGACTGACTGTAGCCTGGAGCAGGGTGAGTGTTTTTCCCCAGCTGGTAACAAAGTTGTTTTTCTTTATTTTTTTTTAAAATTTGTCTTTGTATGATATGAATACTTACACCTAGCTCTCTTAGAAGACTAAGTCAGGAAATGCAGGGATCCGTATTAGTGCAAAATCTAAGAACAAATTTTTAAATTGTGTAAAATATTTGTTCAGGAGGAACAAGAGGCAGCTAGACGTCGTCAACAACGAGAAAATAAGAGCAACACAACTACTCCAACGAAGGTTCAAGAAAATAAGGTGAACTGTCCAGCATTTTTTGTAGAGTAAATACGTTTTCTCTTGAGCTTTAAATGAATTCATAATCTGTCAGGAAAAGCCTGATTCTGTGGGAAGACTGTTTGTTCCGAGTATATAAACTGGTATTGCTGTTGCTGTGGACAAAAATATGATTGAGTGACACTTGGGAATTGCACCAATAATTCTGGAAAAAAAGTATTGCAAGATGAACAGAAGAGTTGGTTGACCACCCTCGCATTGGCTTGCAGAGCTTTCCCTGAGTCATAAGCCCTTGAATGGAATTCAGAGTGTGCCGAGTCTCTTGCAAAGGCTTCCTTTCTCCTTCAGTTGCATGGCACTGTTAGAGATGCAGCAACTGCTCATGCACAAAAACATAAAGCGTTGAATGTACTTTGACTTTTTAATTAAATTTAGTTGAAGAATATAGTCAATAGAGAAGGTATAATCAGCTTTTCTTAGACAACAGTTAGACTTCTTTCTCTGTAATGAGTAGGTGCAGAAGGGAATTAGCACAACTTGGGTGCTGGGGACAGCTCTAATCCCAAGCCAGTCTATTTCATTGGCAAGTTATTTAACTGCAATGCATTGGTTTACTTTAATAACTTTGTTTAATAATTTTATAGGTGCATGCTTAAAGTAAAGGCTGCGTATGTAGGTAGAAAAGACTGAAGTGCTTTTGGCTTTTAAAAAATCTCTTAGGATTCTGGTGCTGAAGAAGAAAAAGCTGGGGCAAATTCTGTTAAAAAGCCATCTCCCTCGAAAGCACGGAAGAAAAAGCTAAGTAAAAAAGGAAGGAAAATGGCAGGCAGGAAACGAGGACGTCCCAAGAAAATGAACACTGCAAATACAGAGCGCAAGACTAAGAAGAACCAAACTGCACTAGAACTTCTGCATGCTCAAACTGTTTCACAGACATCTTCATCCTCTCCTCAGGGTGAGTTCAAAGCAGGCATTAGGAGAAGCCCTTCCCTGCCATGTGAGCACAGATAAGGATCTGAGCCTCTGAATGAATGCAGGGAGGTCATTCTTGCTTTAGTGCTGGGTTTAGTTTGGTTTTGTGCCATAACTTTTTCCTTACCACCAAAGCAAAATGCTCCTGGGGGGATGGTGTGTCTCTGTGAGGTGATGGTGATTGAAACTGTCTGTAGGTATTTGACCAGGAGCTGGAGCTGTGCTGTGGTTGACAGCTTGTCTTTGTGACTCCTCTTCTAAAGATAAGCTGTAGATGCCCGTCCAAACATTTTAAATAACATGCCTTTGAATAATAAAGCCTTCTGTGCCCTTGCCAGAAACAATGAAAGGTTATCTTTTTGTCTCTCTTCAGATGCATACAAGTCACCTCATAGTCCGTATTACCAACTACCTCCTAAAGTGCAACGGCATTCATCTAACCAGCTACTGGTGACACCTACCCCCCCTGCACTACAAAAGCTGCTAGGTATGGCTGTAACATTGTCACAGTGTTCGTGATGGGGATTTTTCCTTCGACGTTTCTAAGCATACGCTAAATTGAATGGCTGTTAATAGACAGCCACTGTGGAAAGCTGCATATTGGGGGCCAACTTGCTGCTGAAGTTGATGTCTTGGTCTGTGTTTTTGACGTTATTTAGCTCTCATTTGGCACAAATGGGAAGAAATGGATTTAGCAGGAATCCAAAATAACTTTAAATGGAAATGGCTAGTCCAGAAATAACTTCATTTTAAATGAAACCATTCTTTTATTCTTAAGCGATACAGTCTTGGACAACAACACTCCATTTTCCCTGTGAAACTTACAGCAAAGTCAAACAGTAATGAGATTGTCAGAGTGGTTTTTTTTGGGGGGGCGGGAGTCACAAAGGTGGTGTGATTGGAAAATATTTTCTATATACAAGAGTTGATTTAAAGAAAACCTTGGGTGTTGTTCCCCCTTGATCCTTTCTACTGTAATGTTTCCTTCTGTTGTACAGACCTAAGGCATCTGTGATGTCCTTAACTTCTGCTCTCTTCCTGCACTGTGTTATGGTTGTGAGTGACTTATTGTAGAGAAAGAGAGAAAAGGAGTGAGTTGGGTGTTTCCTGGGGAGCGGTGAGGGGAATTACACTTGTCTGGAGGAAACCTTGCTGCAACAGTCTGTGTAATGTCTGTTGCATGTTCTGGTTGCCTGTGATTGCAGCAGACTGGACTTAGTCATGTGGTTGGCTTCATGATGAAAGGACCCCAGGAGGGCTGGGGAGAAAGAAGGTGTTGCATAATAGGAGTAAAAGGAGTGTGAGGGTGAGGAGCAAGTAATCCCTGGAGAGAGAATGAACGTGGGCATGGAGCTTGTCATCTCTGTGGGGGCAGGAGGAATACAGCAAGCCCCATCATAGGATTCTGGGAGAATGAGTGCTGTGAGCTCAGTGCCCCTTTCGGCTGTTACAGCTAGTCTTGTATTCCTTTTACTGACAGTGCATTAAAAACTGTTCAACTCCTCTTTCATTGTGCAAGCGCAGCAGTAGCACCCATCATCTTCCTCATTTTAGAATGCAGCGTCATGACTTTCACTGGATTACCTATTAAAGGTAGCTAATGGATTCAAGAGTTCAGCTTGTACCAGAAGACTTTTCCAGCATGCTTTAAATTGATCCTTAATGGCTTGGTTTGCCTGAGAATCCAAACAAAAAGGAAGTGAGAGCAAGGGTGGGAGGTCAAGGGAGCAAGCAGTCTTTTGGAGCATTGCACTTTCTCTCACTTGAAATATATCATCTCCTTGTTTCTTTTGCAGACTCTTTTAAGATCCAGTACATGCAGTTCATGGCATACATGAAAACTCCTCAGTATAAAGCAAGTCTGCAACAGTTACTGGAGCAGGAAAAGGTAGGTGTCTTTTGTCGTTTCTAAACAAAATTGCCAGCCAACCAGATACCTTAGTTGTGGGGGAAAAAAGGTGGAGATTGGAATTGTGTGCACTTGAACACCAGTACTGCACCAGGCCAATTATAGAGACTCTACCAAAGTAATAATTAGACTGAATGATTGTATGTGGAGATCTTATTGCTAACTTGGTCAGTCTTTACATGCTTGAATTTCCTATCTGCAGACTGGGAAAATGTATCATCTCTCTTCCCTATGGTGCCCCCCAACCTGAGAGGCTCACTTCAGTGTTTCCGTTTCTTCTATTTTGATGTGAAGCTGTGTGCATAAATGCAGGAAGCTGGTGTCTTGAACCCTCTCCTTTTCTCCTACTTGGGATTGGCAGCTGCTTTTCTTCTCTAAATGTCTCATGGGTCACAGGAGAAAGAGGTGGTGGTCAACTTTTCCAGCAGTATGCACTGCCTGAATACTCCTGCCCTCCCCTTAGATGAGCTTCCCTGCGTAGATGCATCCTGTGATTTGCCAGTAGAACTGCCCCGAGATAATTAAATTGTGCTTAATCTAGCTGAAGGTTGTAGCAGCTCTGTGTAAGGGCTGCTTTAAAAAAAAAGGGGGGGGGGGGGAGTGCGGATGAGGGGGAGAAGAACCACAAACTAATTCTCTGAAGTTAAATTTTCTTGTTTTTGACAGCTTTGTCTTTTCCCACTGTAGGAAAGCCTAAAACAAAATCTGAATACTCTAGCATCAAGATGGTTCATTAGACTTGCAACAGATTAAAGTATGGGATTAAAAAATCTGTTGTATAAATGACTTAAGGATGCTTCAGTCCATTTATCAGTGTTGATAGTCTTAATACGCTAAGATTACATGGGTGGACAAAGTGTAAATGTACAAAAATGTGAGTTGAAGTACATGGAAAGGCAAAGGAAATACTGCAGCTGGGAAGTGTGTGGTGTTTTTCTTTGCTGTGGAGCCATCTCTCCAGCAGAGGGAGGAGATTTACTGCCTAAACACCTTTTCTTCTTGTATTGCCTTACCTCAGTTTTAATTGCTTTATAAATTAGTCCCAATGAAAGAGCCTATGCTTGCTACTTATGTGGAGAACATTTCCCCATAGGGCTCAACTATAACCTTTAATATCTGACCAATTCCTGCTTTTGGTAGCTCCCATGGAGGATTTCCTTGCCTGTGAGGGCTTTCTGAAAGTGCCAGCATAAAGCTGATTTGTTTTGTGGGATTTCCCGTAACGGGAACTCTTTTTCCAGATGAGAGAGCTTAACATGTGCTACCTCATTCGTTACTAAGAATGGGCTGATGCTGGTGTGCTGTTCATGCAGCCTTTTTTTTCTTATGGTTGTTCCCATTTTTCATATTCAAACAGCACTTTGAATTTCCTTTTTTTTTTTTTTTCTTCCTGAAATAACATTTTTTTTTACTACTGTGTTTGTTGTCGGAAAAGTCGGCATAAATTTGACTTAGCTTCTTGCACAGAAAATAGAATGAAGAATGATGGTGCACAAATATTGTGCTGTATGCTGGAAGCATAATTTGAGTGTGGAAAAGCAATCACCTCATAGTGGTGTCTGACAGCTGTTTCATACCTTGACATTGAAATGAGAAATTCAGTGTGAAAAGATTTTTTTTTAATGGAGTGTTATACTGAGCAAGGCTAGTTAAACTGCACAAAAGCAGAAGCAGAACTCTTCTGGATGAGGTGCTGTTGTATATGCTATTTAATAACTCCATCTAATGTGAGGTGTTTTTTAAGTACAATAAAAACGTTTAGATAATACAGTTTTAAAATAAACAAGATGCTGTGAGCTGCTAGTTCACTTGGAGTACCCTTAGATGGAGCTGTCAGCTCTTCCACTGCTTGTAAAGGATGAATGAAATGGCTGATGTTGAAAGCATAAACCACTTTTTCAGCATCACCTGTGACAGGCAGTTTAGCTTTGCAGTGACTCAACTGTTTTCCCAAGTCATTGGCGTGAATGGCAATATGAGCTGTGTGGCAGGGCCAGTGTGTTTTTCACATGTACTGGACCTGCCAGCACTGCAGCTTCACTTCATTAACGGACTGCTTGGAAGATGAAGGCATTTTTTTTTGCTCTTGTTATCAACTTTTTCTGGGGTGACAGCTCAGTTTTTTCATGGTTCCTGTTTGATTTCAGCAGCAAAAGTTGGAGAAAAGTGTCATCTCCAGAACTTTTTATTCTCCCTTCACTCATCTTCCAGTTTGGAACTGAAAAAAATGACAGCCCAGTTCTTGCACTTTGCTGCCTGCATGGTGCGTGACCGTGAAACGAGTAAGCAAGTATCTAGTTAAGGAATGTAATGGGCAGGAAATGTTCTGCCATTGGAAGGGCTGGGTGGCCTGCCGAAGTAATTTTGGCATTGGAAGAAGTACAAGTGGTTTGGCTTATTTATGACTTTCCTCCCACGTCCCTCACAGTGTATTTTCATTTACTGAGTGCCTTCCATGAGACATGGGTATTGTGTAAGAAAATCCTCAGTCGGGGCTCTGGAGATTCAGGTTCTGTTCCCATTTTAGTAACAGGTATCATACAGATAATCTTTTCCAGTTCCATTTCTGCTCTGTAGGATGTAATTATTACTACTTCTTTACAAGGATGTAATTATTACTACTGCTTTACAGTGTACTAGGAGGATAAAAATGAATTTAAGACTGTCCAGATTATATCTTACCATATAGCAAAATAAACTACCCCAAATCTCTTTTCAACCTACTAAGCTTCACCGAAGTGTTCAATACTAATAAAAACAGTGTCATAGAAGTCTGAGAGCTGGATTTTTTCATAAGTTTCTACTCTGAGCTCAGTCACACCCAACTTGCTGTACAAACTAGATGTAAACATCTTAACAAGAGGGATTGTGCTGCAGTTGATGCTAAATATATATTGTCTCTTCCCTCTTCCAGGAGAAGAATGCACAGCTACTGGGGACAGCACAGCAGTTATTCACCCACTGCCAGGCACAGAAAGAGGAAATTAAACGTCTTTTTCAACAGAAACTTGATGAGGTAGCAACCCTGGTTTGCTGGAAGTGTGTGTTTGTTTGTCATCTGCAAGCAAATGCTTTTGATTAAAAATGAGCATGTCTAGAGTAGTCTCAAAGTAGTCTCCTTTTTGCAGTAGATCATGTTAAATCACACGGAATCTTTCAATATTTGATTAGGTTTCATTTTCATTGTTGAAATTGTTGTGTGATACTGTATCCAAGAGAAGGGGGTGACAGATCACAGCACTGTGGTATTTTATTAAAGGATACACCCACAGCTAGTTGAACAAACTCTGTGTTACAAATACAAGTTTGGACTCATAGAAGGAAACATGGTAGCTCTACAAAAATACAGTTGTTCTGTCTGGCAAGAGCAACTTCTGTATCTCCTAGTGATGACGAAGTGCTTTGGAGAATGTTGGGGGGCTTTCTGGAAGCTGCAGAAGTTCTGCAGTCTTTCTTTTGAATGTGACAGTTGTCTGGAATTAGTGTGTCAAGACCTTACTGAATGATCTCTTCCCCTTTTACCCTCCATTTTGTAGTTGGGAGTTAAGGCGCTGACATACAATGACCTGATTCAGGCTCAGAAGGAAATCTCTGCTCACAATCAGCAACTGAAAGAACAGACGAAACAGCTGGAGAAGGATAACAGCGAACTCAGGAACCAGAGCTTACAGCTGGTGCGTACAGTGCTTGTATTTGAGTAGCATAGTGATGCTCCCATCCGTGTAAGGAGGACAGATCATGAGCTGAGGGCTGCCTCCCTCTCTAGGTATCTTAATGAATAATAATAATTAAAAAAAACCAAACCACTCCAGCTGCTATAGCTTCTCTGTAACTGAGAAGAATTTCTGGAAAAGAATGCAGGTGGTACTTCTTGGAAACCTTTTTTTAATCATAACCAGATGCTGAGGTAGCAGTTTGCTGGCCTCATCTGTGTCTCTTAAACAGCTGCACAGCTGTATGTGGGCTTGTCACTTTATCTGGATCTCTGGCAAAAAAAAGTGTGTACAGCACTTGCTTTGTAGTACCCATAACTTCTGTTTTTAATCTCAGTAACTCAAACTGTTAAGTTAGGCAAGGGAATGGAAGTTGCTAGTGAGGCTGGGTGCTAACAGTATATTAAGAAGGAACCAGGCCACTGCCTTCCCCATTAGACAGGGACTACAGGACCCTTTTGTGGTGGTATTTTGCTTAAGCTGAGAGGATAAGAAGTTGCTTGCAGATATCCAGATGAAAGGTGCATGCCTTTCACTGTGTACCTTGAGTGGTGTGAAAAGTTGAAAGTTGTCTTTTGATCTGTTTATCTCATGTCTTTGCAGCTTAAAGCACGCTGTGAAGAACTGAAGCTGGATTGGTCAACATTGTCACTGGAGAACTTGCTGAAAGAGAAGCAGGCGCTGAAGAATCAGATTTCTGAGAAACAAAAGCACTGTTTGGAACTGCAGGTACAGAGCAAGAAACAACTCTAGAGTCACCAACACAGGGTAGCTCCTGGACAAGGGGCCATTTCAGAGTACGTGACTAAATAGGATACTAAGGGATAAGCTAGGTGTTTGTTTTTTTCTGAAGATCAATCCGTTTGTTGGGGGAGGGGAGTGTCTGTTAGTAAGCTTGAAGAATATGAACGTAGATGACTTTTAAGGAAAGCATATTCTATGACCTGATTCCCTGGTAATGCTGTGGAAGAAGGAATCATGATTTATCATTACACATTATTTAAAAAGCATGACTGGCTTTAAAAAAAAAAAGTCTCGCTCGTTAGCATAATATGTGGCTTCATGGTAATGTCACCTTTGTGCTCTGAATTCTCAGTTCAGGAATCAGATCCCACAGAATGATACCACAATGAAAAAGAAATGAAACTTCTGTGACTGAAGAACTTTTCCTTCCTTGTGAAGTTGGTTCTAAAGCTAATCCAGCCTTTTTACTGGATGCCTAGGCAGGAATTGACCTTTTCCATTAATGACTGACAATATTGAGTTACTCCATATTCTGTATAGACATTGAGGATATTTTACATTTGATTCCAAAATGAAAAAGGTGTTTTCTAAGCATGTGAGCCATTCCCCTTGCCTTCATGTTGTGGTCTTAAACTTGTAATAGCACATTGAAATTTGTCCCTCAAATTGTGGGTCACTTGTTTTTTATTCCCGGAAATGGGGTCAGTTGTTCTGATAAGCATATCAAGGCAAAACTCCATAATGTAATAGAATTTGTTAAGTGTGGTCTTTAATCATTGTCCTCCTCTTCATTTAAAGATCAGCATTGTGGAACTTGAGAAAAGTCAAAGACAGCAGGAGCTAATGCAGCTGAAATCGTACACGCCATCTGATGAGTCATTGTCAGTACAGCTACGCAATAAAAACCATTTGAGCCGTGATCCTGAGGCTGATCACAACAGGTTCCAACTGGAGCTTGAATGCTCTAAATTTCCTATGCCCCCGATCAATGGCATGAGCCCTGAACTGTCCATGAATGGCCATGCTACTCCCTATGAAATCCATAACACTTTTAGCCGGCCGTCCTCCAAGCAGAACACCCCTCAGTACACGACTTCTCACCTGGACCAAGAAATAGTACCTTGTACCCCAAACCACAGCAGCAGACAGAAAGCAGACAAGATGACGAGCTTGTCCTTACCTGATTATACCAGGTTTTCCCCAGCTAAAATAGCACTAAGGAGACACTTGAATCAAGACCATGCAGTCAACGGAAAAGCAACAACTAATGAGATACAGAGGTGAGTGCGATCATTTCCTAGGTTGGGAATGGAGGGGTTTGATTATTTTAATAAGTGTTTTATTTGTATTGTGGAAAAACGTTTTTAAAAGTCATGTTTTGAGTACTTAAATGTTTTGTCTCAGCAAAACCTGCAGTGCTAGCTGATCAGGTAAATAAGGTGGTATGGTACCTGGAGTTTGGTATGGGAATTCCTGGCAAAACAAAAGTAGTTAGATTTGTATTCTAATGATCCTACATCTCTGTTCACAGAGCTGACCACGTCAAAGAGAATGGCCTTACGTATCCAAGCCCTGGTATTTCAAATGGCATAAAGCTGAGTCCTCAGGAAACTCGGCCCTCTTCCCCAGCGGCCTTACCAATTGCAGGCGAGAAGGTAAAAGATTTGCTTTTGCTTGAATTCAGAGACTTTACACCTTGTAGAACAAAAAGTTGGCCAGACTAGGAGAAGCAGGTGTGCTTGGTCAACTTGGCATGGAAAATAATATAAATTACAGTAGGTGTGGTGCAATAAAAAAGAGGAACTGGCTAGAGGAAGAGAGAATACGGTGCTCGTGAAAGGCATGCTTACCTTTGAGTCACTGGTTTGCATGTGAACTGTGCCAGTAATGCAGCAGGACTTCTTTTTGACCTGGTGTGAGTGTACTTTGACTTGAAAACTAAACTGTCTTTTGTATTAAAAAAAAAAAAAAAGTAATAAATTGTCCACATTGGTTCTGCCATGAATCCTATTGGTGCTCATTTCAGAGCAAGCAGGTGCCCTCCCACAGGAGGTTACCATGGAAAAATTTCTGGCTACTCCATCTTCTGTGTACAGAGGACCTCAAGATACAAACTCTGTTAGATGAGTGTTTTTCACAGAGCTGTAACAAAGACACTAGGAAATGAGCTCACCTCAGATATCTTTTTTCTTATGCTTAGGGGCAGTAGTAGCTTTAATTTATGTATTTCTGTGCCGTTGGATGTTGCTGTCCCAGTAGACTGATGTTGGTAACAAAGCTGCTCCATGCATGCCCTGTTTTTGCTATATAGTTGTCACTCTGAATCATGTAATTCTCAACATGAGGAAAAAAAAAAGACAAAATCTAAATGAGCAAGTTACCATTAGTTTAGGATGTCTTTTCAGTAATAGTTTGCAGTTGAGAACATTACTTTCTCTTTTGCATTTACAGGGTTTAAGAGAGAGAACCTCTGTGAGTAATGGAGAAACTATCACCAGCCTACCTATCAGTATTCCTCTCAGCACAGTGCAGCCCAATAAACTCCCTGTTAGTATCCCTCTGGCCAGCGTAGTCCTACCTAGCCGTGTTGAGAAGGTGGTGAGTAAGGGATCATCAACACTTTCCATGCCTAACTAAAATCACATTGAGCAGTAATGGGGTGCTGTGCACCAGAATCCATAGTGGGCTGCTAACCTTGAATGTCTAGTGCTTCGGGGGAGGCTGCTGTTGGGATGCATCCTCTTGTGTCTTAGTCGTGCTCTAGATTTTTGCTCCTGTGTCTGTGGTGGTGTTTCAGCCAGGAAGGAAAATAAAGTGCATGCCTCTAGAGGTCATAGGCTGAATGTTTGGCTTGGTGGAAAAGGTGCAGCATCTGAGAGTTTATGGCGCCGGGAGCCAAGGATCCCATATGTCAACTTGTTCTTAGCCCTTGCCTTGTTGCATTACACTGGGAACCAAAGTCTGCCTCAGCTTGGTCATTGATAAATTGTTGATCTTTTTGTGCTAACTGTGTGGAATGAACCTGAACAGTACCTTTATGTTGTAATTGCTACTGAGTGACTGCTCTGTAGCTGACTTCTCAGGTATTCAGTAGAGAACCTTTGGGGCCATCTCTCTGAAATCCTGATAAGCTCATTCTACTTTCAGTGGCAGAGAAGTTTCAAAATGACTGGTCTGGTTTCTCACAAACGTTTGTCATTGTTTATTCAGCCTATCATTTCACAAACGTTGTGCCTGCTTTCAGGAAAACATCACCCTCAGACATTGTACCAAAGAACATAGTCTAATGTGTTTCATGTTCAGTTTGGGGTAGTTTGGAGCTTTGTGTGTATAGGCTTGGGGACACGATACAAACATTTGTTTTCTTTCTGCCTGTAAACAGTGGGCTAAAGTAAAGGCATTTGCTCTCTGATCACAGTGCAGTTGTGCATCTAAACCTTCTGGAACAATGAGTCTGTTCTCTAACTGGATGGTATCAGGCGTGTGCTAGATAACTATCACAGTGTAATCACTACTCAGTTTTGTCCCCTATGCTGATCTATGTTTTTTTGAAAACGAGACAAATCTAAGACATTTAGGAAGTAGAACCTCTAATCTCTAATCTACTAATGTGTGTGATTTTTTTTTTTGTTCTAACTAGTGACTTTTGAGTATACTTCTTGTACTAATATGCCTCTTTCTGTCCCCACAGAGAAGCACACCTAGCCCAGTTCATCAGAACAGAGACTCATCAACACTTGAAAAGCAGATTGGTGCTAGTTCTCATAATGGTGTAAGCAGTGCTGCTGGAAACAAGCCACTGGCTTTGGCTACCTCAGGTAACGGCCTCATCTATGTGAAGGTGTGCTGTCGCATCTTGACAGCGTCCACAAATGCATGTGTCTGAGTTTTTTCTGAGCGCTTCTCAGGTCATTCAGAACAGTAGAGTGCTACGTAAATGTGTGTTTTGTAATGAGAGCAAAGAATCAGAGGTGGTGATGTTCTGAGACTGTCAAAACTGTGCCTACAGCCTGGATACATTTTGGTACAGAGTATTAGTTTGACGTGTTTTTATCTGAACTGCAGCACCTTGCAGTTTAAGTAAGTAGTTGGTTTTGTAAACTCTTCTAAGTGGATTAAGAGATTCCTATCTCTACAGTGTTGCAAACCAGCAAAGTGCTTACCATACTATGAACTGATCTGGCTTTAAAAATTCTATTTTGAAGGATGGTGGAGTTGGTTTTTTTTTTCATAGCAGAATTAATTTCTTTAAGCAAGTCACAATGGTGTCTCATGAGCATTTGTAAAGGCACGAGTATCTGGGTAGGAAGAAATGTCAATAAGGGAGAGAATAGGGGTACCTTTAAGTACAGACATTGCTTCTGAACTCATTCATCTGTTGAAATTGTGGCTTTTAGCTGTTCAGAATATGGGAATGTTGTGGACTGGGAAAAGTAGGTTCTGGTATACAGAAGCTGTTCTACAGCTGATCCCTCATCAGAGTGCATTTGTTCTTAATGTTTCTCACCATGAGGGTCTTCTGTTGTTTCTAGCATCTGTTTTGCAAAGAAGGGCTTGGCTGCAATTTTCTATAAAACAAGAAATGTTAAAAAATAATACTTTTTAAAAAAAGTAAAATAGTACTGTATTCCCTTCCACCCCTTTCATTTAGGCAGCCCAGAGGCAAGGCCTTACTAGAGCACTGAACCCATTTATGATATGCCATGACAAATACCTTAATCCCCTTTCCAAGCTTCTTCCCATGTGGCATTCTTCTGCCACAATTTCTTTGAAGATCCCCTGTCGCTTCCTAAGCCACAGCCTTTTGTCTAATTTTGAGTAGGAGATGGGCTGTATAGATGACAATCCCTTCTTTTTTTGAGGAAGAAATGGACTGAAATTGCTGATCTTATTTCCTTGATGACAGGAAGGAGTTGAGAGTAGAGGAGCCCTGATTTCAGAAGGTGTAGAAATTCAAAAGAGACTTTGACATGAGTTCCGTTTAAATACCATATAACACATGAATTTTCCTGAATTGGGAAAAAGAGTAGTGAAAATAATTAACACCTAACTGGAACCATCAGCACACAGAGCCATCTCAACTGCACAATGTAAAAAGCAGCTGCGCAGTTTCCCATGTAGTACACGGCTGCTGGCTGATCGAACACGGGTAGAGCTGAATCTACTCCCAGCCATCCCAGAAATCTAGCACTGTGAACTATCACTCAGCAGAAGCAATGATGTATACTTTCCCTTTCAACAGGTTTTTCTTACTCTTCTGGCTCCGTGGCAGTCAATGGAAATCTTACAAACAGCCCAGCCCATCTTAACCATAGTGTTGATCAGGCAGCTCTGGACGACTCTGGGAGTCTGTTTAACTCAGTAGGGTCTCGGAGTTCCACTCCACAACATCCTTTGCTAATGATGCAGTCAAGGAACTCTGGGCAAAACTCCCCTGCTCACCAGCACTCAACAAGCCCCAGGTTAAATGGCACCTCCCAGAGCCTGGTAGGGGTATTGCAATATGCAGATGCTCAGAAGATGTTTGCCGAAGGAACAAAGGGGGATCTTCAGTCTGATGCAGCGTTTTCAGATCCTGAGAACGAGGCCAAGAGAAGAATCATCTTTACAATCTCTCCTAATACAGGACATGTAAAACAATCCCCTTCCAACAAGCACAGTCCTCTGCCCGCGAGCGCTCGGCTGGACTGCGGCCAAGCACACGCGCAGGATGGGAAGAAGCGAGGCCGGCGGAAGAGATCCTCTACTGGGAATCTCAGCGGGAACTCCGGGGTCTCCCCTAAACGTAAATCCTTACCCACTATGTCTGGACTCTTTACTCAACCATCAGGTTCACCGCTGAATATCAACTCCATGGTAAGGGCAAAAACGAAGAGCTTAAGCAAAAGAGAAGGGCCTGGGAAATCTCTTTGAATTAGAAATAAGCTTCTACTGCTTTATTATTTGGCATACCCTCAGGTTGTCACAGTGCTAGTAGCTAGAACTGGAGTGTAGACCCTTTGTGGAAATGGCCCATCTGGGAGGCAAGAGAATTGCTGAAAGCTGGTGAACTGTTTTAGAATAGGTAGAACATCTCAGAGTTCTTTGTGTCAGAGCATTAAAAAATAGAAATAATTTATTCTCTTATGACAAAGTTTGTTTTCTCAATTAAGTTGATTTTTTTAGTCTGTAGATTAAATATTTTGAATATAGTTTAAGCTAAGATTGACTAAATAGTTTGAGTGCCAGAAGCATATGGCATTCTGACATTGATAAGCCAGCTATACAAGTTGTGTTCATGTGATCCTGCAGTGGTAGTTTGAAAAGAAATGTGATTGTCCCATGTCTTCATTTCTGTGTTAAAACATAAAATCAAATAATGAGAGTATTTTTCCAAGTTACATTAAAGCTTTCATCCAGGGTGCTCTAGTGCAAGATGCTGGAGTATAACAATGGCAGCGCTAAACAAGCAGCTGTTGGCCTATCCTAAAGCTGAGCAAGTTAAGCCTGCTCTTGATATCCTTAACAAGATGCCTTGTTTCTAAAGGGATGCTCTCATCCATAACTGCTTTCTTTCCTTCTTGCCCAGGTCAATAACATTAACCAGCCTTTAGAAATAACAGCCATTTCCTCTCCTGAAAACTCCCTGAAGAACTCTCCTGTTCCTTACCAGGACAATGACCAGCCCCCGGTATTGAAAAAGGAAAAGCCCCTCATTCAGACCAACGGCGTTCATTACTCTCCCCTAACATCAGATGAAGAGCAGGGATCTGAAGATGAGCACAATAGCACCAGGTGAATATGCAGGCACCGGTTTCAGGATGAGATTTCTCGGGAAGCCAGTAAAGGTGCAATAAACAGGAGAGGTGTGTTAAGCTGTCTTTGTTCCCTTTGCTTGGAGACTGATTCCATTATGCCAAGCCTCTTGTCAGACTGAAATTGTGAATAGGGAAGGTTTTTTGGCAGCAGTACTTGAATGTGGGAATCTATTCTTCTTGCTGTGTTTGCAAGGCTGACAGAGTCTGGCCTCTGAAAGAGTTATTGTAGAAACTTTCTTTTTACTGTGTTGCTTGCAGGAGTATTGAGGCCAAGTGTGTAATTTTAAACTAAGAATCCATCTCCCTCTCGCTCCCAGTTTCAGCTTGATTCAAAATTTTTCGCTCCCTACCCCAAACTTATAAGGCGTTACTCTGAAAATGGAGTACTTGCCATTCTTTGCTGACCTGTGAGGTGCAATAATTTTGTTCTTGCTCGAGGTGCTGGAAAAACAACCACTATACAAATGGGAGCAACAGCCAACGTCTTGTTGTGAAGGAGCAATAATGAAGTTCTCTGAACATGCACTAATCTTGGCAAAGAGCACAAATTCTGTAATAGCTTCTAGTTAGTTCTTGGTGGATTATTCTAGTGCTTTCAAGTCCCTTTAGTAACATGCAGTTTTCTAGGTGACTTGGCTTTATATACTTTAGTCCACTGTTAAGAAATGAACCTGAAGGAGATATTTAAGGGTAAACGTGCAACAAAAAGATTGCAGTGAGTGCTATAACCTTTTTATTTTCCCCACTAGAATCGAGAGGAAAATTGCAACAATATCATTGGAAAGCAAATCTCCACAGAAGACTGTTGAAAATGGTAAGTGTAGGGAATGTTAATTAGTTGTTTTAATGGTTGGGCTTGGGAATGGGTGTCTGCCGCTGACTGACATTGTTATCAATAGCAGGCCTTTCTGTGCTGTTGAGTAGAGTGCAGTTCTGCCAGGGCTTTGCATCGTAGTAATTAAGACAGGTGGCTGATAATTACAGATCTTGGGTCAGTCTTTTTTGGTCGTCGTAGGTCAGGAAAGATTTGACCAGTTTTTTTTTTTTTTTTTTTTTCACTAAATCAGGGTTTGGGGAGGGATCTGTAGTGCAAAGGCGGAGGAAGGAGTAAATCAGCATTCTCAAACTTTTTCAGAGCATTAAGCTAAATTTGAAGGATTTTTAGGTGATTTGTCAAGTATTTCTGCCTTTGGATCGGAAAGAGAATTAAAGACTGATAAAAATATGGGTGTTGAAGGAAAAACAAAACTGTTCTTACTGAGCAGATTCAGTGAAAGCTGCTTTTTGATATTTTAAACCTTTCTTTCTAGGTGGCAGCTTACCTGGGAGGAAACAAGCACAAACCAACGAGAACATGAACAGCAGTAAATGGAAATCTACTTTTTCACCAATATCTGACATCAACCTAACCAAAACTACAGACAGTCCCTTGCAGTCGGTTTCATCCCTGAGCCAGAATTCGTTGTTTGCCTTCAGGCCGTCCTCTGAGGACAGCCTCGCCATTGACGCCAAGATCACAGCACACGCGAGGAAAAGCATTGCCATGCCCTCATCTGGGGCAGACGGGCTCAGCCCTAGTACAAACTCCACCAATGGATTCACATACAACGGTGGACTGTCAACTGACATTGGTTTACACAGCTTTATCGATGGTGCTTCTCTTCCGCACAAGGCTTCAGATGTGACGACTTCCAACTGCTCCCTGGGTTTTCAGTCGCAGCGAAGCAAGGATGTGGGGATATCGGAAACAAATCCGTTTTTGAACAAGAGGCAACTTGAAGGCCTCAGTGGCACGAAAGGAGAAGACTTAAATCGGTCAGGGGTCAAAAGCAAAGAGATAAGCGAAATAAGCATTCGTACTGGGGGTTCTTCAGAAAAAAACTCTTTGCAGCATAACGGAAAGGTCAGCAAAGGAAGGGACCGAGATGTGGAGTTTAAAAACGGCCACAACCTTTTCATTTCTGCTGCTGTTTCGTCTGGTGGCCTTCTGAATGGTAAAAGCCTTTCTACTGCTGTTTCTTCAGCAGGCAACCCAGCATCTTCTGTGCAGACGCACCATCCTTTCCTAAACACTTTGACCACTGGATCACAGTTTCCCCTTGGCCCCATGGCCTTGCAAGCAAACCTCAACTCGGTGACAAATTCCTCAGTATTGCAGTCCTTATTTAATTCGATGCCAGCTGCTGCCAGTCTGGTCCACGTGTCATCAGCTGCAACCAGACTGACTAATTCTCACACTATGGGGAACTTCTCTCCTGGGGTTACAGGTGGAACAGTTGGAGGTAGGCAGAACTCTTTCTCTGGTATAAGACAGGGCCTAAAGGAAGGTCTGACACTGCCTCTCCAGGGGTGAGACCCTTTCACTTCTGCAGGATGTGGAGCAAATCTCTCCCACATAACCCATCTCTCTTCTCTCTCGGAAATGCTAGGATGAGTTCATTTCCCCACAGTGAAATCCTATGAGCTTTGTCTACTAGATGATCTTGTTGTATCACCTTAATGAAAGAATACACCCAGACTTTGTGATTTCATAATGTATGCTTGTTCAGATGTTGCTGTGTTGGAACCAACTTAGGGTCCACCTGCAGGTAAAAGATTTAACTTGTTGTGTTACCAAGCTAAGGATCTCTAACTTGTCAACTTGAGAAAAGGTTGAGATTAGGCCTTGAATGGATTTAGTATGGTCCAGGAAGAGTAAAACATCACTGTCTCTTCAGAGGAAACGGTGTTGGGAATTGCGTAGCATTCTGGCTCTCGAACGGACACGAAGAGCATTTCTTTGCCTGGAAGGGCAATGCCATATGCAGCTTGCACTTCTGGGATTCTGCACAGCCTTGGCTTCTGTGGTCCAAACTGGAGACAAGCTGGCAGGACTAGAAGGTAGTCTGAACCTGCCATTACTAAATGTCAAAGGCAGTTTTTCTTACCTGTCCATAATCATTCAGGCACCATGTCGGGAAATCCTAACTCTCACATCTCTCAGCATGTAGATTTGCTGGAAATGCAATCTCCCCTCTGCTGCCCTGTAAGTGGGAAAGCAGGAGGGTGGGGAGGGAAGAGCAGCAGTTTGAGTCTTCAGATAAACAACTCTAGAGACCACGTAATCTCATCAAAATCTGCCTGTGTGATATAGAACTGACAGTTCTTGGGTCTGACTGTTTGTCCTCGTGGCATTTAGAGGTTGGCAGTAGGAAAGGTAAGTGAAACCTTTTGTACCTCCTGGCCTGCACCATTATCTCTCATTGCTTGCTGCCTTCTCATGCTGCATATTTTTGTATGGGGCCATAACTACTATAATTTTGCTTTTTTTTGGTTTTTGTTTCTCTTGTCACTTGCGACTGTACAAAGCCCATCTGTTGAAGCTGAGTTTTTCTCTCCTGTTTGCAGGTATTTTTAACCATGCGGTGCCTTCTGCCTCCTCTCCTCATCAATTTGGAGCCAGTTTCAGCAGCAGTGCTGTCTCTAGCAGCACAGTGCTAAGCTTAAACCCTCTGCAGGCTGTTGCCAGCACGTCATCCTCATCCTTCCCACCCCCCTCCTCTAATTTAGTAACATCTAGTGAGAATAGATCTGCTCAGCACCTCAACAGAGCGCCAGTGCAATCTGTTTTCCATTCCCCCCCACCCCCTCCTAACGTTTCCTTGCCCCCACCTCCTCCATTACTTGCTTCTAACCCTGAGCCTGCGCTTCTGCAGAACCTGCCATCTCTCCCACCTGGCGATGCTTTTTTGCCTTCCTCTTCTGCTGCTTCTGTCCAATCTGCTAATGCTTCTTTGTCTATTAAGCTAGCCTCTCTCCAGCACAAAACCTCCCGCCCCTCCTTTACAGTCCATCACCCGCCTCTGCCCCGCTTGGCGCTGGCACAGTCCGCGCCCATGATCACGCAGTCCAACGCAGCTGGCACGTCCGCTATGTGGGTTACACTTGGCATGCAGTCTCCTTATGCTTCGCACCTTTCTGGGGTTAAGCCACGATAAAGAGCTTGCTTAGCTAACAGTTCTTATTTTGTAAGGTAAGGCTAGAGGGAAAAAAACAAACAAACAAAAAAAAACAATCAGGAGTTTTGTGCGAGATGCTGAATGATGTTTCTTCCTTTTCAGAGACAGGGTGGGGATGGGCTCTGTGAAACAAACCTCTAAAATGTAGGAAGTAATTAATGTGATGTCAGAGGGTGAAGAGTCTCAATGCTCTCTGCTCTGGGAGTCAGGATTTCTCGACAAGGAGTGCTCACGGTGGTAACTCTGGTCTGTCTCATCTGACGTTAGGATTATGTTCAGGTTGGGATCACTTCTTGAAAATGTTTACTTCTAAAGATCAGTTGTCAGGAGGAAGTTCTATTTTTAAGTAAGGTTTTTATACAGTTATTGGCAATGGTTGTTGCCGACTTTGATTCCCCCTTTTCCTCTTCTTGCCTTCCAACACAGACTGTTGCTTCTTCTACAAGTCCGTGTTCACATAGCGTTAGGATGCGTGCTGCTGCTGCTTTGTGACTCTGGCAACGTGGTGGTCTTGTTTTCATTGTCAGTCAATAACAGCTGCTCTCAGTCATAAAGTTAAAAAATCTCCAGGTTACAAGCTGCAGCTTTGTCTTGGAGTGCAAATGCACTGGTCTTGCACTGCAGTGTGCCCCCTGCATCACTGGAAAACACAATCACAGGTAGCAAAGCGTTATAATCTGAATTAGAATTAACCAAGAAGGCCTTGTTATCCGCACACTGCAGCGTTACTGGACTTGCCTGCTAGGGCTAAAAGTAACAGTCTCCATCAGATGCTGTATTTATGCTCATGTGGCAGTCACTTACTTTCTGGGTAGACGTGAATGAGGCGATAGGGAATATGCAGGGTTCACTGCAGTCTATGCTTCATAAGGGCTGGGGCTGCAGAAGAGAGGAGGGTTTCTGGAGACTGTGCGTTTTTACCGAAGCAGTATTTAAATGCCTTTAGAGCAACTCCAGAATAAAGTGTACCACCACAGAGTTGGGTACTGTTGTTATGAAAATACTCTGTGGCATCGTGATGTAACAAGCTTGTGACCGCAAAGTTAAATCAGTATGTTAGGGCCCAGAGCTCGCTCCATGCTTTTCTTGTAGGTCTTTGATGTTGTTGCTGTTCACTGATACCAAAGCTACGTAAAATCTATGGTTGGATACTCTTTGCTGCTTATAAAACATATGCCTCAATTACAATATACCTGAGAGATTCTTTTGACTGTGCATTGTTTATAGTGTCTTCATCATGTAATTGCTTCACAGACATGAATTTAGTCTTGTTAGGCTTTTGTGAGGCAGGTAAGTATCCCCTCCGTCCTTCTATATGATGAGTGAGGATGAGGAGGAGTTCAGCGATGTCCCTGTGTGCCTGCAGGGTGACAGGATGATGGGGTCACAGGGTGGGCATGGAAGATCCTGGTTAGAAACAAGCTCGGGACCAAGGCTAAGGAGGATTAGGTGCGGGGCTTTGTACCCCTGAATGACTTGGGAGAGCGGTGTGGAAGTCTGCTGAAGCAAATGCCTTACCTGGAGTGGTGGTCATGCTGGGATGGACTCCTTGCCATCGTACGTGGTGGGTCCTGCCACAGCAAGTCTCCTAGCAAAATAGGCAAGGCACAAAAGTGAAGTTCAGTGCAAGGCAGCTGGATGTCTAAAGCTGGACTGTGGAGCAGAGGGGCAGAAGTAATGCTCCTAGGAGATGGTTTGTGAGACAAACGTATCATAGTTGGGGTCCTGTTCCGTGTGAAATACTTGAGCATTTTCATTGACCTTAATCTGAACATGTGTGCTCGAAGTCCTTCCAGAACTGAGGCTGAAATCTGGAACGGGACTAAAATAATCTGCTTTGTTTCTCCTAACATTTCTCCCCCAAGGTAGTAACAAATGCAAAGCGGATTAGTGTGTGCTAAAAAAGGTGAAGTCCTGAGTGGGAGAACGAACGCTTTTTTTCCTCACTTGTTGAGGTCAGTTGCACAAGGACAGAGTTCAACATGGTTGAATGTTGGAAGCCTCCTGTCTGTCTGGTTGTGGTTGGGTCAAGACAAGAACTGTGCCTTCTTCACTGGCTGACAAGGTCTTGGAGCAGTGTAGAAATGATTGACGCATCTAACACACTGTAGATTTTGTCACTTATTTAGATGAGTCTCTTCCTCTCCTCCTGTTGTGCAGGTAACTAGGATTTCTACCTCAACCCAATGTGACCTATGCAAGGACAACGTGGACCAACTTCACTCGGCTTCCACTGAAAGGTGCTCACCTGGCCTGTGCAGGGGTTTCTACTCTCTTACTACTGGACAAAACAAAAACCTAAAAAGACCTAAACAACAGAGAAAATATTTACTGTGAATCTGAGTAAAAAAGAAAAAAAGGAAGAAAAAAAAAAGGGCAAAATAAATGCCTAAGGCTCCAGTTTATATTGTTGATAGTTTAGGTAAAGTATTTATCTTTTTTTAAAGCAAAAACAGTTTTGATTTATTTTATTCCACCTAGAGTCATAAATACAATTTAGGATTAAATTCTCTAAATAATTAAGGACTGGCACACCAGCAGAGATGTAAAGAGCCTCCTCTCGGTGCTATTTCATCCGTCAGAACTGTGCCTCTAGTTTGAATCCTTGGTGCTGAATTTGGAGGGTTGACCAATGCCAAACCCAGTTCTCAGAAAGGTCTGCATTTTATTTATTCAACTTATTCTGTTCATATACCAAAATCCACTTGGTTTACAGCAGTGTGAGCTACAGAGAAACGGCAGTCTTTGATCTGGTGTTTTGCTCTAATGTGAACTGAGCCAGGCGCTCTGTTAACTGGGTGGTTTTTAATTGTGTTCATTACAAACGAGAACTCACTACTCCCCTCTGGAGTGGCAGCTAGATCACCTGGGGCAGCCCAGGTGAGCTCAGCCAAGGCAGGCACAGTTTGAACAGAAGAAATTCAAGTCCTGCCCCATTCAAACTACTTCACTGGGCCATTTGCAGTTGCTGGTGGCACTCAAGTCACTGTGAATTTTGGTAGCTAGTCTGGTAACTTGTTTTGGGATGTCATTGGCATATGAACAGGGTGCATAATCACTGGTATTGGTCAGGCCCTTTTTAATAACATTGGGAAGACTGAACATAGTGCTTCTGTACTGGTGCAGGTAGCAGATTATCTCAGCTTGTTTTTGTTCCAAGTACAATGTATTTTGTTAGTAGAGTTTTGATACTTGATTCAGAAATGGCTTAGATGTGTACATTTACTGACTAAGTGCATTTTGCTTTTGTATATCTTTGCTTTAAGTAGATCTAAATGGTAGTTCACAAAAACACCACAATCTAGCTTACCGTGCTGCCACACTATCAAACTGGTGCATTTAATTGTATTGTGACTTGGTGTTCTGTGTACAGAAAGTGCCGCTCTGAGCAGCGGCTGTATTTTATAGAGATGTGATGAAAATTTATAAATTTCATATACTTTATTTCATTTATTTTTAGACTGTACAGTGCACAGTGAACTTGTAAAAACTTATTTATTCAAGTGCACAAAATGAGGAGAAATACAATCCATTATATAGACATCACCCTGGTCTGTAGTTCAGACTGGACCAAGCACCAATAAAGGAAACTACAGTAACAGAAGGGGAATTGCAACAGCAAAATGACTAGAAGAAAAACTTGTTTAGGCATTGGGAAACACCTGCCCAGGTGCTCTGGGGGCAGCATTGATCGCTCTGCCTGAAAGGCATTTGCTACCCTTAAATCCCTTCTAGGTCCCTGGTGCTCCTTAATGAGTCTCCAGCCTCCAGCAATTGGGCATTTGCCTTAGACTTGAGCCTGCCTCAGCAGGCAGCTGATGGAGGGTCCTGGGGTCACAAAAAGCTGGGCTGGGTGCATTGCCTTCCAACTTGTGCCTCTGCATGTGAAGGAGGTGAGGTAGCTCGGCCCTTGCATGCTCTCCTGCTGTCTGATCTGTGAATGCCGTGCTGGCCATGCTCAAGGGAGCAGTGGGAAGAGGTGATAGAGCAGCTCCTGCCCTCTGCAAATTTCAGTTAGACCCTTTTCTCTGTACCTCATCCCTGGCAATCTTAGTAGAGATTTAGTTCAAGCGTGGTTCTTTTGTTGTTTCTTATGTGTGTCTTCCCTAGGCAGCCTTTGTGCACAGAAACTATTGAGCTGATTTTGTTGCCTTACTCATTGGAAAGGGAAGGGATCGGTAGCCCTGGAAATGAGGGGCGTTTTGGAACTGTTTTCTGCTTTGCATGTGGAAGAGGACTTGACAGTGGTGCGCCCTGCTGTGTTATTAGCTGCAAGATGAGAACCTGGAAAAGGGCAAGAAAGCTCAGAAGGTGATGGCTGAGAAACATCCAGTAGCTTCTAGTAGAAGCTGTATAGAGTTAAAGTCCTGGAATCCAGGAAGACAGTGTAACCCAGATGTTTTGCAGCTGGGAGTTTGGCAGCTCTAGCTTCATCCAGATCCTTGGCTAATTGAAAGCTGCAGAGCTGCCTTAGCATCCTCCCAGCAAATAGCAAGGTGCTCCGGTCTTGGAAGGTGGGTTGTGCATGAGCAACTGCTGGAGGGGCAGGAGCCTCAATTACCCCCCCCTCCATTTTTATCCCAGATGTGAGAGATGAGGAAATACAAGAAGAAGCTTTAAACCCATCTGCTTTTTGTCAGATCCTTTTCCAAAAATGGACCAACCCGGTGTTCCTTAGACCTCTTATCCCTCCCCTTATCCTTTCATCTCAATCCAGCGAAGACATCCAGCAAGAGAACTCATTCTGTACAGGGAGGCTTCACATCAGTTCATACCTGAGATGCTCGCAGGATGCTGGCAGAGATGCCTGCTTGGAGGAGGAGCTGGCTCATGGTGGTCTGCCCACCTGGTGTGCTTCCTAACCCTGGACAGCTGCTTGGTGCACGCGTCGCCCAGCTGGCTCCTGACACTCTCCTGCAGCTGAAGAGGGTTGGCCAGGTGCTTGCTGCAGGAATGATGTGCTTTGCATTCAGTGTTTCAGAAATTAGTGCCTGGGAGCAAACAGAGCAAAGGCTAAGAGCAGAGTTTGTCATCCGCTTTCCTGTGCATGTTGGGGAAAAGCGAAATCCCCCTTTCCATCAGTGTTGCTCCCCATAGTGGGTTGCCCTTTGGTCTGTGTTAGATGTGCTGGGTGCTCTGGCTCTAGATGGCCCGCTGTGCTCTGTGGCTGGGCTTGCTCGCAAGCACTCATTGGAAATCAGCAGCGTGAGCCTGCTCACTCCCATCACCTGGGAAGGATGAAACCAGAGGGGCACAGCCCACCATGCACAGACCCAGGCACAAAGGCTGGATGGCCGAGCATCCGCTGCAGCCTCCAGGGGCCTGTGGAGGCCAGGCCTTCTGCCTCTGGGTCGCCTTGGTGCTGGCTTTCTCCGTGACCTGGCACTTCCATCTCAGCAGCCCGTGCTGCAGGAGCTCAGAGCTGCCCTGACTTTGCCAGCATCTTCCACCCGTGCCTGGTGCCGCTGGCACCATCACCTCATCATGTGCTGCATGGCTGTAGTGAGTTTCCCTCGTGTCCCAGTCTGGTCTAAGTCTTCATCATAATCCTTGCTAGGGTGTGCTTCCAGGAGAGTGTTGGATAAGCTACAGCGTGTTTGGAGAAGTGCGAGACAATGGAGGTTTTGGGCTGATGCCTTGATGCTGCTTTATTTGGGAGAAGTCACAGAGGTTGCTATGGGATTTGTTGTCTTCTCCACTCCCTGATCTCTTGCTGCTTGGCCATAACCTTGAGCAAGTTCAAATTGTTTCTCTTCTGTCTACAAAATGGGGAGAGCATTTACCTGCTTGCAGGACTGCTGGAGGAATAGCTCTTTGAGATGTTGGGATCTGATCCATATGGCTAAGAGAATGAGACCCTTGTGACCCTGATGTGTGAGTGCTGTGCCAGAGACTTGAAACCTGTTTTCAATAATTGGATATACTTCTGAGTCATCAAAGCCAAGCAGCCAGTTCCAGAAAGGAATTCCTTCTGTGTTACCACTTCCTGCCCAGGTCCAGCCGTTTTATGGCTGTCACAAATGTTCCTTCTCCTCCACACCGCTGCTGCCAGTGAGGGACTCAATCAGGAAGTCAAAATACATCTCACAGCACATAATGTTGCCAAAAAAAAATAAAATATATAAAAAAATATCCTGAGCTTTGTGCTGAGCGAAATATGTGCCCCACTGCTAAATGTCAGGCTTGGAGAACAACCCTCACGTGTTCTTCCTACAGTGATTTGTTACCTCTGGCTCCTACTTGCTGGTTCCAGCCCACTGAGACCCACCGTGCTGTGAGGCTGGGGGGGCTCCAAGAGCATTAAACCTAAACTCAAGTCTTTGCTGCACGTTTAGTCACTGAGCAACAATTCTTCCATTAGCCAGGGGTGTGTGAGGCACCTGCTGTCAGATTTCTCAGCTTTTCCTGTAGCTGAGGGAAAAGGTGGGAAAACATTGCTGGAGGATGTGGAGCCTTGGGTTGCTGGAACCAAGCTTGTGGGCAGGATCACGGGGGAGTTGAGCTGTCCCTGCATCGCCTCTTGTTTGGGTGCAGACAGGGCCATTCCCGTTAGCAGGGTGTGGATCGGTCTGGTCAAACTGATGGGATTTAGCTCCTCTTAGTTCAGGTTGCAAATGCAGTGGGAGAGAGGTGAAGGGAAACGTGCTTTTAGGGGAAGCTGCCAACACCAGGGAGCACATCGTGTCCTCGATGCTCATTACACTCGGAGGCAGATGTTAGAGCAGTGTCTCCAGCTGGTTTCTTTGATAGCAGGAACTCAGGGCTCCTTGGCCAGACAAACTCAGAAATCTCTTGTGCTTCCATCTCGTATCCTTCTTCCTAGTGGCCAGAGCTGTCTTGCCTTGTAGCGCACGCAGTTTGTGCTCGCCACTGTTGGCTGGGCTTGGATGAGCTCTGAGCATGGGCTTGGCCTGGGTCCTGCCTGTGGCTGGAGGGGGGCAGGCGTGGTGGGGAGGAAGGTGAGTGTGTGAGGTCTGCGATCGCAGCTCCGGGTCCTGAAGTGCTGCGGGCAGCTTGCGGTGCCTGCTTGTGAGGGTCTCGGTGAGGCGCTGCTGTGAATCGGGAGGTTGCAGACCCCCAGGACTTGTCACTGCTTGGCCCGAACGTCACCCAACTCAAAGTATTGAGTAGCTTTTCTTCTTTGTTATTATTCCCTAATCAAGCTTGAGCAAGTGACTTTCATTTGAAATCTGCTGCACAGATGGCGTTCAGGCTCTTCCCTTGCATCTCTGGCTCAAATGCTTCAAACTGGAGCGTTGTTTTGGGGCTGCGTGGGGTGGCCGCATGGCTGGGCCTGTGCTCAGCCTGCGTTTGCCCTGCTGGGGGGCAAGCTTCTCCTTCAGGGGGGTGTTTGCTGCTGTAACTGCAGACATCTGACCAGAGGCCTGTGGGGTGGTTGCTTTGCTGCAGAAAGCAAATGGGAGGGGAGCGAGCTGGGTGGGAGCCAGATCTGCCTCACCGGCTGTTAACTGCAGTGCTGATAAAAACCAGAAGCAGCGGGGTTGCACCAGCGTTTGTGAGATGCTGCTGTGCTCAACGGTGGCTTTGCTCCTGGTGGGGGTCAGGGCCCGTCTCGTCCCAACCTTTCCTGGCACCCTTCCTGCAGAGGAACCTGGGGTCTGGGCTTCCCCCTTTGGGGAGGTCTCGTACTCCAGAGTAACGAGGCCATGGCAGGGCCGTGGGGCTGCCTCTGGGGGCCTGAGTGGTTTGATTCTTCTGGGATTGTGTATTTAGAAGGCAGCATCTGCTCCCCAACACGTTAAATTCCTACTTGGAAGAGTGCCCTTGTGTGACAACAGGGCAGGGAGAGCGTCAGTGGATGTGGGGCTGGCATCCACCCCTGGACAGGCGTAGCTTCATCCACGTGTTGTTTGTTTTGTGGGATGTGGAGTTGCTGTGGTCAGTTTGAGGGCCAGCACGAGCTTTGATCTTGTTGAGTTGGTGCAGGGGGCCCACCTCTTTGTGACTCCCATGGCTACATCCACAGGCCTGGCCCGGCAGTGCTGGGACCCTCGAGAAGCTCCCGCAGCAGGGGCTTGCTGCCCCGAGTCCTTCCCAAATGCACCGTAGCTGTGGAATGGGCTCCTCATGTCTCAGAGGCCTTGCACCCCAGAGTTCCCATAGTCAAGGTTTTGCCACATTGCTGGAGGAGGAGGCTGCCAGCCCTGCAGCTTGGCCCTGAGCTGCCCGTCTGCTTGGGGCTCCCCTACAGCCCGCGTTGGTCCCGATCCCCTCCGAGCACCAGTGGGGATGTGCCAGGGCCACTGGTGCTGATAGTTAGGGCTTGGTAGTTTGTCCCAGTACTGATGCAAGGTTGATTGAGTGTGACCCGTTTGCTTTTTGTGTTGAAACCGGTCTTTTTAATACAGGGTATGGAAACCTAAAGATTCTTGACAAATATTTTTTCTCAGAAGGAGTTGTCCCAATTCACCAGGTGGTTTTATTGAGAAGTTCTGCTTTTATTGTTTTGCCTGAGCCAAAAGCATTAGGAGGACTAAGCTTTGGGAGCTCCCAATGATGATTTCTTCAGTTAAGAAATGGACATTGTACAGTGGACTGCAAACCAACAATGTATTTCAAAATCATGATGTTTGGGGAGAAGAAACTAGACAGTGTTTTTGTGAACTATCTTTGCAGCACTGAGGAAAAATCACAAGAATTGGATTTTTTTTGAAGCACAGATGTCTAGTAAGTGTACAAAAGTATTTGAAGTTTTATGGCTGTTAAGGTTTTTCCTCTATTTGCTCCAACATTTCCATAGCGTGCATATGAGGTTTTCATTGAAAGATGAATTACCAGTTTTTAAAATTTTATTGTGCCATATTTTATTTATCCTTATGCATTATAAATATATAAATACCTATTTAGACTGATTATCACAGTAAAAGATGCTATTATTGTGAACTTCAGGGTTTAAACCCAAAGTAAAAAAAATTGGAAATACTCCTCCACTGTATTTGCTGTTTGTGATCATCTTTCTGCAGATGTTTCTTAAGTTCTTAGAGTTCAAAAATGAAATAACTTCCTAAAATTCAAGGTTTTACAGTACTAACCCTGAAGTTCTCAAGTTTGTGATTTATTATTTTTAAGGTACATCTGGTTGCTTTTTCTGGTGCAGTCAAATCGTTCTTTAGAAAGGTCTTGTTTCTGGAGTTAATGAGGGAAAAAGGTGGAATGGGTTGATCCATCCTGCTTGGCTTTTTTAACCTATTAATCTTTTAAGTGATCAATCTCAAATTAAAAAATGATTTCTTAGGTCTCTGTTCTACTTAAACTTTTTAGGAGTGGGAGCCTGCCCTCGCTGAGTGGGACTTTGATGGGGAAAGCAGTAGATTATGAGGTTGCTGTTGCTCAGGAATTGATTAGTAAACTTTTAACTACTAATAAAAATCCATTTTTCAATGGATTTTTTAAAAAAACCCATTTTCTTAGAACAGTGATATGGGATGTTTCCTAGTGAATAGGAACTAGTTTATATAATTTAGCCTATTAAACTGAATTATTTAAAATTCAAACTTCCCCTAATTTATCTTTTTTTTTATACCAGTAAGTTGTCCTGTCATTCCTTTCATTCTTCCATAGAACTAGTGTGAATTCTTCTGGTGTGTATATATGTATGTATAATATATATATTTCCATCCTGCCTTTCTAATTTTCCACAATGTAAGAGTTAGTTTTTTCTCCCCTCCCTTCACTTAATTAATTTCTTGTGTCTTTACCTTGATTTGTAATTGAAACAATGCTTTGAAGTTTTGTCTTTATATTAAAGTGTATGTATTTTAATACACCGTTACTGTTGTGGAGTTTCACTGCTTCAGCAGGACAGACATCAGCAGGAGATGGCAGTTGGTGCTTGTCAGTGGAAGCGAAGCGCCGTGCCCTGGGCTGTGGCTCTGGGCAGGGGTCAGGGCAGTCAGACCCCTGCTCCTCCCGAACTGAGCAACACACTCAGCTCTGTTGAAGTCGAGGACAGTTAAGCTCACAGGATTTAACATACCAGTAATGTTCCTAGTAGCAAAACCATCCTAGTGAAATTCCCTTTTCATCCTTTCATCTGGTTATTTCACCAACGTAATGGAACTGAAATTAGGTTGGCAATGGATTTTTTTCACTTTGGAAGTGATGGCCATAAAACTGGCTGAGCTAATTTTCTGTAGGATTTTTAACATGAGATGAAAACCTTGATTCCCCTAACACAGTCTGTGCAATATGGATGCTGCTTAAATGTAATGGTCTAGATGAGTTTTTAGATGTCGAAAACAGGTTGCAGCAATGGTCTGAGAAAGCTCATCCTTTTTGTATGTTCGTCTCTGAAGCTACTGCAGAGGGGCTGGCTCTGTTAGCAGAAGGTATGTAAAAACCCTGTTGTTGGAGACATCAGCAGCTGGCCTGGGAACAGGCACCCTCACTGCCAACCAGCAATACTGCACCGTTCCTTGGGATGGGCCTGCAGGCAGTCATCCTGCTATCTTTCATCCAGGATTGCTTCTGCCTCCTGCATCTCAGCAGTGATGGTGCCAGGGTTTTGAGCCCCTGCTCCTGGGAGAGCACTGCGCCTGCAGCCAGGCTGTGCAGAAAGCCCAGGAGCTTGCTGTAGTCACCTGCCCTAGCATGGGCTCGGGTTCCTTGCTGCAGCTCTGACTGCCATAATGATTAAAACAAGTTTTTATTGGAAATGTTCATTGTACAACAGATAAACAGCTTCAGTACACTGTCAAGGAGCCTGTACCCAATGAACAGTGGAGCAGGCCCCTGGAATACAAAAAGCATAGTGAACAGATTATGAAAAATGAACAGTTGTCTATAAATCAAGAGCAGCGGATGCGGATCTCTAAAGTGTCTGGAAGTACCATCTTCCCTTACTCCTGACGTCTATCCCAGTGTCCTAGCACTACTCTAACCATTGATCTAGCTAATTAAGTTACAGGGCCTGCACAGGCCCATGCAGCTCTTCACAGCATTTGTCTTACATTCACTTAGGAAATGTCATTGTTGCCTCTTAAATAAGTGTTGGGATTATCACTTGTGCACCCAACTGTTCCCCAGAACATCTAAATAAAATGCCCATTTTTATGTACAGTGAAGATGGTGGGTGTCACATCTACCTTCTGCAAGGTGTGTGGAGAAGAAACTAGTGATAGTCTGGGAAGGCACACGGTAGAGAAGTGTTAGCTACTGAGGGTGGCAGGCAGGAACAGTGAACCTCACAATAGCACTGGAATTGTTTGCTATAAATGACTGAATGTTGGCAGAATTCCCAGCTTTTGTTTATACGACTGCTGACTTTGCATATCGAAGCATTCACTAATGCCGAACCTGGGGGGAAAATGAGCTCGGAAACCTCTCTTGCCTGCAGCCTGGGTCACTCCTGGTGACCTGAGGCTGAATCTGGAGAGCTGTGGTACCTCCTCTGCTCTGCTCAGCCAGAGCTGCAGAGGGGACTCCAGGCTGCAGTGCAGCTCCGGCGTGTACATTGGCCTGTAGCAAGCGACCAGATGGACGAGGCTTTGCTATCACAGTAAGTAAGGCTGCTGTGTACCCCACCAGTGTGCCCCTGCGCTGAGGTAAAGCAGAGTAGGCTCATGAGGATGAAAATGCACTTCAAAGTCATCTGAGGACACTAATTCCCTAAAGCACAAGCTTGTTCCTGCTCTTAATCCCTTGCTGCTGCTTCCATGAGAGTTGCCATCTGTCTTCAAACCTGCCCTATTTTCTGCTTCTACCCTGTATGCCCTCAGCTTACTGAACAAGACAGCTGCCCACTGCTTATTTTTGGTAATTGCTGGAGTTAGCACCTGGAACCAGTGCAGGGAAAGGGGATATCTGGGAAGGGAAAGGAAAACCTTGGGCTTGAGGTTAAAAATAAAGCATCAGTGACATCTGCCGCTCTCCTGGTACCCAGCAGCTTGAGGTAAAGAGGGAAGGCCAGGCTACTAAAGCTTTTAGTATTGGCTTTTGTGTCTGCATTAATTCCCAAAGAGACCCAAAACTTCCTACCAAACCTCACTCAGAGCACAGGCTGCTCGCTCCCTACCTCATTTACCATGTACTGTTTAATTGCAAAGAACTTTCCTGCTAGCCAGGTGGAAAAAAACACCAAAACCTGCACACCCCTTGTGCTGTGCTACTGGAAACCTCTTGCTGCATTTACCTGCCCCAGGGGTGAGTAAAGTTCCTTCTGTCATCAGCCATCTGAAAATGCTTGCTGGGACTTTCCATAGGGCCTTTCGTTGTGGGACTGTCCAGTGGAGCTGCTGCAGGAGCCACCTCGTAGAGTGGAGTGTGATGAAAGAGGGGTCTTGAAGCTCTGGGCACGTGTGGCAAGCACCTTCTGGCCTCCACCTCTGGCTGCAGTTTTCATTTTTGCAGTCACGGTGCTGGCTGCAAGTGCAGAGCCTTGAGGAGAGATGTTCCTTACTGCTAAAGGGATCTTCATTACAGGAGTCCCTGCAGCAGCAGCCCTTGCTCCCTGGCAGCTTGCTGTGACCCTGGCAGGTGCAGTTGTTTGGATCTTTCCCTGTAGCAGCTCACAAAGGGGTGAAAAGCTGCAGCAGAGTGTCAGGGAATGGAGTGCTAATGTACAGCTGTCCTACACTCTCTGGGCTTACCTTCTGCATACCCTGAAGCTCAAACATGCAGCCAAAGTGCACGTAGCAGTTCTTGTCTTTACAAGTCTCTCCAGCTGCCTTTCCTCTTTGGGAAGCTGAGAAATGGCACAGCTTAGCCCAGCCCCCAGTACTGCAGAGGGAGACAGGATCATAACAGATATTTCTCAGCCCTGTTTTTGCTCCCTTGTGCTTTACAGCTTTGTTCTCCACCTCATTTGTGAGAGCACTGTAATTGTCTGTGCCATGGGCTTCATCAATCCTCTAGAAATTAGTACCACCTGGCTAGAGAAAGGACAAAAAGAACACAACCCCAAAAGGCAGGTGCTAGTGCCTGCAAACACTGTTGCCTTGACACAGGGGGTGGGTGCCCCTTCCCCATTAGCTGTTGCTGTTCCTGGGCTGCTCCCTGTATAACTAGAAGGCTTCCCCCTCCCTGCTGAACTGAAATGGCTTTGCAGTGAGCAGAAGGAGGATAGCAGGGTTAACCCTGCAAGCACAGAAATGCAATCAGCTGGAGCATCCTGTTATGGTAAAATGATGAACAACTCCTGATGGCTCCGTTGGAGACTGCGGGAAGATCCTGAGCCAGAAAAGCTGAGTAGCTCCCTGCAGGAGAGGGACAGGGAGGAAGCAAGAGAGGGCTCAGAGCCTGCTCCAGAAGCTCCTGGTGAGAGAGACATGAGCCCTTGCTGGAGGAAGGCAAGTGCTCAAGCTCTCTGTTCAGTCCCTGCCCCCTCTGCTCCTGCTTGGAGCCATGGTGGTTTTACTCCCACCGCTGCAGCAGCAGCCAGCCCAAGGTCACAGTCTGCACTGAGAAGTTAGACTCTGCCTGCCTGCATGGCTGGGGCAGAGCAGGAGAGGTGGGATTGTGCAATGAATTATCTTTAAAAAAAAAATCATAAAAAAATATTTGGCTAATAAATTAAAAAGTCAGTTGGTCACCACCGAATGGAAGGGTTGCTGTTCCTCCTGGGGGAGCTCGGGTTTGACTCTGCAGGGAGAGCCTGTGGCCAGAGCCAGTTCAGCCCAAGCGTGGGGTTTATTGCTTGCGTGTTGCCAGCTGGAAGCGGGCTTCCTCAGAGATCCCGTACTGCTCCAGGGGGTCCTGCAGCAAGAGCACAGGAAGGCAGCAGTCAGACACAGACAAGATGGGAGGTGAGCAGGACCCTCCTTTTGCCAGGCTGCAGTCTGGCAGGCAACAGGGCTAGGTGCCAATTCCAGTTACGTGCTGGATTTACCCCAGTCTGCTGTCTGTAAGCAGTCACAGTCCATGGAGAGGATGCAGCGGATAACCAAGGTTCATGGACTGTATTCAGTCTGCTCTGGAACAGGAGCATGCGGGTGAGTCACAGCCACCCGTTACCTCCAGAAGGGATGGTCCAGGTATCCTGGCAGAGGTGTGAGCAGTGTCTCAACTGATGGACACTCTTGATTTTGCCAGGTCAGCTCCTCCAGAACCGGAGGAGTCAGGGTTAGCCCAGGCCCAGCCTGTCTGGCTGCACACCCCAGGCTGCTCTGTGCTGCTTGTAACACACCGCGCTCAGGAACAGTCTCACGCACACACCCCAGCTGGATGCAGGCTGCTTGGCAGAGGAAGATTCTCGGGTGGCTGGGCCTGACTGCCTGCTGAGCCCATGGCTTCAAGACCTGACTTAATATGGCTCTGTCATACACGCTGCAGCCACCAGCCTTGTGTAGGACAGATGGCACCAAGGCCAGGGATCACCAAAGCCTGCTCCTTGGACTGGAGAGGGTTACCACCTGAAAAGCCAACCTCAAGGGACTCACCTTCCCTGTCATTTTCTGGATCTCATTCCGGTAGAAAATCAAGCTTCTCCTCATGAACTCATAGCTGTAAGAAAGGAACAGACCATGCAATGGGTTGGACAGAAAAGGATGTGGGGAAGTTTCGGGTGCTATTTAGAGCTGAAAGGAAGCTTGCCTGGGAGGAGAGAACTGCTTTCCGCCCTGGGTTCACCACAAACTAGTCCCAGAAAACAGCACAGGGCTGCAGCATACATACAGCACAGTGCAGACCTTGCTCTATTGGCTCAGCCTACCTGGCTCGCTTGAGTGCCTCAATCCACTCCTGACACTGCTCTTCGCTGTCACATTCAAAGCAGTACTTCCTCTCTGGCTCCTCAATGAAACCTGCCACGGATAAGGAAAAGACATAAGGAAGGTCCTGGCAGAGCTGCCTGCACTCCAATATCTCCCTCCCCAGCAACCACCAGACTCTGCCAGGCTGCAGTTAGTACCTTTGTTCAACAAAGATGATCTGTGAACAAGCTAGTGAGACAGGCATCTGTTCCCTCTTATCTTACCCTGGATGGTTTGGGATCACGTTCTTTCCCTGTTTGCAAGAACAATGGCCCAGCCAAGCTTGCCTCTACACACTTGAAATCCAGTCTGCTGTTAGAAAGGCACTGGGAAAAGCACACAAGGTGCTAAACCCACCCCTCAACTGCCCCAGTCCCTCCACTGCTGGGCTCCTTATACCTGAACACCTTTCCCCGTATGATTATGGTAAGGCAGCATGGGAGCAATGGTGGCCAGAGGTGCCTCATACAGCTCAGAAGCCCTTCACACTGCTCTTGGCTGGAAGAGGTGCTTCCAAAAGTAACACCAGTTCTGGAGGCGCTTCTCTGCTGCGCTTCCCAGGTGGCCCCGAACAGCTGCCTACAGCAAATGTAAGCTTAGAGCAGACAAAAACTTCAGAGAGGAAAAAGCAGCTTCTCAGAGTGACAGCTCAGACTGGACAAATATGACCAGACTCAGGACTAAAACACCCTGAGTCCTTGCAAGCAGTCACCGGAGATGCAGTAATCGAAGTAGAAAATGGCCTGGAGGAAGTGATTTTGATATATGTAGAGGGCAGCCATCTGAGGAATCAAATCACACTCAGAGAAGGTAGTGACCTGTCTTTGCTTGAGGCTTTTGGGAATTTGGTGCTGTGCACAGTGGAAAGCAGTTCCCTGTGCAATTCCAATTCTTCACCAAGACAGAATCAGGACATCTAATTAATTACATTGTCCCCAGAGCTCTGCTCTTTAGTACACAGTTCACAGAGATCTAGGCTGCTGCTGAGAAATAACTGGGTCAGGCTGCACCAAACCCCTCAGGGCTGCCGTGCAGGGAAACAACCTGATACCAAGGGCGATCAGTTTCAACACCTTTCTCAGGAATCATCAGTCACCGGGGTTCCTGACAAACTTAAAGCCCCAGAAATTCAGAGCGGGACACTCACTGGTATGCTCAGGCTGCTTCGGTGCCAGAACACCATCTCTCCCAGCTGAAAGAGGAGGCGAGACTCCGCACAGAAAAGCAGCTGTGCCTGACAGCCAGGCCAAAAGATATGGGGATGGCCTTGGAGAAACATCCTGTTATTTTTGCCACATACCTCTTTCACAATGATTAGTTGTTGGATGAAAGGCTGCTTATAAAGGATGACACACCGCAAGCCAGCTGGAGCCGCAGCTATCGCCACAAGGACAAACAGCGTGGCGGGAGGACTGGTGCTAGATTAGCCCAACAGATGGTTTATCTAAGGCTCACTTTTTTGATAAAATGCAATAGCACAGAAGCAGCAATCTGTCAATACCAAGCCTTCCTAGAGAGGGATTTCTACAAGCACTAAGCCATGGTCAGTCTGTTTTTACTGCTTCCCTCCTCACAAGCAGCTGTGCAAATCACAGACCATTTCAGCCAGCACTGAAATGCCACGGTCCTGGAGCACGGCAGCTCCACGGAAACAACTGGCAACTGAGGAGGAGGGGGCTGAGGAACACTAACCCTGCTGTCACCAGAGAAAGAGGCAAAAGCAGGAACAAAGCAGCCAAGCATCTCCTTTTTCAAAGCACAGCTTGCCATAAGGGGGACACGAAGGGAGCGCGAGCATAGAACTCACTGATCGAGAAGACGTTCTCCTCTTCTTTAGTGATCCTGCAGTGCTCCAGCAGCAGAGCTCCAATGGGCTGGAAAAGACCCAGAAAGGGGGTTCAACACATGCTGCCTATCAGCACCATAGGAACCCTATCAGCAGTGTTCTGAATCCAGAGTTCTCCCAGTGTTTTTTAAATGAGCTTTATAAGCTGATGGTACTTTGAATGTAATTCAGGCTAACTGAATGAACGTTCAGTGTTCTTTTGGTCTGCTGATACGCTTTGCTGTACCAGTCTTCCCCATAGCACTCTGTGCACGCTAGATAGAGGTTACAGACTTGCTAAGCTTCACTCTGGGCTCAAGCATTCATTTCTGTTTTTCATTTAGCATCCGAAGACACTGATTAAGTTTACTTCCTTGCACAATAAATCAAGCAAAGATGAACTATTTGCAATGACACACAGAAAGGCTAACATTTCACTTTGTAAGGGCAGGCTCGAAGCTTTGCAGGAGGTTAAGAACAGTGTGTCGATGAACTAGAACAGCTCAGGGTAAACAGACAAATGAGAAGTACGGTTTGCTAGCTAGTGCACACTGGGCAAGGACACAAGAACCAACAGGTGATACAAGCCATAAACAAAAGCAATCCACAAGTGAATTCTCTTGTCCAAACTAAACAAAATTATGAGAGGCAAATAAGGCAGCAACCAAGATACTCAAAAATCTGTTTTAGTATGTATTTCTGTCACAACAGCTTTATATTTGCACTCACCACAGACCTGTGGAACTATTTTTGATGTGTTCGGTAACATCTCCCTTGCATTAAAACACGAGTGCTTGCAAGCAACAACCCTCAGGACAGCAAGCAGCCGAGTGCTGCAGGGCAGCACCCCCGGGGTCTCGCACCACGTGAACAGGGAGTTGCAGCTGAATCTCTGCAGGACAGCAACTGCTCAGCTTTTGACCCTACCCGGAGAATTACGATTGCAGCTCCAGTGAAGTAATGAAGAGCAACTGCAATTCAGTAGAAAAGAGTGTTTCTTAAAGGAGGAGTTTTTCAGGCTGAAATATTCATTGTGGCCTAAGTCTAAAAATGCCACTAAAAGCTTTCCACTTCCTTGTGTCAGCAGGCACACGGCACCTTTCATCACACCCACTCTAATGATTACTTTCAGATTGATTTTCCAATGAGAGAATCTTTAGCAACACTTACTGAGGAATGCACTAAAAGTGACTGGATCTTAGTAGTGGCAAAGCCAGAAACAGAACCTAAGCCCATCCCTCTCGTTCTCTTTTTTTTTGACCTAACCAAGGCCTCTGCATGTCAGAAGTAATGACACCAACAGAGTATAGCCATGACAATTTCCCATTAAAAGCGAGCACCCCTTGCAAGAAAAAGTCCTGGTGTCACAAATAAATAATGCCAGTTCTTTTCCCAGGAGAGCAATATAAGCTCTCCTCACAGTTTCACATGATAAAGCACAGGCCTACAAATAAACGTTACAGAGTCCATCTTTGGCAGTCAAGGGGCAATGGTTACATTTGAAAGCCTCATTCCAAGCTCCCATATGAGCCATCTGGGCGTGGTGTAGCTGGCAGCGCTCCTCACCCCTACGAGCTTTCACTGTGTCGCTGGGATAGGAAGCGAGGGTGCCACATCCCGGTGCTGGCAGCCTGCTGTCGTACCGTTTCACAAAGCACACGCCATCAGTTCACAGAAAAAGAAAGTGTGTGTGAAGAAAAGAGGCTCCGTACCTCCGCTTCATCTGTCCGAAAGTAGAAGAGAAAGTTGACAACGAGCTTCACGAGGCGTTTCTTTAGCACTGCAAAGGGAAACAAGAGCGTTGAGGCGGCGAGCCCGCAGCACAAGGCAGAGGGAAGCACCTGTGACCTCTGCAATGTGCCGGTTCCCCACACTGAAGGGGAAGCTGCCTTGGGGTTTGGACTCCTGCTGTGTTTTACCAGGCACGCTTGGGGTGTCAGAAGAAGGGGGGCACTCATCCCCCTGCTGCCCTCACAGCTACCTGCCCCCAAACCCTGCCTCTGCTCCTGCCTGCAGCCAGCGTCCTTCTCCCGTCTCCTCCTCTTGTCCCTGTCCCCAGCTTCACCGCAGCCCCAGCACCTCCCCTCCTGCTTCCCACTCCTCCCAGTCTGCTCCCAGTGCTGCCCCCCAGTCCCCCCAGCTCCCAAATCCTGCTCCTGCCGTACTACCAGCACCCCCAGTTCTGCTGGTCCAGATTTCCCAGTGCCCCACTTCTCATCCCCAGTACCACCCAGTCCTGCCCGAGCCCTACCCCAGGACCCTCCCTCAGCCTCCCCAGCCCTCCCCACGCAGTCCCAACTCCCCCACTCTGTTCCCCCCGACTCCTACCCCAGACCCCCCCCTCCAGCCCCCCCACCCTACCCCAACACCCCCAGCGCCACTCCCCACTCTCATCCCAGCCCCATCCCAGCACCCCCAACCTCCCCCAGCCCCACCCCAGTGCCCCCCTCAGCCCCATCCCAGCATCTCCAGTGCCCCCCCCAGTCCCCCCCCAGCCCCCCCAGCACCCCCGGCCCCGTCTCATTCCTCCCCCTCCAGCCGCGCCGCAGCCCCTCACCGCTGCCCTTCTTGGGCACCCGCATCAGGACCTCGGCCGCCTTCTCCGCGGGCTGCCGGGCCAGGCTCAGCAGCTCCCGCTCGTTGTAGCGCATGGCGAGGGCCCCGCGGCCCCCGGCCCCCGGCCGCGCCCGGACCCGCACCCGGACCCGGAAGCGCCGCGCCGGAAGCCGGAAGTCGTGTGGCGGAGGGAGGGGGGGAGCAGCGCGCGTGCGCGGCGCGGGAGCGGGGGGCGCGCGCCGGTACGCGGGGGGGGGGCGGGGAGGGGGGGGTCTGAGCCTCGCTGAGGGGATGGGGGGGGGGGGGGGTGAGCCTCTGAGGGGGGCGCTGAGCCTCGGTGGGCCCAGCGGGACGTTTTGGGGAGGAATTCATCGATCCTCCCAGAGCCGGGGGGGGCTGGGCGGGGGGGGGGTGTCCCTGGGGGCTTGTCCGGGTTTTTGGGGGGTTTTGCGGCTGCTCAGGGGCTCGGCGGCTCGAGGCCTGCGCGGCCCGGGGCTGTGGCACCCTGCCCGTGTCCTGAGGCCTTGCCTGGGGCTGGGGATGGAGCCCGGCTGAGGGGAAGCTCGGGTTGTCGCTCACTTGGCTTTCTTGTGGCTTTCTTGCATTTTCCCAGGCCCTTTCTTTCTCCTGAAGTAGCTGAAGCAAAGAAGTCCCCGTCATGGATTTCCAGCACCGTCCCGGAGGTAAAACTGGAAGCGGAGGCGTCGCCTCTGCCTCAGAAAGCAACAGAGACCGCAGGGAGAGGCTTCGGCAGCTGGCTTTGGAAACCATTGACATCAACAAGGTGAGCCTGGGCCTCGGCCTCTGCGTGCTCGGCAAGGGGAGGGCATGCGGTGCCAGCCCCACAAGCTGTGTGTGGGTCAGTTCAGGGCTTCACATCAGTGAAGTGGCCTGGAGGGCAAAAGGTTCAGTGGGGAGCTGTGGATTGGAGCAAATACTTCTGTTTCTGTTAATGTGGGATTTAAACAAGAAACATTTGTGGAAGGGCTAACCAGAGGGAAGCCAGCACTCACGTATTCAGGCAGCTGTTGTCATGTTATTTCAGTCCGCTCAGGACTGGTTTGTGTTTTGTTGTTCCTTGACTGCAGTTGGGTGTGCTGTTACCAATAAAAAAACTGCTATTGTCTCTATGTTTTTATAGTCCTAAAGCAGTGGTATGCTAATGATTTAAACCTGTGAACTCAGTTCTTCCAGTGCAGGAGAAGTTCTGTTTTACATATTTTATTATTCTGTTGTTCTGGCATGTATCTTGCTTGTAACTTTTTAATAATTCTCTTCCTAGGACCCCTATTTTATGAAAAATCACTTGGGTTCTTATGAATGCAAGCTTTGTCTGACTCTACATAACAATGAGGTGAGTTGAACAGCTGCCTGTCTTGATCTCCACAGCAACAGGTATTTTAGAATAATACTGGCTTCAAGTGCTAGAACCTGGGATGTGCTTGATGACTGCTGAAGAGTTGATGGGTGGGTAGTGGCTTGTGTGTGTTCAGCATGACAGTTTCTGACAGTTCAGCAGTTGTGAGCAATCTGCAATTTTTGAGTAAGTTTTCTCTATGCTAGGGACTAAAATATCCTTGTCAACGTGAAATGTAGCTTCTCATCCATGTCAAGTATCCTGTCTTTATTTAACTTTCTTCTGTCTTTTTTTTAGGGAAGCTACTTAGCACATACCCAGGGGAAGAAGCATCAGACCAATTTGTAAGTTAATCCCCGTTGTAGCTTTGTTCTCCATTACCTAGGCACATTGAAATCATGATTGTGAACACTTGTAAATCTTGAACTTGGTAGCATGTTGGGCTTGAATATTCTTTGACTGTTTGTTTCCTAGTGAAGAGTTTTGGTTTAGATGACTAGTTTGTGGAGTTCTTTCCGTTTTTTACTTCAAGAAGTTGTCTCAGCTCCATCTGGAGATTGGCACAAAGGTCATCCTAGGGGTGGATAAGATAATTGAGATGACAGCTTTTGGTCAGGGGAAGGCGTAGATAAAACTGACCTGCAGTGATGCACATGGAAGAGGAACAGTTTCACCAATATGCTTTCTGTAAAGTACTAAAATATTCCGTGGCATGGGATTCACACTGCTTTCTAGCCTATCCTTCAGAAATAAGTGCTACTAACCTTTTAATTTTGCGAATTTCAAATGAATTCAGGGCCCGTCGAGCTGCCAAGGAAGCTAAGGAAGCTCCTGCCCAGCCTGCACCAGAAAAAGTCAAAGTGGAAGTGAAGAAATTTGTGAAAATTGGACGACCGGGTTATAAAGGTACATCAGTAATGCCTGTCACAGCAGATACCTAATGCCTGCTGGAGCTTACTTGAAGTGCAGTGCTATGGATATGAATTATTAACTAGTCTTTTTAGTAGATCTGTCCATAAATAAGATATGGGCTTATCTCATGATGTCCTTTATTGTTTAAATTACCCATGGAACATCTCTTTATTGCTGACAGTCGAGTGAGAACCATTTTAATAATAGATTGGTATGTCTAAGTCTTCAGCTATTATAATACTTGTGCAGGAAATGAAGGCACTGCTTCAGACTCTGTTCTCCATTTGTTGTGCTGTACCATCTTTCACTAATACTCACGAGTCACTTATTGGATGTATAGCTCAGGTCTTTTTTCTGAACTCCCCATTGTTTTGTTTTGGCCTTCAGTATGAAACTCGGCTGCTTTATCTCCCAGCTTTGTCTGCAGTGCACAGTGTGTCAGTGTCTTTGCCCCACAGCAACTGAATTTCAGTAGAGACCCACAGTAACTTTGGTTAAAGACATTGTGGCGATTTATTTGATAAATGGGAAACAAAATCTCATAATATTTGTTGTTTGGAGCCTTGTGTCTTTCCTAGGGCAGAAGTAATATTGTTCTGACCCTTTTCTGTTACATGCTGAGCTTTCTTATTTTCTTTACAGTCACCAAACAGAGAGATCCAGAAACAGGCCAGCAAAGCCTGCTCTTCCAGGTAAGGTCACTGCTAAATTTTTTTTTCTCTGGGTTACCCAAGTAAAACACTGGTAAATGAGCAGTTCTTCTCAGGACAATAAATAAATAATAAAATAAAATAAAATAAAATAAAATAAAATAAAATATTTACCTAGCTAGTTTTCTGCTGATGATTGTGTCAAGTAAATGGAAGAATCCATGATCGTAGTTGTCCAGATGTTTCTTTTGGTAGCGCTAAGTTGGGTGTGTGGTTTTTTGTTTGTATGTTTTTTGTTTGTTTGTTTTGGAGCTTCTCTCTAGACTTCTTTTATAGTTGAGGATTTTGTTCTGAATGATGGGGTGGTGAAAAGGGAATATTCTCCTAAATGCTGCAGTAACATCCCAACAGATTGATTATCCAGAGATTGCAGAAAGCATCATGCCTCGCCATCGGTTCATGTCCGCGTATGAACAAAGGATTGAGCCTCCTGATAGACGCTGGCAGTACCTTCTGATGGCAGCCGAGCCCTACGAAACCATAGCTTTCAAGGTAAGGTTTGGGATTGACTGATTATAGAGTTCCCTTCCCATATTTTCCAAGACATTAATTCCCTGTGATTGTCGTTATAGACTTGTACTGTTCTGGCCTTTGGGGAGGTTAATGGAGTGGAAAGGAGGGTCAAGAAGACGTGGCTGGAAGTTGTTAAACTCTGCTGAGAATTAGTGGAGGACTCTGGCATGAAAACTCGGTTCTGTGTTGAGCTCTGGGGAGCCGTTGAATTCTTGGTGTCTGGCACAGGAAGGAGCCTTCTGGGCTTCGCTTCTCATCCTTTGTGCAGATGTTAAGGGAGGTTTTTTTGCCAGCATACTTATCCTTGACCGATAGGGAAGTAACTTAATTCTTTCCTGCCCCCATCTCTATCTAATAACATCCGAGATGAGCACATCTCACAAGGCCTGGAATAGCTGTGCTTATCTTGCAGGCTCTAAAGCTAAAAAGGACCACTGAGCTAATCTGGTGGTGCTAATAATAGCTCCTTATTCTTTTTTGTTGCAGGTGCCAAGCAGAGAAATCGACAAAGCAGAAGGAAAGTTTTGGACGCACTGGAACAGGGAAACCAAACAGGTAGCTGGAGCATTGCAGCATCTTTCTTGAGGGTTGAAGAGGGAAAGGAGGGCTGAGCAGCCTGTGGGGACAGGCAGTGCAGGGAGAGCACACATCAGTTATGTCCATTTTGGCTTTGATGCTAAAGTCTTCACTCGTTCAGTGCAACTATGTAGTGATTCCTCCTGACAGAATGATCTTCCTCTGTTCTTTGTGAAAGTTTAATCAGAGAGGCAGAATCTTCAGAGTGAAACTTGCTGTCAGCAGCAGCAGAACAGTGCATAAATACACAACGCTGCGTCCTCCATGTGGGCTGCTCAGTGCAGGCTTCCCGTGCAGTTGTCTGTGATGGTATGGACATGCTCACTAGCTGTTGTGTGGGAGGACAGGGGATGAGTGCACGCTGGGGGATCCTGACCCCATCACATAAAGCTGAGCACTTGGAACAAGTTTTGTAGGAGTTCAGGTACCGGGCAGGTTTGGTGCAAGTCCATGAACATTAAGTAGAAAGCCAGCCGTGATCGGTGACACAGTTCAGGAGAGAACTGCACTTTGCTCCTGGAGGCCATGAGTGTGGACAGAGCAGCTGTTGTGTGATGGCACAGTGTTGTCTTGAGCGTTAATTGTTCCCTTCTCTTTGTTTTTCTCCCTCTCCCTTCCCCTCCCCAGTTCTTCCTTCAATTCCACTTCAAAATGGAGAAGCCCCCAGCTCCTCCGAACCTCCCTCCAGGCCCTCCGACCGTGAAGCGGCCTCCTCCGCCTCCGCTGATGAACGGCTTGCCCCCACGGCCACCTCTGCCGGACTCCATGCCACCTCCTCCTCCGGGAGGCATGACTCTGCCTCCTATGCCTCCCTCTGGACCGGTGCCACCACCTCCAGTGCCACCTCAGTTGCCACCAGCACCTGGTGTACCTCCCCCTGCTCCTCTGCCCCCCATGATGAGACCTCCTCTCCCCACGGAGGGGCCAGGCACTATCCCTCCTCCACCTCCATCCAACTGAAGCCCCTCTGGGACTTGGTCCCACTGGACTCCTCTGCCTCATACCTTTTTATATGCAGGTTACAATTGAGTCAGATAAACTTTTGTTTTGTATGCCTGTGATTTTGAGTAAATCCTGTAGGTTCATTAAAAGATTTTCAATTTTCCGTTCTCTATGTCTTCCTGTGTATTAGTTAAAAATGTTGCTGTGTGTTCAGTTTCTTTAGCCCTTAAATGTATAAAATGTTCCCAGTCTGGTTATATTTTGGAAGTTATCCAAGAGGAGACAAAGGGCTGGAAATCTCTAGGCACCTCGCCTTCAGTCAGCTACTTCTGATTGAAGTAGTTGCATCGACCTCAGCTCAGCTGTGCTAGCTTAACACATTTCCCCACCATAGACTGCTTGATGTGTATCATAAATTACTGCCAGTTAATCAGTTGCTATTCAACTGAAGTCCTTTATGAAGCAGTTCATCTGGTGATTGGAGACTTGTCATAGACACACTTAAAGGGTTTTATTACTGCATTGCCAGTAATCCCGTTGGTGGGCAGAATGGAGGGCCAGCAAAATTTTCTACATGCAATTTTTCGTCTTCCTGCCGAATTGCAGTTACAAGCATTACATTGCGTTGCTCATGCTGAATCCAGAAACATTTCTCCTCCAGGCACTGGAGCACGGTACAGGAGCTCAGGTGTTGCCAGCTAGAACCATAGGAATATGTCTCCTAAGGAAATCGGTTTGGACTGCTTGTCAGGGGTCCTTGAGAAGCCCTAGACAAGGTTTCATTGGTGATTTTAAAAAAGACAATCCTTCCCCAAAGTGCAGCTGTCTAGCTCCTGCTTGTTAGACTGTTTATGCCAAATGGGGGTTCACAAACAAAGCATTGGTGCTCTCGTGTTTGACAATGGTAAAGGATTTCTGGGAATGTTTAGTCGGAAGAAATTACCAAAACTGCAGTTACATTAAGTCCAGGTTTGTTATTGTATTTCACTAAATGCTGTTTGTATCATTGTGAAGCACCTGCTGTCATTAAATATTTTTTTATTGTGCATGTCCTCCCACTAGCAGATTAATTTTGGCAAGCTTTTATTTCCTCTGTGGTTTTATTTATACTACATGTTTCCTTCAAGCAATCACTCGGTTCAGATTAAAAACAGAAAATGCTCTAAGCTTTCTCCTCTCTGTCCTTTGCAGGATTCCCTTCCCCAGACGGGCGTTCCAGCAGGCGGGTGATAGCAGGGCCTCGGCGGGTGCAGGGTGAGAGCACCAGGCTTGTGTTGGCTCTGTCGGTGCCCGTCTCTTTCCACAGGCTGCCCGGGGAGGCTGAGCTCGTGTCCTGCACCGGCTGTGTGCCTGATGGGTGGAAGGAGGCCAGGTCTTCGCCTCTTCTGCTGGCCGGATGCAGATCCTACTGTGTGCCCGGCAGACATGAGAGCCAGGCAGAGCGTGTCCAGCTTCCACCTGCTTTATTGCAGCGCCGGGAGCACTTTTTCTCAATCTGAGCTGGCCCAGTGCCTGGGATGACTTGTGTGAGCCTTCTCTCTGCCAGGTTCCTGTCCTTTGTCTCTGCTCCCATAGAAGAGAGGTCTGTGCTCACAAGGCCTTTGGTCTGTTGCCCTTTGTCCCTGTCTGGCTCGGGCGTGCAGTCAGTCAGGGTCAGCCCACTAATGATGTGCTGGAGCAATATCCCAAGCTTCAAACTGCAGCAGTCCTGAGAGCCCAGAGAAAGGTCTGACTGTGTTGGGAATGTTTTGCAGGTACATTGTGGCTGAGGAGATAACCTCTGGGAGGGCGGAGGTTTATTTGGAATGTGTTAGGTGGTATTAGTAATTCCAAGTGAGCACTGGTATCAAACAGAAGTCTTTATAACACAGGCATTATGAGACTTTCCAAGACCTGATCTATTAAAGCCTGCAGTATTAAAATTCACTGGGCTGCTGCTGCACCCTGTGAGATTCTCCCTCACACGTCCTGGGAGCTTTGAGATGCAACCCAGTGCTCAGATGTGTTAAGAGCCTCTGCAAGGCGGCCCCTACACCACGGTACAGGAGGTACCAGCCAAGGGGGAGGCTTTCCAGCAAAGAGGGAGCTTTCTATACATTTACTTAGTTTCTTCCCATTATCTGTCTTTATCCCCTTCCTCCAAGTCTAGCCAATTCTTGCCTCCTGGTGTTTCACTGCCAACAGGAGTAGTATGTGCCAGTCCCCATGCAGATTCAAGTCTAGACTTCTACCCTCCTTTAAAAAACATCTGAAGTCAAGGACGTGCATCCCTACAAGTAGGAGAAACAGCTTTAATTTATTATTTTTTTTTTTACAATTTCAATACTGGATGCAAACCCAAAAATAGAACAGAAAAGTTTCTTTGAAATATCCCTCCCTCCTTTCCAGCATGACAGTATCCGAGTTTCTCAAGGGAGGTGTGTTGTGCATTGTCAACTCAAGGCCATCAGCTTTTAAAAGGGAGATGCCGTCCTCCCCTTCCGCACAAATGTTTTGGGAGATGCGTTTGAGCGGCTCAAACGACTGCGTTTGGCATAGCTGAAGCAGGAACATGAAGCCTGCTCTTGGGGTACTTTTGCCGTGCCTGGCGCTGTTGCTCCCCTCTGCAGCGCTGCCAAGAAAAGGGAGCCCAGGGGAAAGGGTCTTCCCTGCTGGCACACCGGAGCTGAGCCTCTCGGAGGAGCTGGGACTTGAAGCAGAAGAGAGAAAAAGAGAAAATGCAAGCGTGCAGGCCAGAGCGGGACCCAGCTCATTGGTGAGATCGAAGAGGACCGCTGCTACTCGCCTCTTCTCCAAGACAGAGCCAGCAGCAGGGTGCCTGCAGGGGATGCCTGCGGATGGGGGCATCGGCTGGGCTGGCTCCAGCCTCCACCCCTGGCCTCTGGGGGGGCTGGAGGGCCCGGTGTGCAGGATGAAGATGGACCAGGACCAGGACGGGGTCCCGCCGAGCCACCTGGAAGTCATGGGTGTTCTCACCCACTATGAAAGCGGCTTCATCAAGCGGCTGAGGCAGCGCACTGGCTGGGACCGGAGCGACCTCACAACCTTTGGGCTGTGCCCGTCAGAGGACACGGGTGCTGCGCTCCGGCCCCTGCAGCGTATCCAGGAGCACCTGGCGGAGCCGGGGCAGGACCGGTTCCTCGTCCTGCGCCTGGAGGAAGGTAAGTGCCAAACCCGGGCTGGGACAGTGCTCAGGTAGGCAAATGCTACTTCTGGGCCTAAGTCAGAGATGCCAATGAAGAATTAAATTTGCAGGGCTGGATGTGCCTTAAAATTAGTTAAGCAGTAAAATAGGATGTCTTCCCATATTCTATTTAAGAAGCTGTGTCTTTCATGGAGATGACAGCTTGTATGCATCAATGAGTCCTCGCTTGTGACTGATGCCCCAGTGCCACAGCATTGGTGGCTTCTGTACTGCTCGTGATCATTTTGGTTATAGGAGTGTTCCTCTCTTTCTGTCTTGATCACTGGGATTCAGACCCAGTACCAATTCTGTCTGACAGGGAAAAGAGAAGAGACAGACAAGTAGACCTGAGTGGTCCTCGGAGGGTCCACAGCAAGGGGGCCTTGCTGCTTTCAGTCATCTAAAGCACAAGCAATTTGCAGCATCCTTCCACCCTCCAGCTCCTGTTCCTGGTGCTCTGAGTGCCCTGCAGGAGCAGTGCCCGGCCCCAAAGCCCCTTCCTCGCCCGCTCCCCGCCCAGTGCACTGCGTGCCCACAGGTTGTTTCACCCCCTTTTTGTTTTCCTTTGCAGTGAAGTGGGAAGCCCAGGCAAGGCTGTGGTTTAAGCTGGCTTTCCAGGCGGAGGTGGGGCGGTCACTGGGTGAGCTGCAGTTTGCCCTGCTGCTCTTCTACCTGGGCAGCCGAGCAGGGAGAGGCGCTGGGAGCCACGAGGAGCTGCTGGCCACGGGCACAGGGCTGGCGCAGGAGCAGGTGGGTGGCCGTGCCGAGCCCCGCGGGGCCTGGTGCCAGCAGGGAAGGTGGGAGAGGGGGTGTCTTGCTCTGCTGGCCCAGCGCCTTCCCCATCCCTTCCCTGCACTTTCCCCATCCCCTCCCAGGGCTTTCCCCATTCCTTCCCAGCACATTTTCCATCCCATCTCACCATCTGTCAACCCCCCTTCCCTTCCCTTCCCTTCCCTTCCCTTCCCTTCCCTTCCCTTCCCTTCCCTTCCCTTCCCTTCCCTTCCCTTCCCTTCCCTTCCCTTCCCTTCCCTTCCCTTCCCTTCCCTTCCCTTCCCTTCCCTTCCCTTCCCTTCCCTTCCCTTCCCTTCCCTTCCCTTCCCTTCCCTTCCCTTCCCTTCCCTTCCCTTCCCTTCCCTTCCCTTCCCTTCCCTTCCCTTCCCTTCCCTTCCCTTCCCTTCCCTTCCCTTCCCTTCCCTTCCCTTCCCTTCCCTTCCCTTCCCTTCCCCTGGGGCTGGCGGGGCCGAGCCGTGCCTGAAGATGGTGCTGTTACCCTGTCCCCAAGCTGCTGGCGGGGACAAAGGGACGGCACCTTGGGGTGCACAGCGGCCCCCCATGCACGGCTCCCTCCCCTCCCAGCACTCTCCAGCCTGGCTGGTTTTAGGGCCAGCAAATCCTCCAGTGTGAGGTGAGCCCACCCAGTGCTGCTCCCCTGGCTGCTCTCTGGGCTGCCTTAGTGTCCATACCTTGGCCCTGGGCATCCAGAAAGCAGGGATCATAACGGGGTCTGGTGTTAGTGCTGCCCCCCCGTCATGCCTCCCCCAGGTTCTCAGGGGCTCCTGTGACTTCTGCCTCCCTGCAGAGCCTCTGCCTCACTAGGGACACCCAGTACCTGGTCCTTGGAGCCTCGGTAGCATCCGTGACCCACACCAGCGAGGAGCTCAGCTTCCAGGTGACCCTGGCCATCAGACATCGCGGTGATGGAGGTGGGGACTGTGGCAGCAGGGGACAGAGGTGCTGATGGCCCCTGTGCCCTGGCCGGGCACTGGGGACCTGGCTGCTGCACTGTCCCCACCTACAGGTGCCCTGCTGCCCCCCACGGAGACCCAGCAGCTCCTCTTCGGCTCGGACGACAAATGCTTCACCAGGATGACACCTGTGCTGCTCCTGCTGGCGAAGTCCTGGCGGGGGCACGATGCTTTGGCCTCTTCCTCCTACCTCTCCGCTGATGGAGTGGTGGACGTGGCTCCATACCCACAGCTCAGGTCTGTGCCTTTCATCACAGCCACAGAAAAACACGGGGTGCGAGGGGGGGGGGTAGGGGAAAAGCCCCTCTGTCCCACCCGTGGGGATCAAGGCTGGGAAAATGTGGGGCACACCTGGGTGGGGCAGAGGTGCTGTGGCCCAGCCCATCACCTCCAAGGGTGCAAGGGGCCCCTGTGACCCTCTCTGTGCTCTCTTTGCAGCCCACCCCAGCATGAGACCGTGGAACTGCTACCCTCCACTGCCCCCAGCCAGGCCAACATCTCATCCCTGGCCCCCAGGGATAGCGGGCAGTTCCTGGGCATGCTGACCCGCTTCATCCGCCGGGTGCTGAGCCCCTCCAGTGAACCGCCCACCCAGCCCAGCTCCCACCACTGGCTGGACTTCCAGATGATGGAGACGCTCCCTCACCAGCTGCTCAACCTGTCTGAGACGGCAGCGCTGGAGCGGCTGGTGCAGTCGGAGGAGCCCTCGGTGCTGCTTTTCCCCCAGGAGGGCAGCGCCGGGCTGGAGCAGCATTTCGGGGACTGGCAGCCAGAGGGGACCGTGCTGCAGCTGCTGCTGGGCAAGCTGCAGGCAGTGATCCAGGAGCTGAGGGACATCCCGGCGTTCCAAGCCAACATGGGGCTTTTCCAGCACCTCCTGAGCTTCTGCTACTACCCGCCAGGGCCAGGCACGGGCAGCGCGGGTGAGCGGCCGCCTGGCTCTGGGAAGCTGCACGCGCTGCTGCTGCTGAAGGCGCTGCAGACGGTGCGGGTGCACTGGCAGGAGCGGAGGAAAGTCCTGCGACAAAACCGCAGCGCCCGGCACCAGGCCCACTGCCGGCTGCAGGAGCTGACCATCGACCTGCACGACCGCAAGTTCATCGTCATGCCCACCGTGTACGCGGCCAACAACTGCGAGGGTCCCTGCAAGCTGCCCCTCTCCACACGTGTCCCCAGCTACTACTCGCACACGGTGCTGCTGCTGGGCATGCAGGAGCGGGGCTCGCCCCTGCAGCGCGCTCCCTGCTGCGTGCCCGTCCGCTACTCGGACCAGCTCATCATCAGTGTGTCCAGCCAGGGGCTGGAGGTGCGCAAGTTCCCCAACATGGTGGCAGAGGAGTGCGGCTGTCGGTAGAGGCTCCTGCCCATAGCCCTGGAGCGCCCCTGCAGCTTTGCTTCTCGCCGAGACGTGAGCACTCCTCCGCACGTCTTTTCCCACTTGCTAGCGTTGTTCTGGTTCTGGGTTTGCAGCCGTGCTGCTCCCTGGAGGGCTGCCAGCCTCCTGGTGCTTCCCTGCTCCATCTGCAGAGGCTGGGGATGTCCGAGGTGCCCAGAGGCTCAGGCTGCGGTCTGGTTCTGACCCTCAGCGGGGTTTGGGCTGGGTACGGGACGTGCAGGGCATCACAGACAGGGCAAGCCTGCTCTAGTTGGGGCCACATCTATTTATCCACTGCTGCTGTGGCTACTGCCCCTCAGCCTCCCTGCAGCCTCCCCTGGCTGTTCTGAGCCAGCCCATGCCCACCACTGACCCGCATCCCTCCCTGTGCTCTCAGGGGTAAAATAAGCAGCAACCGCCCTGTTCCCACCAGCTTCAGCTCTGCCTTTCCCCGGGGACCCATCTCCAGACTTGGCAAAAGCCACGGTGTGGGAGTCCCTGCTGGGTGACCCTGGCATTGTGCCCCTGCTGTCACCGCTGCCTGGGGCATGGCAGAGGGAGGGGAAAGCTCTGGGGTGGGGACGATCCCATTACATGTCCTGCCCTTAGCGGGTGCAAACCACAGCTGCCCATTGGCAGCACGTCCCCTTCCCGGCGGCTGCCCAAGCACCTGCTGCATGTCCCCGCTGGTGGCAGCGCTCAGGGCCTGGCCCCGCTGGGTCATCTTGCAGCTGAGCCCGGTGCTCTGTGGGACGCACTGGGGGGCTGCTGTGGGGCCCGAGCCCCCCAAAAAGCAGTGCTTGGGCTCGCCCCCAGCACAGGGGATGGCTCTGGTTTGCAGTGTCCCTGCACCAACCAGGGGCTGGTGGGTGCCTCCTGACACCAGTGGGGACCTGGGTGAGCCCCTGACAGCTGGGACGGGGAGGCCCTGCCCCAGTGCTGTTTTTTCTCCCTTTCCTTTTGAAAAAACACAAGCATATCCAGGGCTGTGATTTTTTTTTTCTCTCTCTCTTTTTTTTTTTTTTAACATTCAATTTAATACCTTATTAAAAATGAAAATAGTTTATTTTAACCTCTGTTGGTTTAGCAAATACTCAAACCCACTGTGCTTTGGGGCTGTGAACGTCTCCTGTAGTTGCTACAGCGCTGCATGATATTGCACTTGTGCTTTGTTCCTAAAAGCGGCTCTGGGAAGGCAGGTTCAAGGGGAGCCCCAGCGATGGCGCTGCCAGTGGGGTTTTGCTCTGGGCAAGCTTCGTGTCTCCATGCGGTGGCGGTGGGGCCGGGTTCTGTTCCTTGTTGTCCCTTCAAGGCTGGCAGCAGCCTGGCTTCTTTAACCCAGAACACACTTCTCTCTTTGATTTGCTTTCAATAAAACCAGTAACTGAATTCAAGAGCTACGTGGTCTGGAGACACCCTCTGTTCGCTGGGCTGCGCTGTGCCCACAGTTGCAGCGCAGAGCATGGGTGAGCTGCAGGAGCGCTGTCTGTTGGGGATGGAGCGAGGCACGAAGCCCAGGTGGAGAGGAGCTCGTTTCCCTGCTCCCTTTCGGGTTGCCTTTGTGCAGCTCACCCAAGGGGGCCCAAAGTCCTCACAACGGCTCATGCTTGGCCAGGTGGCATGGGCGGGTGGCACAGCAGGACCCTGATGTCCCCAAACCGTGCTCTGACCGCACCAGCCCCTGGCTCCTCTCCAGCCACAGCAGGGCTGTGGCCGCAGGGGCTCGGCAGACAGAGTCCATGCATCCACAGCCCTTGCCGGGAGTGGTGGCAAGATTGGGCCCTCCCGAGGCAGCGCCGCCGAGCCCCTCTTGTCCCAGCCTCAGTCACGCCGCCTGCCCTCCCGGGGCCTGGCTGTGCCGTCCTTCCCTGCCTGCTCCCAGGGCTTCTTGCTCCTCTGCTCGCCCCGCAGCTGCCGCCAGTCTCGCCGGGTGCTCTCCTGGTGCTCGGCCCTGCCGGGGCGGCTCTTGCCTCCATCCCTCCGGGGCTCGTCCCGCTCCCGCCGGCTCTCCTTCCCCTCCCGGCCCCGCTTCTTGTGTGGCTGCTGCTCCTGCTCCTTGGGCGCCCTGGGGGCTCTGATGGGCTTGTCCTCAGGGGTCCTCTCCTTGGGGCGTGGATCCTGCCGGCCGCTCCTCTCTGCCGGGGCTGCGCGGCTGTCCTTTGCCTTCTCCTCCTTCTTCTCCGGGGCTCGGGGCTTTTCCCGTCCCTTCCTCACCTCCACCTTGGCTGGCGGCTCCTCAGGTTCCTCTGCGGGCTCTTCCTCCTCATCCTTCGGCTCTGAGCGGCCAAACCACTTCTTGAAGATCCAGGGCTCAGCCTGGGGGACGGAGGTGTCACACAGCCCAGCCCTTGTGCCTGGGACCCCTCCTCAGCCCTCCCACAAGTGCTCCTCCACACTGAAGGAGCATCCCACCCTGGGATGCTGTTGCCCCTGCCTCAGCCCCATACCAGGTTGCTGTCAGCCTCGTTGCTGTTGTCATCATCACCGTCATCATCGCTGTTGTCATCCTCCATGCTGCTTTCAGGCTGGATGGGCGGGGGAGCCTCCACTTCTGGGGCCTCCTCCTTGGTGATGGTGACCTCTGGGGATGGAGAGGGATGAGCTGGTGTGCGAGGCCCCCGGCACCCACCCCACCGTGCCCACCCAGCTCTGAACCCACCAGGGATGGGAGGTGCTGGAGGCTCCTGCCTGCTGCTGCTGACACCGTCCCTGGAACATGGCGGTGCTGGAGGAGAGGAGGGAAGAGAGGGCAGAAGGATGGAGGTGATGAAGGTAGGTTTTGGCCACCCTGGCACTGGGGGACCCTGTACCTGGGACCAGTCCCCATCTCACCTTGGAGCACCTGGAAGCTGACGCTGAGCAGGGCGACGATGGAGGCCACCAGGATGCACTTGTTGAGGGTGAGCCCTTCCCAGATGAGTGGCTCCTCCGCGGGGTCCAGGCTTTGGGGCTCCACCTTTGTCTTCACAGGGAGGCTCTTGGGGACTGGGGAGCCCAAAGGGAACCAGGGTTACTGGGGGGGTAGGGAGGCACCAAAGGGCTCCATGCTGGGACAAAAGGGCCCATAGCCCCCCCCTGCACCCCCTCCTACCCCAGCCCTGCCCTGCCCCAGACAGCACTGGGGGAGGTCATACTGTAGAAGGGATGTGGGGGAAGAAGGTCTTGAGGTGTCAGCCAGAGATGTTTGGACTGTGTGCAGCACCCCAGGGCTCCAGCAGGGATGAGCCCTGGTTCTGCTGATCCCCCCCTGGCCGCAGATCCCAGAAGGACAGGGAGCAGGGGTGGGATGTGGCAGGTGGAGGGGAAGCCCCATGCCATGCTGTGCCACCCCACCCCACCCCATCCCATCTCAACCAGTTCCTGGGGGTTTTGGCAAGCAGATCTGGTCCCATCACCACCCTGTGGCCAGACAGTGCAAGGGGTGCAGGACAGGGTGGCTGTTTTGGGGTAGATGAGGCTTTTCCATGCACACCTACCTGCAGGCACTGTGCTGCCTTTTGCTCCCACCTTCTCCACACGCTTCTTCTCCGCTGCTCTCTTGTCCGCGCTGAGCGCTGCCGGCTCGGGCATGCTCGGCTCGGGTGTGTCCGGATCCTGCTCAGGGACACCCGGCCGGGTCCCCACCTCCTCTAGGCCCTGCACAGAGGGGAGGGAGCGTGGGTGTGCGAGCATCGCGGCGCAGCATGGCCGGGTGGGACAGGGGCTCGGCTGCACCCCCCCTCCCAGATAAGGGGCACTGGATGCAGGGGGGATGCCAGGGTGGGCAGACGGAGCCTGGTCCCCTGTGGTTTTGCAGCTGGCAGGCAGAGCCCTGGTGTTTAACAGGGCTGGGCGGCTGCTGCTGCAGACGCTGACCAGGCTCGTCACCGGCTCTTCCAGGAGCTACTCCCTGATGCCTGTGTTTGTATCAGAAAGCACGTTGGGATTTTTTTTTTTTTTTTTTTAATCTGCTAAGATTGATGCAGCCACTAGCTGGCCCCATGCTGCAGGCAGGCTCTCGGGTGCGGCTCCTGTGTTGGGCTGCCTTTGAGCAAGCCCAGCCCTGGGTGTCCCCGCTCGTGGGAGCTGCCAGGATGGGACCCCGCTGTGGGCACATTGCAGGGGGCTCTGGGCTCGGTTCTGGGGCACGGTTTGGTGGCCCAGCTGCCTCCTGGCCTGTGTCAGCGGCGCTGGATTCATGCCACGAGTGAGAGTTACCCGCCGGCACGGCTCAGTGACAGCAACAGCTGAACGAGCCAGGCTGTGGCCCCCTGGGACAGACGTGGGGTGAACCCCACAGAGCCCCCCCCCAGACCCTATTCCCGGCTGAATGTTGTGGTGGGAGGCAGCCCTCTGCCCCCTGACCTGAAAACCTCACCCAGGGCTGCACCTGAGCATGGCTGAAACCACAGGCACCAGGGCAGGATGCAGCCCCCTGCCCACCGCCACCACCAGTCCCCTGCTCTGCCAACACGAAACTGGAGCCCCTGTGGGGAGACACACTCCTGTGTCAGGCGGGTTGGTTTACACAGTGCCACAGGTCACACACCCCAGCCCTAACCGGGCACAGGGTCCAGGCTCCTCATCCCTGGGTCAGGGGCTCCTTTCACACCTCCACCAGTGCAGTGGAGAACAAAGCTGTGTCTGTGCTGTCCTCCTTTCCTCTCCACCCCCAGGACCCATCCCCAGGACCCCTCATGAGCCCCTATCCCAGCTCTTTCCTGGAAGGGAAGGGTCCAAACCCATTGGGTTGCAAGGTAGAAGCTACGCATGCTTGGGGCCCAACCCAGCCCTGCAGCGAGGTTAAGTACTGAAATCCCCACAGCCTCTGTCACCAGCTCATGCAAGAGGGACCTCAGACACTGCATCCCCTGCCCCAGTGGCAGACCCACCTTCACCAGCACACTCACATGGGAATCTCCTGCTCTCCCTGCTGCTGCTCACCGGCACCTGGCAGAGACAAGCAGAGCGCAGCCTGTTAGGGGTGAGGGGGGGATGTGTGGGGTGCTGTGGAGTGGAGCAAGCCCAGGTTTGGCACCCCAGAACCATGCGGTGTTTCCCATGGTCACGGCATGGCCGCAGCCTCTCCTGCAGTTTCAGAAGTTGGCAGAAGCCACTGGCATCATGGCAGCAGCTCGAGAGGCTGTGGTGTAAGAGTGGGGTGAAAACGGTACCCAGTGGATGGGGTTTGGGGCTGCTGAGGCCCCAGGTGTCACCTTCCTGCATGTCCTGGGCAAGCTGAAGCTGAGAGGGGACAGTGACCTCCCTGCCACAGCACACGTGGGGACAAACAGCTCAAGGAGCACAAGAACACCCTGAAAACACCATCCCAAGGCTGTGGGCTCAGCTCTCCCAGCATCTGTGAGCTTAGCACCTGCTCATCTGGGATCTGCACATCCCATCTGCACAAGCCCTCACCAGGAGGAGGAATTTCTGCCCCATCTGCACCAGATTTAGTTTATTTTTCCCCAGTGGAACAATGAATGCTGAGAAAAAAATACCAATTCCCAGGCTACAATCCAAAACATGACATTGGAAACAAAACAAACAGCTACAAGGAAACCTTTTGGCTGGGGAACAATGGCCTGAAGGAGCTTTGCATTCAACACGGAACCAAACCAAGTCTTTGGTTTTCATTTTAGCTACCCCAGCAATGACAACCTGGTCGTATCTCCCCTGGGATGTGGAGCAGCTACCACAAGGACTCAGCTTTTGGGGGTCCCTCCCCACCCTCCTGGCTGTCCTCGCTTCTCCATGGTGAGGTGACAGCCAGGCAGTCCCTGGGGTGGTGGGATGGGCTGCTCACCCATGGGAGCAGCTTTCATGGGTGTTTCCCTGTCGGGCCATCTCCACAGCTGATGCACCAAGCACACACGACTGCCCAGCACGGCTGCATGGCAGGGACGGGCACCGAGGCAAGGGCTGGCCACCCACGGCAGGGATGGTCACAAAAGCACGTAGCCTTGGCCACTAATGGAAACCAGCTCTGTTTTGCTGTCTGTGGGACTTTTCCTGAACCAGCCCAGGTTGCGGGAGCCTGAGGCTGCCTCCACTGCTGACTCACATCAAAGAAACTGCCAGAAATAGCCCCTTGCCTGCCCTCCCTTCCCTGTGCACGCTCGCACGGCCGCATCGGGACAGGCCCCATGGCCCCCAGCGTGCCAATTGCTGCTGCAGCACCGCATTCCCCTGTGCTGTGCCACGAACTGCTCCCCAGTTTGATTAAAAGGGTGAAAATCGACACAAAACCATACCTCGGGCTTGAGCGCTGCCACCTTGCCTTCGCCTGCGGGCTGGCGCGGACTGGCCAGGGTAATATACAGCAACAGCTGCCGGCCACGCCGAGCAAAATAGCACCCAATCACCGGGAGCTGCAGCACCCGAGCTCCCACCCCAGAAAAGGCAGCGCGGCACCAGGCTGCCCCCGAAATTGGGGCTGCTGCAGGGGTACAGCCCCGCAAGGCGGTCGGGATGTGGCTCTGCTCCCCGCGAGCATCCTGGCAGTGGGACGGTGAAGGGATGAAGTATTTCTGGTTTTGGGGAGTTGGAGAGGAAAACCAGCCTCTGGGGTTGTGTTTCTGCAGGCAGGTGCAACCTCGGGAAGGAGCCTGTCCTGTCCCTGGCCAGGTGGCCCAGCCTGGCACATCCCGGCCGTGTCCTGCTTCGGGGACATCTCTTACGGTCTGACAGCGTTAGGTCTGACAACCTGAAGCTGTGACACGTCGCTTTTGCAGTGTTGACATTTGCCTTTAGCGCAGGTTTGATATTTCATCCATTGCAGGATCCAAGGGAGGGATAAAGCAGGCACTGGCATCCCAGAAGGGACTTTGCTTTCCTACAGAGCCGGGGGCAGTGGGAGCTAAAGGCAGCTGATCACCAAAAATGGCCACTCACTGCCCCTGGGCTCTGCAGCCAGTTTCAAGCAGTGCTGTCTGTTTCCTATTATCAGCATTAAAAACAAGTTACAGAGCATTTTTTCCCCCTAACATCACTTCAGCTTGACGCAGACTTATTTTCCTGACACCTCGATGATGGATGGCACTGGCTGGCCTGTGTCCAAGCTTGGAGGGCTCCCAGGGTTTTACAAACAGATCCCAGGGCACTGGGACATGGAGGGAACATGCATAGCGCCAGGGCCTCACAGCCCAGCACGAAAGCTCACCTTCCTCATCCTCCAGCAAGGAACCTCCTGAGCTCCGAGCAGGATCCCAGGCATCCTCCTGCCCACCTGCATCCCGCAGGCTGCCCGAGCGCCTCGCACCTTTGGCCAGCAAGACACCAGGCCGCTGTCCCGCTTTAGGACCACGCAGCAAAGGAGCTTGAGAGCAGCCGTCTGCTTTCCAGGGCAGGGATTTCCCCTCTTTGGCAGAGGCAGGACTGAGCATGCAGTGAACCCTGCTGCGGTATAAATAACATGCTGCAGAAGCTGAGCCCAGATGGAGAAAGAGCTGGAGCTGTAAACAAAGCCCTCCTCGCTGCGCCAGGGCTGCAGGCTCGCGTGCCAAGGGTATTTTTCTCAGTTTTATTCCCACTCCAATAAGGTCAGGGCAGTTAGCTGGCAAGGCACGCTTTATAGGGACATAATGAAAGCAGAACATCCTCAACAAGCCAAATAAAAATCCCTTGTGCTCCCAGTTAACCCTGTTTCATTCCATGCTCTCAGGTCCAGCACCTTGCTTGCATCTCCTGCCGGAGAGCTCATGCCCCCTGGGAAGGCAAGGAGCTGAGTGCACAGACAGAGCCCAAGCAAAGCTTCTTCCCACTTGTCCTCATGTGGGGCCATGGGATGGAAACTCCCCCATGCTTCTGGGGACCTCTCAGCATTTCCTGAGGTGGGAAGGGACCAGGAGCAATTTTGTCCCTGCGTGTTTGGCTCTGAGCAGTTCTCTGCTGAGCTGCAAAGCCTCCATCTCCATTTCAGGAGCTAACCCAGGCAGATGGAGGAAGGAGAATCCCCGAGGCAAAATCTTTCCTAATCCCTTGGCCTCTCCCAGATCCTGGCCTCTCTCTTGTCCTGAGACTGAAAAAAGTCTCTCTCCCCTGTGGCTTCAGGGCTGGCACCCAAGCGCCAGGATTCATGGTCCATCAGGACCCAGCTGTGCTGCAGCATCCCTGCGCTTCTATGGCAACACTCCCTTATCCTCCCACTGGGACATAATCTTCTTTTTCCCCATCTTTAATAACTTGCAGCTAAAAGGCAGTTGTAAAGACATGGAGTTAGTCACCGCTTATTTTCAGCACAGGTTCATTCTGCTGCTGGATTTTCCTGCCCTCCACACAGCTCAGCTTCTCTCCCAAGCCCTGGCTGCTGCAGCATCCCCAGCCTGGCCCTGTCTCCTGCACCCACAGAGGGGAGGAGATGCTCCAGCTGGGCACAAGCTGGGTTTTCCACTGTCCTACTTCATAGCCTGGGCACACTGCAGGTCCTTTCCCCACTGGCTGCATGCTGGATTTCATCTCTGGCTGCACCAGCCCCATACGGCTGGATTCCCACAGCCTGGCAATCTGTAATGTTCCTCCAGCCCTCGGAGCACGCAGCCTCCAGCCCCTCACACAAGCAGGGTTGGGCTCTTGACCTGGTTTTAAGGACAGGAATTTCAACTGTGTCTGCTAAGCTGGTGCTCAGCCTGGTCCATGAGTCCAGCCAGCTCCACGCCAGCATCGCCCCAGCACCATCTCCGTGTGCAACCACGGTGCAGAGCGATGCCAGGGAGTGCTGTGCAGCCAATGGCACCAAACAAACTGCAGGAGATGCACGTAGTGCTCAGGCCAGGCGTTGCATGAGCTCGCCACAGGTACTTGGCATCTCAGAGCTCTCCACCCTTCTGTTAGATGTGGCTGGGCTCAGAAGTGGTCGCAGAGGTGCTGGCAGATGGAGGGGAGGATCACAGAAGCACGGTTTCTCGGGGAAATCAGGTGAAAGAGCATCCTGATCCCTCACACCATCAAAAACCTACAGGCACAGGTGTCCCCATGGCAACCTGGCTACATCCCAGTGCTGACAACAACATGCTGTTGACCTAAAATTCCTCTTTTGGTTGGATGCAGCACACATCAGCTCTTGCCATCCTGAAGGCTTGTGCAACGTCTGTGAGCTGAAACCCAGCCACTGCCACCCAGCCCTGAGGTAGCAGCCAGCAGAGTCAGCCATGGAAATTACATGTATTCCTCTGGGTGATTGCGGGAACCACAGACCTTTACGAGCACTGTCGTTATTAGGGAGCACTCTGGAAGTTACAGGAAGCGAAGAGACATTTTCTCTCTGCCAGCTGTACTTCTGTCAAATCACTGATCTCCCATCACAGAAGATTTGAGATCCATTGCACTGAGCAATCTCCTTGTGGTGGTGCAGTTAATTGAAAGCCTAGAGCGTTTGGGAAGCTGGATGTTCCTGTGGCTCTGTGCCATCAGGCATTACCGTGAGGTTGGGTAACGCTTCCTGACACAGAGGCATCCAGAGAGAAATGGAGCATCCTTTACCCATGGCTGGTACCTGAATGGGCTCCGCCATCCTGGTGATGCCCTCCCTGGCTGCTCTTGGGTCACAGTCTGGGTCTTCTTGGCAGACAGCTGACAGAAAGTCCTGCAAGGACCCAGAGCTGGGCTCTGCCCCTTAGTTTTGGTATTGCAGCGATTTGGCCAGCCGGGGCCCTGTCTGCTCTCTTGGGGTGAGGCTTTGCTGATATCGGGGAACAGGATGGGGAGAGGATGAAGCACTGTGGGATGGGTGCTGCCCTGGGCCTGCTTTGCTAAGTCACAGCTTGCAGCGTCTTTGAGGCCTCCTCCTACCCACATTTTCTGGCTGTGGGCAGCAAGCCAGAAACTGGGGGGGCTTCATGTGGAGGTGGCCAGGATACAGCACGTGGGGTCTTGCAGCATGATGCTGCAGGCTGAGCACCAGCTGAGCCACCTGTGGGCATGCAGATCCAGCCAAGAACAGCACAAGGACCACATCAACCAGAGAAACCCTCTCCATGGCATGTCTGTCCTCCCAGCACCAAGCTACAGCCAGCCTCTCACCCAGGGACAAAGTGGTGCTGTGCGGTGCCCGGCAGCAGCAGCCTGGGAGCCTTCAGGTCTCAGTCCTGGTGGTGATGGCTGGGCCAGGGGACAGACCCTGCTGGCAGCAAGGTGTCACGGGTTGCCTTCCCCTGCTTTGTCCACTGGGATAGGAAGGAAGAGCCCGGCCGTTGACTGGCCCAGAGGAATGGGGACAGTCGCTGGGGCCAGCGCTCACCCTGCTGCCGGTGGTGTGCTCTCAGACGAACCAAGTTCACTTGGTCTCTGCTCCAAGCCGAAGGACAAGCAGTGCCCACAGCGACTGTGTGGCATGGGGGCCCTGACGCACCGCAGCAGCTCACAGCGGGCCTGTGATCGTGCCCAAAGCCCTGGAAAGCATTGATTCCTCAGCATACTGTGTGATCTATACATACCCAGAGCAGCTCTGCATTAAAGCCAGTCTGATCACACTCTAATCCACGTGTGACCTAAATACCCTGATTTACGAATCCCAGAGGTTTTCACTCTCTTTGCCTGGCAGAACAAGCAGCATTCAGGTCAGCTGGAACAGAAGATGCTGGATCCCATTAAATGCTACTTTTAGTCTCATCTGCTTTCAGTAATTGTTCCATTATATGTTTTCTCACAGCCCAGTGCTGCTTAGGGCTAATCATTATTCTCTTTTAAGACTTAAAGCCATTAGTACCTCTGAGGAGAACACAAGCAAGTGTGAACACGGTATCTCAAACAAACAGTCCTTAGAACCATACTGCTGGGGGATAGGGAAAGGTCCCACAGGAGGTCTCATCCTGCCAGTGGTCCCACCTTCCTGCAGGGTGAGGAGGGTTGTACAGGGACAACTACACCCCAAGGGCAGCAGAGTGTGCTTCAGTGGCAGCAGAAATCACAGGAACTTCCTAACCACCAGCAGACATTGGCTGAATGTTTCCCAGCACCTCCTGCCCTACAGCTCCCCATTTCTCTATTATCAGGCAACAAATACCCAAGTTAAAATTCATCACACTGCAGGAACCACATGTAAAACCTACACACCAGGCTTGCCTGTGCTCTCCTGTCTCACTATTTATTTGTTTCTCAGTGATAGTAAATGAAAGCTCAAAGGTTCAGTATCTGCTTTCTTAAAAAAGAATTTCCCCCTTGATATCACCAGGGCTGTCCACTCGGGTGTTTTCTGGCTCTGTAAGGAGTTTTCTGGGACCCTCATGGGTGCATTTATTACCTCGCTGAGGTTGGGAAACTTTGATGATGGCTTTCCTTCTCCAAAGTTCAGCCTGATTCTGTATTACTCTGTTAATTACGAGCAAAGCAGAGAAGGTTGGGACAGCAGGACAAGCTTTCTGAGAGCAGTT